TTTTATAAATTATATTAGGCTGGGGAAAATTTTTCAAAGATATTATGAGCTAGAAGGCTTGAGAATTTTTTTATTATTAACTATGAGTCAGACAATGGCCTAAAAAATTTTTTTGCAGGCCTGGGCTCGGCCTGATCAAAAAACCTAGGCCCATGAAAATCTGATTTTGTTTGTATTTTTAACATTATGATTATAAATATTTTATTTCAGTTCTCAACTACCAAAATTATTATATTCATTGGGCTTGGAAGAATTTTTCAAAATTATTATGGCTTTGTACTTTGCCTGGGAATTTTTTTAATATTAAATATTAGGTATAAATGATCAGTAATATTTAACAAATAATATTGGTATAGCTTTAAATTTAATTTTACCAAACCAAGTATTTACACTTAGTTTTAATAAATTAAACCTGGCCTGATGGGGGGGGGGGGATCATAAGTATAATAATTGGATATTATTTTCAAATAAGAGGTAACAACTATCATAAAAGTAAGAAGAAAATTATCATTCCCCGTCATTTTTGACGGGCTATCTTCTAGTATGTAATAATTATGTATCCGTAATATTTTTCGATATAAAAGAGAACAATTTTAATTTTCATAATTAAATTAAGTATTACTACTTTTTTTGAAAAATAGCACCACGATATAGATTAGCTTTTAACAACCCGCTGCTGAGTGCCTATATACATATGAAAATGTTGAGATTTTATTTTAGTGATATTTCAATTTATAGTTTTAAATTCTCATAAAAATAAAGACTTGGAAAAAGGAATGTTTTAATTTCAAATAATACAAGTGGGGGGGGGGGGGGGATTAAAAAGAGATTGTAAATATTGTCTGGGCATACGCTGAGATATAATTGGATCTGCATATCTCGAGAGATATTCTTTTTCTATGGTATAAATTTTATTTTGGGATCTCTAGTATTGTTCTTAATTTAATATTTTTTTCCTTATAATAATAATTAATGTTGTGTTGATAAATGGCTCCTTTTGTGTCAACTCAAAAACGTCATCGTGTTATTTATCCAAAAGATGCATATAGGGGATTTGTTTGCTTCTGTAACACTCATTCATTTTAGACAGAATTTCGAACATGAAAATGTAACTCCCTTTCATTGTATTTTTTTAACATTATACAAACGCATTTTACACTCTATGGACCAGAAAATTGACATCAACCTAGACTAATATTCATTAAAATTAAAGATTTTTATAAATATTGATAAAATGAAATTCGCAATATGCTATTTAATAATGAATATTTCCCGAACTACAAAATTCCAACCTGAAACTTATTCCCTCCACAAGAAACTTAAATCTTTTACTGGGTGGTGATGTTGTGGTATCACCATAACGTTTAAGTTAAATTAAGAGATGGTTGACCATCAAATAGGTAAGAGGCCACAATTATCGAAGTTGCAGATGTTGTACAAACTGATTCAAAAGTCACTTAGATTAAGTACAATAATATTGAAGAGCATGCTCTGAAATCAATCGAAATTTCATCTACCCTAAATTCAATTAAACATAGCACCGGTAGTAAACGCCCTGACTGAGAACAGCTAGTTCCAATTATTTGTGTCGATCCCCTCTCACCTTCCAATATTAATAGCGATGTTCTATCGAATTGAGCAAACTCGCCAGATATTCCGCTACATTCTCTCTATTACTACCCTGACGACATTTGGATGGCATACCCTCTTCAAAGAGTTACACTGAATTATCAAAAAGATCCAAGAAATCTAACTAACCGTCTACCCACGGCTGCAAGAATTAATATTAAAATTATCAGATTCAAGTAAAAAGACTCCGCGATGGCTAATATCCCTTAACCGCAATGATGAATCATCATAATTTTTAACAAACCGCATTTTAAATATTATAAGCAGTTGCGCTAAAAGTCTCAATTTAAATGATTTTTTAAAAAAAGACTACATAGGAGTAATTATTTCCTATCTCGATTTCGTTAGTATAAACGTAAACGTCATAGTTACGCAAAATCGCTCCTAGACGGCTGGCACAATATTTTATCTAGAAACATATTTCGCAAGCCTGAAGATTTAGCTCATAGATTAAACAAAGATCTGGATATCTATTAGCTAAATCCCGAGGCTTAGGCAATATTTTTTAAGATAAAATTATGAATTCATTTAACAACACTACTTTTCAGGTATGCTATTATTCTTGTTAAAGATGAAAATGTTCATTTATTGGTATAAGTACATGGGTAGAAGAGTCGCCAAAATATATAATATAATTTTAATATAAGTCTAAAATGTGTTTGAAATTATGCAGATCTATGGTATTTTTGGAACATTATAAATCATATTTAACCTTTTACACCATAGTAGTCAGCTATAAATGCAATATGGGCTAAACAATAAAGATATGCCAAATATTAAATCTTTCGCTATCAAGATTTGAAAAAATTCGGAAGGATTTTACGGTAATCTTATTTGCAAAATTTGTAAGTGCTGTCCGATTAATGAACCTTTTTATTCATTCTAATTATTAAAATATTCAAGATATTTATTTTATAACATTTTTAGACTGGCCCTATATTAATATAGAAGGATGGTTTGCCTTACTACGAGTCGAGATGGCCAAACATTAAACTCATAGACTCTGACTAAACAATTGTTATAATTTATAAAATTTAACATATATAATTATTTTACGAATAGACCCTACCATTACCATCTCATATAAACTTACCCTAGCTAGCGTTTATCAGACCATATTTCGTTAGGTAAAATCAAATATGTATATCTATATATATACCACTGATTAATTCACTAAATGTGTCAATACATATGAATCAGCTGTAGCGTCATTCTGTGATTTACACGTCGATTAATTGACATTATTGCACATTCATATAATGACAAATAAAGACAATTCTGAACAATAATTTTTACCAAATTGTTATTCGCAATAACCATTTTTTTATTGTTTTATCGAACAAATTATTAAAATTACTAACCAGTTTTATATTTAATTTAATACAATTACTAACTAGTTTGCTATAAATAAAAATAGCGAATCAAGATACTAGGCATTAAGTATAGGTCAATTTAATCGATAAACAAATAATTAGAGTGGCATACTTTACCTATGATTACTAAAAAAAGTTAAAATTATGTGGAAGGTTACACTGAGCTAGGGCAGGGAACACCGCTCATATAAAAATTGCTGATTTTTAGTACCTTCTTCCTATTTAAAAGTTTATTTATGTTTCTGCAAGGTTTCCTTCATTTTTTTTACTGATTAATTTTTAAGCTATTATTTTGAAGTCAATAACGCACAACTCCTTCTTTGAAAACGAGATGCTAACTTAATATATAAATATGAATGAGATATAATAATTTATAATCAGACTCCTCCTAAAATAATTCTCTTTTACGATTTACTAAAATGGAATTTAAAATATAAAGATATTTTCATGCTAAAAATACATTAATTTTTTAGCATGTATTTAAGTATTCTATATCACATATCGTCTTTTAATTTTCACATTAAAAATCAGAACTATAATCTTTAAAAAAGTAAAAAAGGAATTTCAATATCATTTTTTTTATGCATATTACATTGGGAAATATAATTAAATTTATATGAAAAGGCTATTTAAAAAATCGGTATTTCTAAATATTTTATAAAATTAAGTTTTCCTTGAAAAGTGAGATTGGGTATAGCCGTTTCATTAGCTACAATCTAATTTTAACTCACTTTTTGCCTCATTGGTGGGGGAGAGGGATATTAAATTTAGATATTCTCATAAAAATGACAATCATAGAAAAATTTAAGAATTGCTGCATTCTTTCCCTATCAAATCCTTGTTAGCATATTTTGGTCGAATATATAATTTATTATATAATTATATCTATTTAAATATATTTTATTTGCATAGGCAACTCACCATGAAGCAGAAGAAGTAAAAATGGATAAACAATATTTAAAAGGATCAATATAATTTATTGAAGGACTAAAGTATGTTCTGGCTGGACTATTTTTGCTTTTGATGGTTTGTTCTGTGTTTGGTGACATATTTTTTTTCGTTTTATTTGTTTTCTTTTAAGTTGGTCGAATATATATAGCTGTCTGCTTGAAAATAAGTCGAATAAGGACACACCCTAAGACTTTTATAGCCTTTGCTATTCTTACCACGATTCGTTTTTGGCCTATAATTATTTTTTGCATTTTATAAATCCTACACCTAGCAGAAAATTGAGTACATGAGCAAAAGTTCGTCATCCAGTTTTTGTGATTGAAGCACATTTCATTCACGGTGGGTCCTTTTTGAAATTGACCAAATCAATTCATGTTTTTGAAATTATTTAGTGTAAATATGCTTCCTAATATAAAAGAAATAATATGGTCAATGTAATGGTGACTAATGATATAAAACAAAGGTATGGCTAAATATTTATCTAGATAGCATATCAACTATTAATTAAATTCAAAATTGTCAATAGAATTATAGTGGCAATTATTCTTCCATTTCCTTTAAATTGAATATTTCCGGTAAAATCAATAAAAAAAATTCAGCCTTTAAATAAAGGTAGGCTTTTATTTGTATATTAATATTTTTAAGAACGCTGAAAATTTAAAATGATCTATCAAATTTGATTTATAAATAAATAAAAATTCCAATAAAAAATTTAACAGAAAAAATCATGTTTTTACTAGTAAACACCTTATTTTTAAATTTAAGTTCAAAGACAGGTTTTTCTAATGTTTTTTATTTTTTTTAAAAAAAACCTTAAATTTTAATAATTAAATTAATTTGCCTCTTTTTTTCCTATGTCTTATTTTTCAATGAGCCTAAAGGGTAAAGGATCTGACAACTCTATTTAGGCCCTACCCAATCACTCACGTTATTTTCCTTCCACCTTATAACTCAAGTATTAAAAATTTTTATAGTAATGATACAATTTTCTTACCTATAAAATTCTATATAGCATAAATTGTATATTTATTTTCACTATTAAATATAATACAAAAAATATATTTTTTTAAACTAAAATTATGGCTTTAAAAAACATGATTATAAATAATATTTTTTAAAAAAACGCCTATAAAAGTATTTAAAAAGGTTTATGATTCATCATCACTAAATCGAACAGAATTGACGGACATTGATATGATACCACCGGCATAGCTTCCCCTTTTTTTCTTATTCTTTTCGTGTTTAAAACCTTTGCCCTTAGTAAACTTTAGGACATCGTTTGCTTTTTCTCCCCAGGAGTTAGCGGCCCCTTTCTAAATAAAATTAAAAAAAGGGTTTATATGTTGTGATTGAGTATATATTTCATTTTTAATTGGTATATGTTATTTACTATAACTCATTTACAGATTCAATACAATATTTATAACAACAATCAATATTAACATATAGTATTAATTCCAAATTTAGATGAACATAAATAAAATTATGAATGTATTAAAAAAAAATTTTATATTATGAAAAAAACAATAATAGGGAATTCAATCATCTCGGACAATTTTGCTATCCTTTCTATTAAATATAAGTCTTAGTGAGGCCCAGAATTTTTTTCATGGTTTATAACATTTGCTCAAAATTCAAAAATCTTCAAGCTCTAGATTATTTTACGAAAAGATATATTAAATTTATTTGATCTTCAAAGATTTTTTGCTCAAAATTTTGGGCGAAAAAAAATCTTCAAAAGCTCATTTGAAGATTTTTGTTAAACCCTAATTTTTTAATTTAACGACTAACGTCTTTAACAAGGTTTTGACTAAATCACTATACATTGTTAGGGTAGAGCTGTTTATTAGTATAACCTGATGAGTTTGCGGAATATTAGTCAATATTTAAATTCTCCTATGTTAATATTGGATGTTAAATGTTTGCAAGATAAATGTTTCCACCGGGATGTCTACTGTCAGGAAATATATTAGAAGATTCTAATGTAGTGGGAAAAGTCTGTTTAATTGAAGCAATATTATCTGGTTGTGCTTAATATGTTGGGTTTGCTAACGAAGATTGTGATTACAATGTAAAGGATGCAATACCAAACTGTCATTGTCAGTTTGGAGTTTGTTCAACCAGAATTGTGATTGTAATGTATAAGATGCAGTGTCAAACTATCAGTTTCAGTTTGGAGTTTGCTAAATCTATATGTAAATGCTGATTAAGCCTGTTACATAAAGAGTGAGTGAGCTCTTGGTTATTGAATTCCAATTTGAGATTTTTAGATGGGATAACCTCTAAAAATTCCTATGATCTTTAATGAGTTAATTGAATGCGGATTTGGCCAAAGATGGAAAACCCGTAATAAGGTAATTGAGTGTTGTTAAACGGCTCGATTTGAGCCGATTTTTAAAAACGGCTAACTCAATATTTTATCTAGAATAATATTACGCAAGCCTGAAGATTTTGCTCATAGGTGGCACAGCGAAATCTCGAGGCTTAAGCAATATTTTTCTGGCGAAAATATTGAGTTAGTCGTTTTTAAAAATTGGATTAAAACGAGCCGTTTAACAACACTATATAATTAACTTTAAATAATTTGTATTTTGTTTAAGGATACAATTTATGGTAGATTGATTATCATAAATAAACTTTCGATGAATCATTTAAAATAAAATTATATTTTATTCTTATAAAACCTTTTATATCTTAAACACCACAGTAATTAACAAATTTTTGGACTCTTTTACCTTGTATTTTTTTTCGATCTTTTAATTATCCTATATAAGGAAATTTATTCTAAGTAACGAAAAAAATGCTTAAACTATTACATTTTTGCGATTGTTATATTTTATAAAAAAAATTTCTGATGAAGATTTATTAAGTCAAAAAATATCATTAAACTTATTTAATTAACCCTAGGTCAATCACTAATATTATCCTAAACCAAGTCCTATGATGTATACACATAAATTTTTTTAAAGGATGATTCAATATAGAAAAAAATGAACTTTAGCTTCGAAAGAATTGTCGCACAATTTTGGATCAATCTTTATCTCACCATAGGTTTCGATTCGTCTAAACGGTTTATTGGAATTCGGCATCTGATGTTTCTAATTATTATAGATTTTTTTTACAAAAAAAAGAATATTAAAAATACTCAATACTCTTTTTCAAATATGTTCATTATCAAGGATTTTATATTCAACCAGGCAGTAAAATTTTTATATTTTAATTGTGCGTGATTTTGCATCCTTTCAAATAAAAAAATACTTGATCCAGAGCATCCGTTTTAATGGAAGTCAGGCTGACAAAGGGTTCAAGATATCCATTGCTCATCCCATTCATGCCGTTGACGATTATAGAATTTTCTGTATCTTTATTAGGCTTTTCCATAATATCACTCAAATTCAATTTTTTACTCTTTTTCTTGCGTTTTTTGACGTCATCATTTACATTATCGGCTAGTATGTTGTCCTTAGACCAACCAGCAAGAATTGCTATTTTGTCAGTGGGAGGCTCCTGTGCTTCTTGAGAAAATATAGGATTGGTCATTATAATTTCCCGGTTATTCTCCACACATTTAATCTTTTTGCTCTTCTTGGGCTTTGGTGGTTTATTTATAATCACCACAGCTTCGTTTTCAGCATTGTTGACATTGATTATATGGTCAGCTGACTCGGTAAGCAAATTCAAAATTTTTTCCTTTTTTTTGCGTTTGTTACTCTTTTTAGGTTTGTCCTCAGGATTAGAGCTGGGAGATGGCACAATCACGGCATCATCTTCTTTGAGCTTAACAAAACAGCGCTCCATACTTTTAGACATGCTTTCCTTTATATGATCAAGGTTTGAGGTAATAATGGCCTTTGGAGTGCTATTTTTGCTAGTAGAATCAGATGATTTTTTAGATTCTAAATCCTTGGCAACGTCAGTTATAGAATTGGTTCTTGGAATTGCATTAGGTTCTATCTCTTGGTTACTACTTCTTTTTATGGCACTCTCTATGGATTCGAGATAAGTATTTGTTTCACTTTTATCAAAAATATTTGATGTTATTTGACGCTTTTCAGAGCTGTCATTCATAACAGGTTTCGATTTTATTGGCTGTTTGGTGGCCACTTTTTTGGAGGATGGCGTGAGCATTTGGCGGATTCCAAGGTTTATGGCATTTTTCAGCTTGTCTGATTTTGATATCGTTTGTATATTTTCTGATTTATCTTCTGTGATGTTGCCTGACTTTTCACCAAGAACATAATTGCCTGTCAATTCTGAATTGGAGTTTGAACTAGTAACAATAGTGCTAGAAAGTGTTGGTTCAGCAATGGATTTAAGAGTTTGTTGTTGTTGTTTGAGCATTAGAGATCTAGGCAATAGGCCATTTAATTTGACAGGAATATTTTTTGACGGTTTTTCAGGCTTCTCTGTGATGTAAAAAATTAAACGAGATAATACAAATATTAACAAGCAAACATAATGAAGAAAAAATAACAATATAATTTAACTATTATCATACTTTTTTTATTTTCAGCTATAACAAGGGCTTTCTCCTTTTCTTCAGTAATAACAGGTGGTATTTGCAAGGCTTTTACTTCCTCATTTTTTTCTGGAATATTACCGATTAATGCTTGTATCGTTTTATCATTCTGTCTATTTTAATAGTGAGTTTATAAAATTTTTCATTTGAGTCATTAAATAAAGAAAGGCTAAGATATATTTTGAACAAATGGCATTGATACCATTTTTTATGATACTAGAAGTTGGAGCAGCTAGACTCTCAAACTAGTCCATAAAAAATTTTCAATAAAATTTTTTGGCCTGGCCCATAAAACATGTCTTGTACACATTGTCCAACCCAGCCCATGATAATTTTTTATGAAGGAAACCAACATAAATTTGCCTCATCAACTTGGCTTTAAAAATTTAAAAACATTGGTCCAATATATATAAATATTTAGAACAATTTATATGTCCTGGCTAGGGGTGTACCGATACCACTTTTTGGAGGTCGATCCGATCCAATATTTCAGATATTAAATTGATATCGGCCGATAACCGATCCGATATCATATCTAATTTTGTATTATGCATGGATACCAGTTTTAATTTTTAATATACTTTTTATTAGTACAACATCTATAATTTTACTATACCATAACATATGTCATTTAAATATATATTATAATGGTCAGTTATAGTTTATATTCAATTCAATTGCTATTATTTATATAATAAATAAATAACATTAATCTATTTACATAATTAGTAATAAAAATATATTATGAAATTTGAAATTAATATTTAAAATTAATATATCGAAGATTTCTTTTTATATCAGAGATATGTCGGCGGTGATGGGGACTGTTAATATCACTAGCATCACTAAAAACAGATACTGAAGAGATTAATGAACACTTTTTTAAACAGAATGCGAAAAAAAATAACTATATTGCAGAATGTTTATTAATTCTATTAAAAAAATTAAACATAAAAATGTATTTCGATTTTATTTATAAAAATAAATGGTTTTTTAGATATAACTTTTTTTAAATTTTGTTAAAAGCGCCATTTTATATCGGATCGGAAAATTTTATAATATTTGCCGATAACCGATATTTTAAAATGAGCGAAATATCGGCCCGATCCGATCCGATATAAAATATCGGTACATCCCTAGTCCTGGCCCATAAATCTTTTCCCAAATAATTTATGTAATATAATTTTTAAGAAAAACTTAAGCTAGTGGAAAAAACCTAAAATCTCTATTTTCCAAAAATATATATTTTGATTAATTTTAGTTATAAAATATGTACCATATTAATGAAACTAGAAGTCAATTCTGCAAAAAAATTTCAAAAGTTAAAAGGAAATAGGAACAAAAATTACACTTTCTTTCTTCTTTCTTATCTATTTAAAAATTTGTATATTCTTTCCTACTTATCAATTGTTGGATTATTATTTTGGGTATTGGCAATGAGTATCAATTAAAAAATAAAAGTATTAGCTGATACCAACTGATATTTAGAATTAATTTGACATTATATTAATAAATATCATAAAATATCTATTTTATAAATTTATTACCCAACGAAAAGAATAAAAATATATCAATTCTTGAATCATTAGTAAAATGAAATTTAACATTTATTATTAGTTTGTTTATAATTGTTTTTTTGTGTGCACTCTAAATTAAAACACTTTTTACAAAAATTCAATTTAAGCAGTCATCAGTGAAGATTTATTTGAATTTATTATAGGTTATGAATAAAATCTTTTTAAATAAGGGTAAATTTCATTTTAAATATAAAAACCTTATGTTCAATTAAATAAATACTTTTGAACTTTTACATGAGTATGTTATATAATTTTATTGCTAAAATAAAAAATATACTGTATATATCTTGTTAAATATTTAAGTTATTAACATTACACAAACTTTATTGAATTTTGTATATACTATTTCCATATTAATTTGATAATAAAAAAAAATGCTAAAATTTTAGTTATATAAATATTAAGTTCATCATATATAGCTTATTTATAAAATAAAATTTTGTATATAAGTGTTGAGATTTGCATAACTATATTCAAACATTTTAACTATAGATTCAAATTTACATTAAATTCTGTGAGATATATTAGTTATTTAGATATTTCTTGACTTTATTAATATATAATAAAAATATAGTTAAGGTGAAAATGATAATTTAAAAAATTAGTATTAAATTGATTTTAGTCTTGATAGGCAAATATCAAAGTTAAATTAGTATCGGACAAAGAAGAGTCGATCAGTGCAACTCTAAAATTAATTATCATACATTATTCATTATTTTAATAATATAAATAAAATATTTATAAGCATAAATTGTTTATTTATTTATTATTAGGACTGGTCATAGCCGAGCATTATTAATGGAAGAATATACATTAAATAATGAATTAAAATAAAAAAGATTAATTGCTTTGTATCAAAACAAGTCTAATTTATTTAAAAAATTTATGCCAAAACCCAACCTGTAGATCAAGAAACCACAATATACTTTAGTTTTATCATTTCATAAAATCTGGAATTAAATTAATTTCAAGAAAAGAATTCTTTTCCACATTAAATATATCAATTTATAATAAATTAAAAATTCATTACTTCTTCCAATGTGCATAAATATCTTCAAGTGTAGTAATTGGATTTACTGATTTATCCTACAAATAAAATACTTATATGAACTAAATAAATAATTACTATATTAAGATGCTTTGCAAATTCATCCGCAGCCGATAAACAATGGTAGCTCAAATAATAATGTACTAATCTATGCAATTTTTTACCCATTGGGATTAAGGATGAAGTATTTTTAAATTTTGATTACTTTACTGTAAATACAAAACCTCTCAGAAAAGATGGCAGTTATGATTGATTGATTCCTGCAGATGATAAACAAAATTACGTTTAGAACTGATTTACTTTTTCTTTTATATTAGTAAAGATATAAATCTATTTTCTAGATTTAAATGATTTATTTAATTTATATTACACAATTATTTTAAAATTTGCGAACAGATGAAATACAAGCGTTAAGAAAACACCTAAATGGGTAGGTGAGAGTAAATGTATTGTTGGAATGTATGTAGTAACCTCAAAATCTCTATTTAAAATTTTTATTCAATGTATAAAATTTTTTTTGGTAATTTAAGGAGATTTCTAATTTATAAATAAACTGATAAAAAACCTTTAAATAGATCAGTCCCAATCAATTAGAAATAGGAGCAAACTTGTATCAAACAAATGGTTTTTAACTTTCATGTCTCTCACATGATTTTGGCGTAACAGTTCAATAAACAACTTATTTACATCAAAAAAAAATCAGAAGTGGTTGTATCGTCAATCTTTAGGGAAGATAAAATGTCCATCGTTCGGCTGAGCTAGTGAGGCTAGATATTATGATTTGATTTGAAGATAATGTCAGTAAGGTCACTAGGGGGGAGAGTGCAGGGGCTCGAGCCCCCTGAAAAATTTGAATAGCCCCCTGAAGCGAATTTTTTTTTAATGGCTCCCTAATATCTCCCAAAACTAAAAATAAATTTTTGATATCCCCCTGAATGAAATCTTTTATAATTCTATTAAATATTATATATAGATTTGATTCTATTTTTTAAAAAATAATAAGACTATCTAAATTTTTATTAACTGAGTGCTGTTTTAATTATTAGACTAGATTTATAAATTATATTTTCACTTGCACAATCAAATTTTATGTTAAAAATGGGTTATCAATCATTGTCTAAATATCAATTTAACATTAACAGTTGATGCGTAATTGATTTTTATTATTTAAATTATTATATAACCCTAATTAAATAAATAAAATTATTAATTGAAAATTAACAAATTTAATATTGTAAGAAGCCGTCAAAATCACTTATCTATTTTTAAATTTAATTACCATGCCTCTTCCTAAAATATTTACAAGGTTCAATTTAGTATAAGAAATTATTTATAAAAAAAGAAGACATATAGTTAATAATCCTCTATTATATAGAATTAGTTACAAAATATTAGTTAAAATGCTACTTTTATAAACATATTTGAAAGTTATGAAATATATTACAGTTTACGTTTTAAATAACTAATCAATGCTTTTGATAATAAATATAAGTTATAATTTGCAATCACATCTATTTATTATTAATAAAAAATAAAGCATATATTATTCACCCCACAATGGATGTAATTCATATTAGATATCTTTTTTTACTTCTCTTTTTTTACGTGTTTTTAGGAAAGCTATTTTTTTCTTCTTTGAAAATCAGTTTTGAGTTATATTTATTATACGTTAATATTTTGATATTATTACAAACTACTATTATTTGACAAAATATACCAATATGAGGTGGTGCGACAATAATATATAAAACCTTAATTGCTTTCATCATATCATGTCCTTATTTTATTTCTAATATGGCATCCTTACCGTGTAAATAACTTTAGGCTACAATATATTTACATAATTATTTCTTCTAAAAATTTTAAGTTTTTTGATTTATCAATACCATAATAAAGTTTGATCTGAGCTTACATCGTGAGTGTCATGACTATGACTGCAAACTATCATTTATTATTTGTGTGACTATTTAACTTAAGATTATTACTCATGCTGCTGAGAGTATTTGACTGTATAATTTAGATAAGCAATAATGACCAACTATCTAATCGTTTATATTACATTTAAAATGAAAGATAATCTTTTAGAAATTTAATATCTCCTCACAATAATTTTATCGATTACTTATCTAGCTTCTATAATGTCATTTAGGTCTAACCACCATATAGTTTTATCATTTGGATTAGTCGTTTATATTCTCTTCTTCAAGAATTATTGATTTGGTTAGGCCTACAAAATTTTCCTTATTAGTGTCCAAAATAATAACACAGCGTTAAATTAGTTTAATGACATTTTGTCAATGTAGGTTGCTAAAAATTATATTACTTTGTTTGGTTTTTAAAAACCATTATCAAAGGTTAACCTTTTTTTATAACTTGTAATATTTTAGACAAAAATTTTTTAATATCCGCAATCGAAAATATTTTATATGTAATAAATGGATAAATATTTTGTATAAAAATATTATCTTTAGAAATGTCTTGTATACTTTTATTATTTGCATGCATATAGAAATTCAGAATAATTGTTCAGAGTTTCCAAATTTTAATTAAAAAAGTATAATATATTAATATAAAACCCGCAAAATAGGGGTTATGGGGGGTTAGTTCCCCTTGAGATTGTAAAAGCTTGTGACATCCCTGGACATTGTCAGGTGTAAAATTTATTTACATCTCAATCATATTTTAAATATTCAATTCTTTAAACTTATTCAAATATTTTAGATAACTGTAAACTACTCAGCGTCCACATGAGCGTAGAGGGAGAGGGGGGGGGTAGGTATAGTTTGCTTCTAATTTTTTTGAAGGAGGTAGGCATTTTTGGAGAGCAGACTAGAGGTAGTATAAACTTATTTGGGGATTATTTATATATTAATGTAAAATATTATTTAATACTTTTTTTATAATATAAACCTATTATAATATTTAAATGATATTGCTAAACATTGACCAAATTTATATTTTGCATTTTTAAGTCTTTATTTTTCATATAAAACTTATTTCTGGATAATTTTCTTATATCTTTTCAACAAATGTGATTAAAAAGGGCTATCAGAAAACTCTCTTATTAATGTTAAACATTATAATATAATATACTTTACATTCATTGTTAATGAGGAGATTTTTAATTATTCAAGTTCTAAATAATAACTCCTTTACATTTACATTTTTATAGTTGGTAATAGAGCAGAGACGAAGCATTGCTTTCCTTGAAATCTCTATTAAAATTCTTAAATAAATTTAATATAATCGCTAAAAAATTAATAAAAGGGGAGCAATTTAACATTGCTTATTTTTTATAATAAATAAAGAAAAAAATCATGCTCAAACAATATATTATTTGCTATAATATAAATATTGAGAAACCAAATATAAAAGTGGTTAATTTTTTAATAAAGAGAAAATCATGTTAATGTATGTAAGGGACAAAACTTGGAAAAAGAAATCAAAACTTGCATTCGTAATCTTTCTATTATATGAAAAATATGTCTGCTCTTGATGTATATATTCTAATTCTCTGTATTGTTGGGAATGCCTATTATTCCCAAAGGAAAGATATAATGATAAAGGTTTGACATGAATTATTTCTTGAAGGCAGTTAAGCATAAAGAATCAATCGCTCATTTGCAGTCGTGGATTCAATTAAAATCATTTGGCAAAAATCGAATTAAAAATATCTGAGTATTGATAATTTTAAAATATACGAAGAGAATACCATTATATAATTAAAAACCTATAATTCATAATGTGAGAATTAGGGGGTTTGGCATTCACTGAATATCATCATGTAGACGCTGAAGCTACTAGTATAATGTATTAGTGAATGATTTTGAAATGTAACTTAGTAGAGCATATAAGTAAAATAGTTAAATAGATTTTTTTTTCTGATTATATATTTTTATTTCATAATTTCTAATACAATATTATTCTAGATCATAATTTTTTATTTTTTCAATGTTAAAATATTAATTAATTTGCTAATTTAATAAATTTTCATATTTTATGTAATGTATGATCAAATTTAATTAAGGCATACAGTAAAATAAAACATATTGTAATCATAACTCAAATAAAAAAAGGAAGGCCGGTTCTTTAATTTTCTTAAATATACTATTTAGCTCAATGAATGAATTTTAGTAATAGTTTTTATCACAGAATTTTATGTAAAGTATAATTTATAACTTTAAGTTGTATCATTTTAAATATGATTTTTTTTAAAAAAATGATAACTGTCATAATTGGGAGACTTTGATTTGTAAAATTTGATTTTTTAAAGTCAGTATGTATTGCGTTTGATGAGTCATTTTTATTTTTATAATTTTATGTTTTAGTTAAATTGGTGAGTCATTGTTATTTTTATAATTTTATGTTTTAGTTTTAAAAGAAACAAGTTATATTTATTTTAAATAAAAATTTTATTTCTACTTTTAAAAAATAAAATAATAATAATTATAATATGTATATCATCGACTGGTATATATACTGGTATATGTAACAAAACATTTAAATTAATACTCAATAAATTATTTTACAAATTAATAAACAACACAATATGTAACAAAACATTTAAATTAATACTCAATTAATTATTTTACAAATTTGAATAAACAACACTATTAACATTCCCCTCCTCGACAAAGCATCAAGTTGCTGCTCAGAGGGCGCATAAGTCTGTCTGATGGCGTGAGTCCATACGTTTTTGTAGGTTAGAAAAGTTGGTGGATTAGAATAATAAGTGATCATCATTGGTCTCACAATATAGAATTCATAACCTAACGTCCAACTTCCATATTGGTTCTTTCTAGTTTGTCACATTAGGTTAGGTGCTGGTTATCATATTCCATTCCAACATCCAGAGCCAGGACACCATGAAGAAAGAAGCTTTTTGCATGAGAGTGTTAAGGCTTGATTCTAGTCATCTCCATAGATTAAGCAATCAACACAATAGGTAGTCAACACAATAGGTAGTCACCACAATAGGTAGTCACCACAATAGGTAGTCACCACAATAGGTAGTCACCACAATAGGTAGTCATATAAATAGAGTCATATGGATTAAGCAATCGTCACAATAGGTAGTCACAATAGGTAGTCATATAAATAGAGTCATCTCAATGGATTAATCAATCGTCACAATAGGTAGTCACCACAATAGGTAGTCATCACAATAGGTAGTCATCACAATAGGTAGTCATCACAATAGGTAGTCATCACAATAGGTAGTCATCACAATTTCGAATTTAATTTAATTTTTACTTTTTTATTTTAATTTTAGGCAAATTTTATATATTTTCTTCTTCTTTTTTTTAACAAAAACGTAACGGGGCGCCATAAAAGAAACAAGTTATATTTATTTTAAATAAAAATTTTATTTCTACTTTTAAAAAATAATAATAATTATAATATGTATATCATCGACTGGTATATATACTGGTATATGTAACAAAACATTTAAATTAATACTCAATAAATTATTTTACAAATTTGAATAAACAACACAATATGTAACAAAACATTTAAATTAATACTCAATTAATTATTTTACAAATTTGAATAAACAACACTATTAACAAGTTTAATCGCGTTAACATTTTATTTTTAGATTTATAAAAGTTAATTATTGTAAAGTCATTATGATGATAGGATTTAATTATTTATTTGTGATGATTATTGCTTCCCTATAAAAGGGAAGCGAAAATTGTAAATTATCAATTCATTTCTTTTTTTGAATTCATTTTTTTTTAAATAAATTTTTTTTTAACAATTAATTTTTTTTCGATTATGATTATTATGAAATTATTATAAAATTATATAAATTTGGATTGAAATAAAATTATTGCTTTCTACCCCGGCACAACGTAATAATAACAATGTATAATCTCAAGTTCAAATAGGTGCGACTTAGCCTGGATTTAATTTGGTCCAAGTTTTTTTGAGGTCGAAATAATATTGGTTTTATAAAAATCTTTTTTACATTAATTAAATATTGCATTATTTGTGGGTGGGTGGTATATGGGATTTTTTTTTATAATGATATTTACAATTTCAAAATGATACTTTTACTTGTGAAATGAAACTTTACTTATAAGGTAAAAGGCTTTAAATATTGTATTACTTTCGTCTCATTCTAAATGTTATGTGTTGTATTTTTATGAATTCTATCTGGAAATTTGCTAAAAATTCTAATTTGCCCTTATATTATTATAAAGTTCCCACCAAAACCGTGGTTGGAAAGTTTGAAATAAAATATTGGTCACAGCCAGTGTTGTTAAACGCTACTTTTATAAGTAGCGCGCTATCGCTACCGCTATCGTTTTCAAATGAGTAGCGCGCTATTAGCTTTTAAAAATATTTTTTAAGTAACTTTATTTCCACAAATAAAATATTGGTATAAAAACATAATTTGTTACATATATATATATATATATATAATTTATTTATTATTGCACTTTAATAATAATAACATTTCGGTACTGTCATCCCCAAGTCTAGAGCGATGATCAGAAAGTATAAGCTTTGCCATACTAAATAATCGTTCAGCACTAGCACTTGAGCGCAACGCAGTATTAAATTAATAAACACACTTTTTATATGAAAAAATCATCAAAAATATTTAAATGAGTATTTTTAGATTTAAAAAAAGCATCTAGAGATTCAATAATATTATTATTATTATTTATTTCAAAAAAATCATCTATGGAAGGCAGCGGTTTCGGTCTTGCTATAGTATTAGTATCGTGGTATCAGCCTATCAAGTTGCCCTTTAGATTCAGTCAAATTATTGTATGGCCAATTTAACTTGAAACTAGGATGAACGATAGCAGCTATTACATTATCATCATCATACAGATCTGGAAATCTAATTTATATAAAGGAGAAAAAAGAAGAATACCTTTTTAATTTTCAAAATTTAAATTTATCTGAGATTTAGATTCATTTATAAAAAAATATTTAAAATAGCATTAAATTATGGTAAATAATGATTTTAAAAATATAATTATTATACACAAGCAGAGTCTACATGACAGGATTTTCACTGAATGCAACCTACCCCCTAAAAAATTATGGCCGCCTTCGGCGGCCATGTTTTTTCATTATTATTTTTACCTTTTTAATTATAATGATACTCTTTTCAGAGAATTTATAAAGGATTACTTAAATTATTCTATCTTTACTACCAACTATCGATATTTTATAAATATAAAGGATTTATTTTTTAGATAATAAATTGATAATCCATTTTTTACAATGAATTCATTATTATAACATTATTAGCTTGCTGAAATATTTAAACCTTTTAAATTACATTTAAAAGGATAGCAGAAATTTTTATTTGGAAAACAATGTGTATGATTGTTTGCAATATATAGATTTGGTCGATGAATTGTATTATAATAGTTCTATAATAAAAGTATTAATTTTTACAGCAATAAATTTTGTCCTATTTCATCTCAAAATTTAATAGACGACCCCCCAAAACATTTATCCTACCCTCATTAAAGCCTACCCTCTATCCCCCTCAAAAAATAGGATGCAGGCTGTTCCTACCTCTCCCGCTCATATAGACGCTGTACACAAGGTTATTAATTAATATATTAATTTTAAATTTTATATTAATACTTTATAGAATAATCTATATTTTTCTCATTTTCCAAAGAAATTTCGTTATCTTCAACAATCTCACACATTTTTAATAACTAGATTTATAATGCTAACATTTATAATGTATTATTTTAAATATAAATTTCAATTTCAAAATTAAATTAAATGAAAGGATTATAATTTTAAATTTAATAAAAAATATATTATAATAATTTTTAGATGTATTTATTATGTAAAAATGAAAGTAGCGAAGTAGCACTAAATTAATAGTGAGCTACCGCTATCGCTATTTTTTAAAAAAAGTAGCCAGCTAAAGCTACCGCTACTGAAAAAAGTTGCGCGCTATTTTAACAACACTGACACAGCATTCGACTTTTAATATAAAATATTGATAAAAGCTTTAATAAATAATATTTATTTTATCTTCTTCCTAATTTACAAATACGAATATTTTTTTTGTTTATAATAATTTAATAATAATATAACATCATATTATAACTCAAACTATCATAATAATAATTATTATTATCTGTTGTGTTTGCAAATTTAATCGAATATAATATTATTTGACATATTGTTTAAAGTTTTATTTTAAAAATTTTCTCAATTCATATAATTGTGCGATTTTGTAAGTGTAGATTCTTGTTTTGCAGACAAATGTGCCAACTAGATCATGAATTTCAGAACTTCAAATGGCTATTTTTTTGAGGATTTTAATTTAAAAAAAAAACACTTTAATTATTTATTGGTGGAATCTGGTATAAGAGTGTGTTATAGGATGATAATCTATAGCTGGCTGCAAAGGATGTTTAGGAAATATGAGATGTCATTTCATTCAGGATTCTAATAAAAGACAGCGCAATTTTTTTTTCTTCCTTCTAAAGAGGTATGATTTTGTTTTTGAATGGACATTAAAGCTCTAAATGCTTTGCAACCGCGAAACCCGAGATATTCCTATATCACGGCTAAATGGGCACCGGGGCCCTTATTTTAAGTAATAACGGTAAATTCGAAGAGCGATTTGAAAAACGATTTTATGCCACACTGTTCCATTTAGGGTTTCTGTCTTCGACATCTTTTATCATAAAATTATGGTTATTCAGATTTAGACATAAATTTAAATAGGCATGCATAGTGTTGTTAAATGGCGGCTCATTTTGAGCAGATTTTAAAAACGGCTAACTCAATATTTTAGCCTGAAAAACATTGCCTAAGCCTTGATATTTCGCGAACAGATGTCCAAACCTTTGTTCCTTCTACAAACAAAATCTTCAGGCTTGTTATATAATATTATTCTGGATGAAATAGTGAGTTTGCCGTTTTTAAAAATAGGCTTGAAACGAGCCGTTTAACAATAATAGCCATGCATATGTGATAATTATTGGCAATCAGGACCAATCTGGTATTCCATACGAGAACATTTAGAATTTCTAAATCTTTAACCATTTACTGAGGTATTTTTTAAATTTTCGAAAAAAATAAAATAAATGTAATTTAACCGGAAATGAATTTCATTGTGAATATATTATTTTTTATCCTAATTTTCAGACACGCCATATTTATTTTTGTATATTTTTTTTATTCTTCCATTTTATGTAAAAAAATATATATAATAAACAATATAATTTGAAATTAGTTTAAAAAAAAGTTGATGACAAAAATTTGCTGGTTAGGAATACTCTATTTATACTGGAATTCATTTCCGGTTAAATCAGGTTTTATTTACTCTTGGTAAATGGTTCAGAATTGAGATCTTTCCTAATCGCCACTGGAGGGTTCGAATTATTCCTTATTCTAGTTAACTTCGTAAATATATATCCATTTACCTGGTGAATAGAAATGGATAAAATTTTCATTTCAAATATTAGAAATAAAATTATTTGACTTACCCTAATTTTTTAAGGCGAACATTTTAGAGTTATTAAGTAATTTTTTTTTAAAAGGAAAAACTCCGTATACTTATGTTGCATTGGGATATGGAATTACTAAATTTTAAATCAGTTACTGAAGACGATGTATAAATTTCAAAGATCTGATATGACCGGAAATACATTTCAGTATATTTAGAATACCAACACTGCGAATTTAAGATTTTGCCCCTTAACTTTTTCTATACGCTTAATTTTATATAGATTTTTTTAAATTAAAAAATATGCACAATATTGAATGGAAAAAATTGTCTAAGTTTTACAGGGTAGTTCTTCTACATATGCTTGAATACACTTCCTGTCAGACGAGACTGAAATTATAAAATTATTGAGAAATTCAGAAATTCCCGTGGATTTTATTACCCCAATACAACATGTATATGTTTATACAAAATATTTAGAATTTTATGTATAAAATCTAGGTAACCTGGCTTTACTGAAACGTGGATATAAGACCTCTCCCGGTAATGAACCCAGTTAAATCCCGCTTCCAGCGCCAAACCCGCCAAAAACCCGTTTTTACTGTACCCGTTATCGCTGGTAGCAATATCCAAAGCCCTACCCTTTTCGAGCAGCACGTATCTCGGATCATTCGAAACCTGGCTAGGGTAATTTGACAAGGTGTCTCTGCCTCTCATAACTTTTATTCGCATCCCTGGCCATTCCAAACTGACAATCATGGAAAGCAAATTGAGTTTTTCGGAGCACGTCTATAAAAGTTTAATCGAAAATTCTTTTTTAAAAACATAATTTATATATATGTATATATTTTTTAAGTGAATACTGAAATTAGGTATAATATCGTATTGGTGCTTGGACATTGCGTAACTATAGTAGGAGAGGGTGGGGCGTATATGAGCTAGAGTCCCCTAAAAAATTTGAAGAGCCCTCTGAAAATTAAAAAAAAAAATTGCCTAACATGAGCAAAAATCTCCAGGCTGGCGTAAAATTTTTTGGCTAAAATATTAGGCTAACCGTTTTTAAAAGTCGATTTCCTTTAACAACATTACATAGGTTAGGCTGAACACTTTATTTTTACCATATCGAGTTTTTGTTAAATAATCTGATATAGTGCATATTATATACAAAATATTATTTTTGACAATATATATAAATGAGGAAATAATAAAAGAATAATAAAATTTGCATAATGGAACAAACTTAAAAAGGGTATTATAAAGTGAAAAGATTGTCGCAAATAGGACGATATCACAAAAAAAATTTCAGGCGTTGTACGGTTCGTCTTATTTTTGGAACTTATTTCTGTTCAGACCAGTCTATTCAAATTATGAACTAGGATAACCTTTTCTGTTTTGTTTTAACGTAAGTACCAAATCTAAATAAATACTCTTTAGAGGGAAGCTATATAGAACAGGTTTAAACAGATTTATGTTTAGAAATAAGTCTGCATTCACAATTAGCGCGAATACGTGGCAAGGTATACAAAATATGGGGCGTTTTTGTATACTTCGTCGCGAATCGCGCTGACTATAAATGTAGGCTAAGACGAGTTAGCACACGACCTTACTATTATATTCGATATTGATTTTTCTTTCCCATTATATGCAAGGAATGATAATTATTAGTTCTAAGTTAATTGGCTTCTCATAATAACATCTCCCTTCTTTAAATTCGGGATTATAGGAAAACGTTGTCTCTATATTCGGTACCTATAATAAAGCGATTATATCTTATAATTTAACTCGTAAATTTTTATATCTCTCTAAAGGTTGATTATAAAATTAGTGTTGTGTTTAGTTTAACAATTGAGAATTGGAATATTTTTTTTCTTTATTTGAATATTAATAAAAATAAAAAAAATATTTTCAGAATTTTCAACAAAATTTGATTGAAAATCTTACTCCATTACTCAAAAAAAAATCTTCATTTTATTTTTATTCATAAAAATCTTCGAAGATTTTTGAATTTGAGGAGCTCGTGAATTCTTCACTTAAATATGTATACACTCGAGATCTGCAATGGGCTGTTTTTTATCCGGTCTACCCAAGCAGGTTCATACTACGAGCGGGCTTGGGACATTGAGCGGGTGAGCGGACGGGTTTTAAAATAATCGGCGGCGATGGGCCGGTGAATTTTAAATATTGTTTCGGGCGAAATGACCAGAAATAGACTTTTTGTTATTTCTCAGTATTGCATAAATAACATTCAAACAAAAATATAAAGAGAGCTACCAACCATTAAAAATTAATTTTTTAAACATTGAGCTGGCGTGCCAGTTAAACAAAATTTTTAGATAAATGGGCCGGCGGGTGAGCTTAAAAAAACTATAACGAGCCAGTTAAAATTTTTTAAAACAATGGGCGGTTACTAGTACATTTCATTTCTGAAACGCAACTTTACGAGGTATGAAATGCGAAAAATAATCTTCAATCAACGATGATTAATTTTTTTTGTAAATGATTCATCTATTAACGGGTTCAATTTACCATTAAACTTTCCTCTTCATAAAATTATATTTTTATAAAAAAATAATAATATCAAATTTGATTTTTTCATTTTTCAATTTTCTTAACCTTCCATTTAAAAAAAAAAAAATTCAAACCAACCTTTCTATCTTGAGCACACTTGAAGTTTATGGTCCTTTTAAAGTGCGCGTATTATTTTTGTTACTTTTTATTTTAAATGGAAGATTATCGCATAAACCCAATAATTCATACAGGGATTTCTGTAAATTTTTTTTTATAATAAGTAATAGTGATTAGGCGAAATAGCTGGGAAGGCGGAGAGTTACCCAACGTTTAGCACAAATTGATCTTCCCCTATCAGCGACAAAAGCCAATGATGCTATTATGGACAGTTACCTTGGTGGACTCAACTGGCAAAGCTGGCCCTCGGGACTTTAATTTTTGTCTTGTTATTCTCTGGATAATTTAAAAATTAATTGAACCCCCAATGGTAATCGTTGACCAATCAACACTTTAAAATGCGTAAAACCAACCAATAGTAATAATAAATAATAAGAGATAAAATTTCTTCGACCAAATCTAAGAAAGAGGAGTTCACTCTAGTGTTGTTAAATGGCTCATTTTGAGCCGATTTTTTAAAAACGGCTGACTCAATATTTTATTTAAAAAAATTATTAAGCAAACCTTAAGATTTTGCTCATAGATGGCACAAAGGTTTGGACATCCATTAGCGCAAACCTTAGACAATATTTTTCTGGCTAAAATATTGTGTTAGCCGTTTTTAAAAATCGGCTCAAATCGAACCGTTTAACAACACTAGTTTACTCCCTCCCCTCTCCCAAAATGATTTTAAAAAATTCCCTACCCTAATATATAATTAATTCTTTATTACCCACCCAATCATACTCCCGGGTGCCTCAAAAAAGGCGCCGATTTTTGAAATCTCCCACCCAATCCTTATCCCGGGTGCCTATATCGAAAAACCCGTAAACTCGTTTTTTTTTAAAAATTAAATTTCGCGCTTTATTTTTTAAAGAATATACGGATTTTTAATATCTTCAAAATATGTGAGAATTTGATTTAATCATTTTATTTTATTTTTTTTTTAGAAAATTTCAAGTAGGCTAAAATTTGACAAAGAATAACTCAATAAATATATATTTTTTATTTAAAAAAAAGGGAACTAAATGGGTTGGTTTCCCACTGTATTGGACCTGTAGCAAAAGCTCGCCTTTCAATCCAAAATTTAACCCTAATCTTAAATTATAATAACATGAAATATTTAAGGTTTAAGTTTATCAAAACAAATTTCATCAAAAACGCCTTTCAAAATCAGTCAATAATTTTCTAAATTAAAATGTTATAAGAAGATCTTACATACTGATAAAATTATGATTTTTTTTTGTTTATCCGCAAAGATATACAAAAATTCTGATGTTTATAATTAAACACCACCTGGAAGAACTTTGCCAAGTGTCAAATTGACCAATTAAATTAGATCCTTATGCATGACATGGCTCCCTCGCTTAGCACATTTTATTTCACACCGAAATTCTGGTTAATGACCCATTCCACCACATATTCCCTGTATGGAGCAAATTGAAGATTTTAGTTTATAAACATTAAAAACATATATATTGTAAAAAAGACATTTCAGAGCAAGTATTTGTTTCAGTCAAAATTTACGATTTGGGGAAATTGTTAAAAAAAAGGCAAGAATGAAAACTTCATCTAGCCTATTTTTTGAAATAAAAAAAAATGAAGTTTGGAGGGCATTAAAGTAATTTTTGGTCAAATTTTAAGCATTTTTTTTATCACAACTCGAATAAATTCAAAAAAATAATTGGGGAATAATAAATTCCATATATTCTTTAAATAAACTACGAAATTAAACGTTTATAGGAGTTATAAAGATGCCTTCGTAACATTTTCTTTGAGCCATTAGATTTGCTATAAGAAATAACTTAAATGAGCAATGTAAAATAATATAAAAATCAAAACATGAGATTAAATTCAAGATTATTTCCAAATTCTACCCAACCCGACTCACCTGAAAAAATAATTCCCAAACCCGCCCCAACCTTCGAATCAGTGGGTTGAATTGAATTCTTGGGTTGATTTGGACCAGGTCTTATAGATCTTTAAATCTTTATAATACACTATGAACATTTTATAATAATTGTAAACAGTTAATGTAATTGTATTAATTCCCTCTGTCAACTTGCCATTGAAGTTATAATACAACACACTTGTAATGAGTGGCCCATTTGAAAGACCCAAAAGTCCAAATCCCAATGTCTAATTATTTATTTATAAAAGAAATAAGATTCGATAATAACTATGTCAATTGACCAGAAGCCAAAATAGACCTAGAACAATAATTATTTATATATTAGTTAACTATCTCATTATCTTTATCTACCTATTTGAATAGGGCACTACCCATCGAAATCCTATTAAAAATGCTTATCAAAAACCTTTTTGATACATGTTTTCATAAGCCAATGACGTGTGGCAACTGGAACTTTTAAAGAATTTAAATATAAAATGAATACTGGCTATTTATGTTGACTCAGAGGGTCAACTCTCACTAAAATATTAATGACGGAACTGCCAAGTCTACGTTGATCAAGACGTAACCTCCATGTATCTTATGGAGGTGTCAAGGTATATATTTAAATTTCAAATACAAACAAATTTTAAACCTCCAATAAAGTAAAAACAACGCATATAAACTAAAAAAATACATAAATTGAAAAGAGTACAAATGATTTTAAATCGTGTTTTTATAATTTGTATTTATTATTATAAGGTTTAAATTTTTTTTTTTTAAATTAAAATTAAAGTAATTACTTTTATATGAGGAAAAAAAATTTAATATTTAAAAAAACACACAAGGTGTAGAAAAAAAGAGAAATTTGGCTTAAAATGGCTAACCTCTTGAAATAAAATCCACCAAACAAATAGTTTCTTTGAAAATGGCACATTGAAAGTTTTATCAACAAAATGTTCTGTGACTTTTGGAAACGACTTTCTAAACATCTTAATAATTAAATATTTTATTGTGTTTTACGAATAAATTTGCAATTTTCCAAATTTAAACTTTGCCACTTTTCCCCCCAGTTTAATAAAAGTCACCCATCTGGCTTTCCCTTTTTAGATTTGAATTCTGGTGGCTTGATCTTCGCGATTGGTCTAGTTCTATTTGGTTTTGCCCGTTAGAGAAATTATATAATATATTATAGATTTAAATATAAACGATATCAAGAAGCTTCAGAATCTATCTAAGTTTTATTCATAGTTCCCTACGTTTTTTTAACTGATATATTATATAGAGATTTGCAAAGCCAGTTCCGTCTGAATCAGGGCCGAGTACCAAGGCCGGGGAAATTCTAACACTAAAAAATTTCGGGCCGGGTCATACAATCAATATATATAGATAAAAAATCAGACAAGGCTTAGTAAATTTTGGGTTCTTTTTTTTGCGTAAAATTTTTTAATATGCTAGCTCGGCAATTTCAATTTTTGAATATTAAGCCAATACTCTTTGATTAAAAATCTTTTAGAGCTGTATAACTAAAATACTTAAATCTATAAATAATATGGTTAAATTCACAAAAACAAATGCACAAATACAGATATCAAAATACATCTGATTTATATAACGGTTGTTGTAGAAATGGATAGCAATTAGAAGGGAGATTAATTGACAGATAATTTGCTAGCTGGAGAATTAGTACAAAAAATTTTTTTTAACGAGCAAGGCTGATATTTGGTAAATTTTGTATGATTCGGCGAGTCCTGAGTTTTCGTAAAATTTTAGCTGACTGGGCAACTTGTGTAAATTTTTTTAGCTGGCACAGACGAACAAGGACTTGTATATCGAATATATTAAATGTATTTATTTATGAAAATATATTTAATTTAAATGACTTTATCAGCAAAACAGGTGTTAAACAAAAATATTTACTAAAAATATTATCATTTTCAAGCAACTTTCATTTCCTTGTGAAAATTTTTTTTTTTCTAAGGCAGGTTCTAAGAAGTGAAAATAGATTATAGAAATTAAACGATCTATCACGTGATTTGGTTCTTGACTCAAACATGGAATCTATCGGAAAAAATATTTTGATCAAATCTTATTGGAGTCCACATTATTTATTATTTAAAAAAAAGAATCTTGTTAGCAGTGTCGTGCTTTTTATAGGTTATTCAAGACCAGAAAAAATCGGTCTATCCACGACCCGTTATGTTTTTACATCCGGTACAGAGTTCGGCAAGGTCTTTAGAATAATCGGTTCCCTAGTTCGATCCTTAAAATATATTTTCCAAACCGAACCGAATAAAACCTTGATCTTTACTACTAACACCCCCCCCCCCCTTCCCGTTAAGCGCTTTAAATAGCCATCTTAAATCCAAACATAGCCTTAAGAAGAAAAAAACATCTCTTAAAATTTTAGAGTTCTTCATAACCTTTTACTCACAGTTAGCGCGAATTCGCGGCGAGGTATACAAAATTGTCTGAATGAAGGGTGACTTCTATAATACACTTAGATCGCGTTTTGCTAAATAAGAAACTACGGTATAGCGGATTTTTTTTATTCCAAAGTAGAAAGGTCACATGGTAGAACGCCAAATAACATATAATAATGCCTTGACTGTATCAATACAAATCAGCTGATGAAACGACGCCATTTAAGTTTCCCGTATTAACAATTTACATCAAAAATGTGTGGTTGGGGCGTGTGAGCAGCTGATTTGTATTCGACTTCAAAATGCATTTTAATGTAGGAGGCATCCATCTAGATAAATATTTTATGTTAAATGGTATAACGAGCAGACTTTTTGGAACGATAGTATACTGGTAAAGAATTACGAAAATTGGTAGCATTCCTATCATGGAAAATTAAAGGATTAAAAGTCCAAGATGGCCTATTCATTTTTTTTAAAGTGCGGTATTATGAGTTGGAAGGATTTCTATGACGGGAAATTTTAATGTATTAAGAGTCCAAGATTTCCTATTAAATTTTTTTTTATACGATGGGTTTTAAAAGTTATATAGGAATATTTTTTAATTTATTGATCTTATAACCCTTACTAAATATTATAACTTTTTAAACAAAAAAAATTGAAAGGTACGTTTAGTTTTAGTTTATAAATATGTTGAAATTAATAAATCGCTTTAATTGTTTTTAAAAAAATGGATCATTTCCCACCTATATCATGTCGCAAAAAGTCAACAAAAAAAAATATATATAATAATATTTATTTTGAAAAAAAATTTAAAATTCATAGTTGAAGTTTATCAAAATATTATAATTTTAACCATTTAATATATGCGTATAAATGTATTTTAAAGCTATTTTTCATAAGTGCGGGCCCCATGAAAAATTGATTGACAGGGTCCGAGTTGAAGGTCCTAACTTTAGACCGATCGAATTAAAACGGATAGTTACAATGCACATAGCTAGAGGAGGGATAAATAATATCTTACCCCCCCCCCCCCCCCCCCATGTAATTTAGAAAATATTTTGCCATTTTCAGTCACTAAATTCATAGAGTTTGAGGTGCCTATTATAAAGTACTTTTAGAGCCACGGCAAAATGTCCTGAAAATGGCATCACTTCAAAAAGAGCATTAATGGACTCGAAAAATAGCCTATTTTTACAAATGATATTAAGAACAGCTAAATATCTTATTCGGCTCACTCTATGGATACGTGCAAAGCTAAAAGAATTGAAACACGAGTTAAATTCTAATATAAGAATTTTGAGTAATATTCCCCAAAAAATGGTAATGCTGAAGTGATAATTTTCAGCTTATATTAGCCGTTTTTTTACAAGCCGGAGAAAAATAAGCGGAAATGGCTAAAAAATAGAGCAATTAGCCAATAATAATATTGATTGACAAAAATATTTTAAGTGCCTTCTAAACTTAGCAACAAAACCACAAAAATATACTTAATTATTAAAATAAAAGAATTAATTATATCCAACATTTTATGAACCGAAATGCGCGTAAAATAAAGTTATTTTTTATATTTTTTGAAAAATTATAATTCAAATCAGCAGTGTTTTCTTTATATTTATGAAAAATTTGAAAAAAATTATTCTCGAAGAACTTAATTTTTTTTCTTTTTCAAAATAATATTTTACTTGTCCAAACAGTTAAAATTATAGTTTAAAGTAGTTTTTCAAGCTTCAGTTTGGTAAAATTCTTTCTTAAAACCCACTTTCTCGAGCAGAGATATCTAGAGGGAAAGAGGGTACGGTAAATGTTTGGGAAATAAAGGTTAATGTTAATATTTAAGTTAAAATTGGGGTTGGGGCCCAATCCTGGTACGACTTATTTCTAATTAACCGGCTATGTAGTTCCGAATAAAACAGCCTAAAAAGTGAGTGACAATTTAGTTTTTAAGTATGCCACTCATTTAATTTCCTAAAAATAAAGATTGTATACACATAAATATAGTTAAAACGAAGTATTAGGGATATTCTTTTTCAGCTAAAAAAAACCACGAAAAAAAATATTTTAAAAAACAAAGCTACCAAACACTTAAAAAATACCAAAATTAAGTGTCCTTGTTCAAAAGTTATTTAGCCTAGGCTAGTCGAAAACAAGTTGAACCAAGGCACAGCCTAAATAATTTTATTTTGAATGGGTTAATTTTTATTTTTAAAATAAAAACAAACAAAAAAAACAGAAGTAAAACTTTTTTTTTATTTTTTTTTTAAAAATGCGCATTTTGAATAAAATATTGAGCAATAAAACAATTTTAAAAACTTGTTGAAAACTGAATATTACTTAGCCTTTTAAATAACACCTTTTAATTAAAAAAAAGGCTAAAACCCAATCATTAATATAATTTAATATTTACTTTGCTCATGTAACGGTCCATTTCGTTTCGAAAGATGATATTAGGGTTTAAATTCCTAACTAACGGTTCTGGAGAGGTCGAATGGAGACTAGTCAAGGGACCGCTGGCTGTAATGTCGAGTTCGTTAACGTTTGGCGAATACTCCTTAAGCACCAAGGGTATTATACGAGCGTTGTTTTTGCGGTTTCTACCGCCGCTGTCGATCAGATAAGATAGGCCGCAAGTGGTCAAGGGAATAAGTAAGAAATTCACGGAGATCATGGTTACGAAGAGCTTTAAAATGTTTATAAGATAATACTGTTTGCATTTTCTGGCCTTTTTACCCATATACATATGTGTGTGTGTGTCAATTAAACACTCTCTCTTTTTGTTTATACGCCAACTCCTGCTTTACAAATGTTGCTTATGAAGTTACTTGTACATGTTTTTCGAGGGAAACAGTTCATTTTAATGGCTACTTTGAGAGTAATTAAAATTATTTGGGGAAATATGGGCTATTCTTTGCGATAAGGTTTGACTTTGATAGCAACTGAGAATGGGTTGCCTTTGAGATAATGGTTGATTACACTTGGCTGAAGAGACACTTATGTTAGTTCAAAATAAATAAAAAATGATTCGGATATATTGAATGGATAATGGTAATGAGAAGTAATATATATACAATTTCTGGAATCCCTCTCAGTAATAAAATAACATTAGTCATGTTCCAAATATTTTTGCGGTTTTTAATCGAAACATTATTTTATTATTTTTTTTGAATTTGAAAATATACCTATATTATAATATATGACATTAGGAGATTTATCATCACTATTAATATACTTTTTATTTATTTATTAATTATTATAATCCTTTTAATTATATTCACAATGTGAAAAATTTTCAATCTTTAGTCATAGTAAGGCGTTTCCTGAATGGTGAATAATTTGTGAATTATCAAGATCCTTCCCTATGTACAAAAATATTAAATAATATATATATAATACATTGTATATAGTAGGATATAATTCTTGACAAACTTTTTGATTGAGTCACCATTCTATTTGTTTTTTTTCCCTGGTTAAAGGCTAAATTTGCGGTTCAAAATGGGATTAAATTATTTTTAAACGAATCCATTTTGCTTTATATTTATATATTTAATTAATAATAATAATAATAATAAAAGAGTTCATTCAAGGGGTGGGAAATTATTTAGATATAATCATTTTAATCCGGGCCGTCCTTACGTCTTAACTTGATTAGCATCGCCTAAAGACGGGTACAAGAAATGGCAAAAAAAAAGAGATTAAATTTAATCGGTGTATACGAATTAGAGACAAGAATAAAAATGACATTGAGACATGCTCAAAGTCTAGAGAAGCATGACAAATATTTTAGAGGAAGAGTAAACAATCAAAAAATATTTTATATTGGAGTAGAGTAAATCGTTTCCCAGAGCAAAAACCAATTTTTTTTTAGCAAACCATTTGGGTCTAGTGGTCAGACCAATTATTAGATTCAATCATATTGTAAATAACTATCTTCTATACCTTACCTATTACGTTCATTCATTCAATTGATTACAATAATTTAAATTTTTCCCCGTTGAGCAGATACCTGCTGTTTTTCTTGTTTAGTGAAGAATTTACAAATTCAAACTCAAATTAATAAAATTTCGTGTAATATATAGATATAGAATCCTTGAACATTATATTCGCAAAAAAAATAAATAAGAATTTAAAAGCTTTTTCTAGTAATCTATGTAAAACATGTGATGACTATATATAGGAAGGCAATGATTGGTCAGGTGTTAATAGACCATCGATCATATATAAAATCAGATTAAAGTCACTTTTGTAAATGACTATTTTTCCCTTCTATTTAAGTCCACAAATATATTCCTATACAATGTATATTCATATATTTAATAGCAGTGCTAAATTATTTAAATAAAATACTAACATGGAGTCGACATTGAATTCGCTTTTATTTAAAACAAAAAGAGCTCTCATTATATTTTATTTTCTTAGGTTTATATTACGTACTCATTAATATTAAATTTATTTGATAAAAGCGATATTTGACTAAACCTTTTATTTGTCATGAATTAACATGGCCACTCTCCCCCTACATATTTTTATATATTTTTTATACTTATAAAAACTCTGCAAAATTTACAATATATTCAAGTTGTCCAGGAAGATCCTTATTGAGTATCTGACGCCTGATCTCCTCTAACTCAGTGGCATCAGATCACGGGCAAGATATTAACATGCGTTCCGCGTGTTTAAATGCAAAAACATGCTGCTCAAGAATATTCTTTTAAGCAAGTCGGAAAAATTAATTTGATTTCAGCACCCCGAATATGTTAAGATTTATTAATCCATAAATTTTAATAAATCAAAAATTCCATCCTATTCGACTCCTTAAAAAGAGAAGAAATTAATAAGTATACATCAAAGCTCGGGCTTAAAATTTTACAGTAATTTTCTTTCTTTCTTTCTTTCTTTCTTTCTTTCTTTCTTTCTTTCTTTCTTTCCTTCTCTTCTCTTCCTTCCTTCCTTCCTTCCTTCCTTCCTTCCTTCCTTCCTTCCTTCCTTCCTTCCTTCCTTCCTTCCTTCCTTCCTTCCTTCCTTCCTTCCTTCCTTCCTTCCTTCCTTCCTTCCTTCCTTCCTTCCTTCCTTCCTTCCTTCCTTCCTTCCTTCCTTCCTTCCTTCCTTCCTTCCTTCCTTCCTTCCTTCCTTCCTTCCTTCCTTCCTTCCTTCCTTCCTTCCTTCCTTCCTTCCTTCCTTCCTCCTTCTTTATTTCCTCGAGCTAAGAGACTTTACGGGCTTCCCGGAAAACCTTCCTTAATCTGGATAAAAACAAGGGTTTAATATGAGAGAATGTTAACCTTGCAGATAATTCTTTAATTTTATTTTGTATAATTTATTAATATCTTATTTTTGTTTTTAAAAATATTATTTTTCAAGGAAAAAAAAATCTATAATAAAACTAATCTTATTACCTTTTATTTTGTTTGTCTTTTAAATTTATTAACAACATTTTAAAAATAAAGCACATTAATATCAAACATCTTAAGCCCCTTTGATATTAATATAAGAGTAGAAAAGCTTATATAAAATAATATAAATATATAAATAAAAATTTGAAACGGTGTTAAAATTGTTTTATTGAATGGCAATCTATTAAGCTTTTGGTAGAACTCGGGAAAATTGATACGATTGAGATATTATTTCCGATTTTAATTTGTCTCCCCCTAATCCAAATATATCTCATAGAAATTGTCACTGGAAATTTTTTGTCGTTGTTGAAAACTTTCTTATTTAGTCTATATTGGACCAAAATTACTTCTATGCCAATTCTGTAATCTAATCTTATAGTTTCAATATTATAAGAATCGAGGATATGATAAGTGTTGGGTAATGATTAAATGTCAGTTAAATCTTCAGGGGTCTACCGGAGAAAATCCGTTAACATTAAGGCGTTTTAATTTATATCAGTTTCAGGAATTACCTACCTATAATCATTAGTTAGGGAATATTCACCTTATTATATTATATTGATTTGAAAACTATTTTAAAAAAAATTGAACTTTTGGATTGAATTCTGCGTAAAAACGTATTTAAAAAAAAAAAAATTGCTAACATTTTATCGGTGGGTGGAGGCCTAAATTTTCCTGGAAAGCAAACCTTTCAATTAAGGCCAAAAGAGTAGGTAGGTTTCTAAAGAATTTCTACCCGAAAGAATATAAATAATAATAAAAAAAACACTTTTAAAAATGGAAAAAAAAATTCAAAAATCTACAAATTTTAAAATATTATTTTTAAGTTCATTTTTTTAATTTTCTCGGATAAATGTTTATTAATATATAAAATTCAAAAAAAAAATGGAAATTTTATCTCTTCTAAATATTATTAAGCAATTATGATCCAATTTTTCAGAATCCTTTTACCTCAAAAAAAAAATCCAAAATATATACCTATTTACAAAATTTCCATTAAAAATCATAATAATTGATAATAAGCAATTTTATTAGACACAAACTAATATATCGCAAAAGAGATCGGTTATAAGTTTTGTTTTCAGGATATGTAGCAATTATCAAATATGAAAGAAAAGAAAATAAACTGACGATATTGGAATTAATGAATCCTTCTTGAGGTTTTACCGGAGCCGTTAATATGAGTGGAATAAACTCAGGGTGTGCGCCAAGAACTGGAGAAATAGAATCGAATGCCTTATATGTGCTACTCGTAATTTGAGAACCTTCTTTTAAATGACCTTACTAATAATATTACTGAAATCAGAACTTTTATGGACACCGTTCAAAAATTATGTAATTTTTTTTTTGATATTGCCTATATCTATATTAGAGGTCTGCAATCAGTATCAGTGGGTTTTTAATCTATAGCCCGCCCGTCCAATATCTTTAAAAATTTAACCCTCCCGCTCAACCCACCCATAGTGTTTAAAAAATATACCCTCCCGCCCTTTAGACTATAATTTTTTTCCCACCCGCCCGTCCATTAGTTGAAAAATTTTTACCCGCCGGCCCATTATTTATAAAATTTTTTTAGTTTAAATAAGCTCATTCTTTCAATTTTTTTAAGCATCCAATGAAAAAAATTGAATTAGTTTCAGTATGCTAATTCTCAGAAGAGAAACACTAGTTTCTGGAATCGCCATTTTTCTAGCTAATCTTTATAGCTTTGAGAAATCTTTTTCTTGTTGTTTCCATCAAAGTAGGATATCTTTTTGACTCTACTCAAGTGAGTTATTTAAATAAAAAACGAAACCATTAATAATAAATAACAAAGAGTAATTTAATAAATACTTATAAATTGTAAACTTAAAATTTTAACTTAAGTAGCTAAAATCTTGCTAAATTATACAAAAACTCTACTTTAAGATTTAAATATTTTGTTATGGAATTAGGTAATGGTCCCCTCTGTAAAAGCCACATCTTCCCATCTGCTGTTGTTCAATTTTGACGTAGATGCTATTTATTTCAAACATTGAATTTATAATTTATAATCAATAATTGAATTCTTTTTGCTCTTGGGGAAACGGGTACAGATTTTCCCCACGTTGATGTCATATTCAACCATGTCAAATCCAACATGTTTTCGATATATTTTTTACCTAATCAGTTATCGGTACTTTGGTTTTAAAAATGTTGAAATTTCAGGGAGCATATTTTTTCAAAATGTTTATTCAAATAATTTCAAATAATAAATGTAAATTTTTTTAAACCCTTAGGTTAAATAATTTTTTAACCCACCCACCCGCCTGCCAGTTCTTTAAAATATTTTAACCCGCTCGCCCGCCCGCCCATGCTAACCTCTAATCTATATAATCAATTTTTAAAGTCTAAAATATATCGTAAACACAATGAATTTATCAGTTAACATTATAATAATGTGAAAATAAATAAATAATTGTAACAAATATTTAAACAGTTCATTTTCTCCAAATGAACATATTTAATTCTCGTTAGACATTTTATAAAGAAATCAAAAAACGGAAACAATACAAGATGTAGGATCAGAGGTCTGTATTGATCGGGTTTTTTGCACCCCCCCCCGCCTATGCCCTAACTTTGAGTGGGTGTAGTCGAGCTCGGGGTTCATAAAAGGATTTCAACATTGGGCGGATATTTAAAGTAATGGGCGGGCGTGGGTGGGTAAATATTTTATATTTTTTAGCCGAAATGAGGGGTTTTATTTTATTATATTGCTATTACATATGTTATGTATAACTAAAAATATTAAAATATAAATAAAACCAGCCATTAAAATAATTCTTAAGCATTAGGCGGGCAGGGAGGGGGGGGGGATGAATTAAACAAAATTTATAGATAAATGCGGCCGAGCGGCGGGTAATTTTTTTTAGAAATTTTAAGTAAGCGATAAATTTCAAAACAACAAGTAAGCCGACTTTTTGGCTAAAAACCCCAATGCAGACTAGTAGGGATGATATGAGATAATAGATCAGTCATTTTTATAATTGTCAGCACAGCCTGTTTTCTGTCTCTTAAGATGGAGTAAAAAATTTATTCATCCTCGAATACTGAACAGTCCGGGTATACAAGATCTTCCTCTCTCTCACATTTATTTAAAGGGGAAAGAACATATTTAATGTGAGATGTTGCAACTTGTAAGAGCCTAAAGTACATAACCGTTTAAATACGATAGTAGTTTTAATTAGAATATTTAGATGTAATGTATCTAACCTGTATCCCCGATATAAAAATCATCGGTGTTTATACCCCAGTGACCTTCATGGGCCTTGTATTTTTGAACAAGCCCGGGCCAGACCCTAATAAAAATCTGTGCATTCTAATATTAAAAAAAATCACAAGCTCACAAGCCTATAGAAGTTTTAAAAAATTTTTTCAATCACGGCCCAAATTCATATCCAAAAATAAGTGTATTTAAGACAATCATTTTGTTACTGAAAAATTATTATTATTAGAAGAATAAATATGGTACTATTTCTTTAAAGTTAGCAACTGTTTTAAGTAAGCTAAATTTAAGTTTAATAATTTTAGACCCTAGTTCAGCCCAAGCCCATTGAAAAAAAGATTCAAAAACCCATGCCCGGCCCAGGTCCGCTAGAAAATATGATAAAAGGTCCATGCTAGGCCCAAGAAGATATCTGATATACAAACACATTTATAGCTGTATCGATATCAAAAATTTAATACAATTTCGATACAATATCATTTTGCGTTTTTTTTTAAAAATAAAAAATTATATATATTCGAATTTGAGCACCCATTGAGCTCCAGCTAACTAAAATGCCTAGTAACGCCCCCTTATCACAAATGGTAAAACTAGTATATTAATATATATTTATTTTTTTTCATTATAAGAATTTTATTTAGTATATATTAAAAATATTGTCCTGCTAGTAAATTTAAATTAAATAAATTGTTTGTAAATAAATGGCCCATTTATAGGATATTATTCCCTCAAATTTTAAATTTATTTTTAATCCCATATTTATATTTCATAAAATTTATCTGGGTAAACCTGCATTCACAGTTACCGCGAATTCGCTGCGAATTGTATATAAATACACAAAAATAATACAGAATATTTTATTTAATCTCAAAACATGGTCAAATCATGAGGGACAGAAAATAGGACATATTATATAATGTATATTAGGCTTATTGAAGACCATTGATATTTGAATTGAATTATTTTAAAAGCCGGGTTAAATCGGGCCTGGATTAAAAAAACTCGGGTTAGGGGAAAACCAAATGCCAACAGGGCCGGGGCCAAAATTTTTTTGCCATTTGCAGACCTCTGGTTCTTATTTTAATAATGCCGCGGGAAATTATTACATTTACAAACATTATATATAAATTAATTCATTAATTTTTATTTTTACTTTTTCCTTTTGTTTTGCCGAATTGATAAAATAAAATTATAGAAATATTCGTCATCTATATTATATAACGAATCTGTTTTCCATTAATAAAACCTGCAATAGATTTGAAACTATCGCCAGTCATTTATTTAAAATCGGTTTAAAACAAATCAATTGCGATTTGCAAAAAGTTTATAAATTTTTAATTTTTATTAAAAGAAATTTTAAAATTTAAATTAACAAAAATACATAAATTGTTGTGTTTAAAAAAAACGAATAAATTTTGTAAAAATTTGTAGTAAGTTTAATAAAATTTATTGAAATCAAAATTAGGTAAAAACATTTATTTATTATATAAATATATTAGCAAATGCAGGTAAAAAAAATAAATGAAAATAAAAATACAATAAAAAAAAACAGTTATGTATGCATAAAAAAATTAAATGAAAGTAAAAAATAAAGAAAAGAAAAGAAACACAAAGAAAATAATAAGAATGAAAAAAAAAATATGAAGGAAAAAAAAATCTTTAATGAATATGAAAATGAGATTCAAGAATCATTCTGAACTAATTACTTAATGAATCTATTTCAAACACCTCCAATTACCATCACAAAATCCCTCCTATATTTCTGAAAATGAAGTTATATCCTGATCTAAATTAATTAATATGCGAAATTTTAATTTTAATAAAAAACTATAAAATGATGGAAATACATGCTAAAATATAAATATAAGTTGTAACTAGTAATCAAATGACTTCGTTCCAGTGTGGTTTATTTTAATAGTTTAAAAAAATATATACTATTTTATAAGTAATTTTTATGCACCACCTTATAACAAGGTATTAAAAGCAGGTATATGTATATTTGCTTATAAGATTTTTATATTTATTATATTTTTAAGTCTTTTTTTTTTACTTAAACAAACACCAAAATTATAATGCTTATAAATTTTTATTTTTTTTGGTTATGATGAAAAGTAAATAAAAATTTTAAAAAAAACACGATAATAATAACAAAATAATGAATTTATTAATTAAAATAAGTTTATATTTGCCTACCTTTAAGTAAGCTAATGAGAATGCATCTATCCTATTTCTAATAATGAACTAAAGTGGGAGAGAAAGGTTTCTATTAGAATACCAGACCCCTAGACAAATATAACCGAATCCCTAAAACTTTTTTATTATTTAAGAGAGGAGCTACAAGCCTTTTTTTTTAAATTTCCAGAAAACCAGAAATAGTTCTAACAAAAAAAAATGTTACTTTGTTAAAAAGGTTTTAAGAGATTTATTTTAGATTCTTTGAATAGAATTCGATATTAACAGAAATTTGCAACAAAACCACGAACCATTCTAATTGCTTAAAATCTAGGAACCCAGAACCTCCTTAAAAAAATTTTATTTTAGGAAAACCGGAAACTAACCTTTTGAAAAATATTTTAGAATCGGTAACAGAAATGCTTTGTAGTTCAAGTTCAAAGCTCCGCATGGTATGTTGAGAAGATCATAATGTGATTCTTGTCAGGACCCTGCATGGCGCATATCTTTTTAAAGAGCCTGATTTTAGTTATTATATGGGTGAATGTCAAAAATTCTGATTTTTCATTTGTCAAGAGGAAAGATAAAAAGAACTGAAAATTTCGCAACCTTAGAAGAATTTTAAAGATAATTTCCTTCTTATTCTGGACTTTTCATTGACTAAATTTATAATTTGGTATTCCTGATAAACGGTTTCTCGCCAATAAAATATCCTTTAATTAATTTTTTTTTCTCGTTAATTTAACCATAAATTTATATTTTAAAAACTAATTGGCAAAAATATATTATATTTTTTAATATAATCAAAGATTTCATTTCCAATTTTTTTTTTATAAACCATTGGATTATAATCATTTTATTAATTAAATATTTTGTTATTTGTTTTATACATCAATATTCAGCAAATATAATATTTATAAGCAAATTAAGCTACCATAAATAATATTTTATTTTGCTAGCTGCATTAAAAACGTTAATTTAAAGTAATTTGATGTTTGATAATCCTAAAATGTTTTTAAGAAAGTATTAAATTTATTTTTTTTGTGGCTACTTTAGTTTGAAAGATTTTTTTATTTAATAACAACGTGCGAAATGTCAATACACCTTTTTATTTTATTTTTATATTTTTTCAAGTATTATTATTTTTTAAATTTCACTTTTGGTAAATTTTAAGGGCGATAATGTTAAAATAATTTTATTTAATTTTTAACGAATCATTATTAAATTTTATTTGGCTCATCATTAATTGCATCGCAATCACTCATATAAATTTAGTTGGGGTAAGGTATATATTCATAATCAAACTCTATTATGTAGCGATACGATAAATTTTTTCCTTACTTTTTTGTTTGCAAAGCATAATATAATAATATCTATCTAATATAAAAAAGTGGCAAATATCTTTCAAAATTAAGGATAAGGTACCGAGGCGATCTTGTGTCATGTACAATACAATATTGTCTTCACTTCATAAATGCTACTTTAAAAAGCTCGTGTGATCGAAAGAAAACTTCTAAGACATTTGATATACTTTGAGAATAATTTAACCTTTATTATCATTAATATAGCTAAAAATTTGTATAAGTGGATTTAAACTTATTCTCGTTAATATAAATTTCTATTGAATTAGCTGTATGAAATAGAAAATTGGCCTCAGTTGCCTTTAACAAATAAAATAATTGAAAAGGAAACTAAATGGACCTTTAAAATATTTTAAACTTCTTAAAGCATTCTTATAATGATGGTAAAATATTTGATCAAGCAGCATCTTGTATGCTTCAATAAAATATACTTTGAAGTCATATATAGGTTCGTCCTCTCTTTAATTAAAAACAAACTAATGCCGAGTTTTCTTCTGTATAATTGATGTTATTTTGAAGTACATTTTTCCCACTAATCTCTAAAAAAAAAATATCGTGCTTTAAGACGTTTTAGGAATCCATAAAACCGCCATTCTCCTCATAAATCTAAGCATCACTGCCGCCATTATTATATAAATAGTCGTTTTCTACCATCTTATTTATATAATATACCTGTGCCAGAACATCGCATACAATATAACTAGAGTCAAAATAAAAACATTTCAATTCTTGGTGGAAGAAAAATCTTCTGTGCGCTATAATTTGGCTCTTTTATAAGCGTAATAAATATTGCCAACCTAATAAATTTTGTCCTTTTTAACTTTCACTCCCAGAATCGCTGATACTGATTTCAATGAAAACTATTTATAGTCTTTTTAAAATTTTTCTAACAAATTTAAGTATCATTATTATTTAGATACTGGTGGCACAAGATTTTAAAATTGTTTTTCTACTCTTATCGACGTTAATCTAGGCAGGTTCATTAGACAGAACCATTTTCATATCTATTTTTAAAAAATTCTTAAATAAAGTAAATAATAAATGGTAAAAATTTTGGTGTTAATTTATTTATAGATTTTATATAACAATTATTTAGTTATTTATATGAAAAACTAAAATATTTTATTTGTATGGAAATATATTAATCGAGGATATATACTAATCCGGAATTCCCCCATTGTTATCCGGAATCATTAAATTTTAAATTATTACCTTCGGCGGTAAATTTAATTTTACTAAAAATTAATTCCAGTATATATAATGCCTTCCCTGTAAATTTCTATATATTTTGCAGTAAACCTTTTACTAATCATAATTTATATTAAATTATATATTATAAATGTTTCATACAAATTTAAAAATAAAGAGCCATAACGAAATTATTTGAAATTAAAAAGGTATATACTCTATATATATGCTAAGATTTATTTCCGATACTCTCTTTAGTTTCAAAATTTTAATTGCCTTCAGTATTATATTTAAAATTGAGATATTCCGAATCTCCACGTAAGTATTCTAGATAATGATTATTCCAAATTAATTTACTTCACATGTATGTTTCTCGAATTTTAGATTTACTAGACAGTCCGATCAAAATATTGTAACAAACTGTAGATGTAAAAAAACAACTTGTTGCCTAAAATATTGCTGTATTTCGAAAAATTTCAATTATATTATCTTATAAAAAATTATTAAATATTACTTTTTATAAAAAATTTTTGTTTTTGTTTTTATTTCTTATTTATTCATTTTTTGAGAGGAGAATCAGGAACATAATTGATATTTACTTGCTTTTACAAAAATAAACATAACAATTAATAAAATGTCAAAAAATGCATTAATATATTAACGTTAACCTTAGATAATTAATTTTATATTAATGTTGTCATATAGTCTTTTTAAATTCATAATTAAATAGGTCAAACTCCCCCCACCCTCCCACACTCCTCCTAGTTGAAATCCTTAGGCGTGTGAGCTGTAATAGTGAGAAATGCACTTATATTCCAATATATTTATATAGATTTTATGGTGTTGCAGTATTGTTTCACATTCTCTGCTGTAAATTATTAGGATTTATTGAATTATGCAACAAATATAATTTTATGTAAGCATATCATCGATCCTTAAATCATATGGATGAAATTAAAATTTCAAACTTGTCTTCTCCTAGAGCATCTTGTTATGTAATTAAATTTAATAATGTAACAATCATGATTGATTGTGCTCTTGATTTCTTCCCCTTTTTATCATTTTTACCACCAGTGTGTAAAAATGATGATGATTTATCTAAAACATTTATCACTTTACCAGATCATAATAAGATTTATTATAAAACTATAAATAATCAAGTTTAATTAGATATATTTTTAATTGTATAAATTTTGTAGATATATTTAGATTGTGAGCCACTCTTTAATGTTCCACAAAATGCCACTATAAACTTTAGCCAAATAGATATAATTTTGATTTCAAATTATGTTAATATGCTGGCCCTCCCTTACATTACTGAACACAAAGGATTCAAGGGATCGATTTATGCTACAGAACCAACATTTCATGTAATCTATGAATCAGAGACCTGCACGGGGCCAGCCCCCAATGGTCTCTAAAATATTATATATTTAAAAATATGGATTAGGTTATAAAAAATGCATCACTGCCTATTTATTTAGGCTAGGGGGGGGGGTGCTTATTATTTTTTTCTTAAAACTTTGAAAAGTATGTTTTGGTTTTAGATTTAATGTGGCTCCTGGTTGATTCTAATTCCAGGCTGGTTAAGTAATCTAAGAAAATTTTAAACTATAAATAAATCCTCTAAAAATAAATCACAACATTTTGAGCAATATAATTATATAGCATATACTTATATTTGAACTGTCTCCTAAAAATTTTATAATGAGGTAGGTTCCTATAAATAAAAAAAGGGGGTCCTAGATCCAGTTCTAAATTTGACTTTAGCAATTTTAAGCTCATTTAAAAAATTTTAAATAGCCAGGTACTTAAAAATAAGCAATTTTTAGGTACCTCCCCATTGCCTCTCTGATATCAATACAATAAAATTATTTCAATAATTTTTAGCTCATATAAATTATAACCCATGAATGTTAACAGATTATCTCTGTTATACACTTGTAGATTGAGCATATTAGCCAACATTTAACTACTACCCAACTATATTTTGTAGGCTCCTGAAAAGATTATATTTTAAAAATATTATTTTAGTTTGGAAGATTATATATGCTCGAACTTGTTAGTTATTTTGAGAGAAGCTCTGAACTAAAGTTATCTAAATTACATATATATCAATTAGCAACAAAATCGATTCAATCTAAACTTCCTGATAAATTAAAGACCTTATTTAAAGACTTTAATCTGTATTCTTGCTATAACAGAGAAGTTACCTATTTTTAAAATCAATAATTTATTTTTAATTTAAAATGTTAAAGAATGTGGAATCATGTATGAATAAAGTTACATGCATAAATTTTTTAGAGAATTTAAACTTTTACAACAACTTAACATGTCATGCTACTAGTGCTGGCTATTGCATAGGGAGCTGCAACTGGGTTATAAAGTCAGATTATGAAAAATTAGTTTTTATATCAAAATCATCAATCCTCACAGCTCACCCAAAACCTCTAGATTTGGCCAATCTTAAAAAACCAGATATTATGATATTAACAGGTTTGTTTTGAAAGTATTTTTTTTTACATACAATAATTTTTATAAATCTTTATTTTATTGGTTGAAATTAAATGAAAGAGAGATGATTTTTACTATTTAAAAGTAGAGAATTACCAAACTAGATAACATAACAGGGTTGTTGAATTTAAATTTTTTTTTCAGATAAAATTTGATTATTTGTTAACATCATGTGCAGTTGGTAAATAGTCCCAGTGAGGTAAACCCTCCTTTTAAAAAAAGGGTTTGGGTTCGATTAAAAATCTCTGGTTCAGGGTTCGATGGCTAGAAAAGATTTTAAATTTACATAAAATGCACTAATATAAAAAACGATTCTGCAAAAAATGATTTTTACATTTAATTTTTTTTAAATTATAAAAATATTTCATGTTATTTTTTTTATATATATTTTTTTAATACTGTTCATAATTTTAAAAAATAAAAGAAAATAAAGAAATTTTTTATTAAAAAAATAAAGATAAAATAAAATAGAAATTTTAATAATAATTCTTGACCACCCTACATTTTAAAAAAAAAAGTTTGGGGTTTTGGTTCAATAAAATATCAGGGTTCTGGGTACGGGCTAGAGTTCACAGCCCTGAATAGTTCCAGAGTAAAAAGAATATCTGTGAAAAGCTTCTTTTCTTAAAGTACAAATGTGAGAAATCAATCGATTATTAAAATTTATTTTGTTCTTAAGCAAGAGATACACCGATACCAATACAACAGATTCCTAAACTTTTTTTTCCCCCAGATACCAAGAAAACTTATTATTATATAAAGGAAATATTTATTTATATTAAAATAAAAACAAATTTTAAATTACACAAATTTATTTTACGATAGTTATTTAATAATATTTATAACAATCCAATATTATTAACGGGAACTTCTCCACCCCCTCCCTCTACCCCCACCCCTTCCGCACATACTAATATCAATTTTATCCATCCTGCCCCATCCCCATTACCAGATTAAAATTAGCAACCAAATCAAAAGTGCCCCCTACAATTTTAATAACAATCTTTTGTCATACTTCCCACTTCCACGTGGTAATATATTTAAAAAAATTGGGTTTAGATTATTTAGGGCTAAATTTCATGTAAAAAATAGAAATTTTTTAACAGCTGATATCTTTAACGATGTGAGAAGCAACTACCTTGCTATTTGGTACATCTGTACCGAATTTAAAATTAAATTTAATATTATATTTTAAATGCAAAGGGCTTTGCTCCTACTTAATATACAACATCAGGATTTAGCCCCCTATGTTAGATTCCTTTTATTTATAACCAAGTTTATATTATTTTTCGGTATGGGGCTATTTACCAACGCATGCACACGTAAGCACACACCTAACATACAATTCTCACCTATCCAGTAGCATATCTAAATAGATCTATAATTTAGTTTCTGTCCCCCCCCCCCTATAATAAATACGTTTCACCTATCCGTAAATTGATTTTCAACATATGTTCTTTTTTTTTAAAATAAATTTTAACTATAATAATCGCAATATAAAAAAAAATAACAAAGAGTTAACTAAAACACCCTACAACAAGCCAGACACCATGATAACCGAATTCTCCAAATGTGTCATCTCGACGCTTAAAAAAGGCGGGAACGTGTTGGTACCTTGCCCCCTTTCCGGGGTTACTTTGGACCTGCTCGAGTGTCTGCATTTAAGTCTGAGCACCGGTCTTAAAGCCGATTTTGCGGGCCCTCCCAAGATTTATTTTGTTTGTCCCGAGGTGAAAAGTTCCCTGGCTTATGCAAACATATTCTCTGAATGGCTCTGCACCAATAAACAGGCTTATTATTTTTTTTAACTAAGGGATGAAAAAAAAAACGATAGTAATAGGAATTTTTTTAAAATTATTGTCATTTTAATTATATTAGTTGCATTTCGTAAATTGCTAAAAAATGGAAATTGAAAATATAACCCTTAAATTATTAAATGAACCCTTTATAAAATTATACAACTAGAAAATTATTTTTTAAGTCCGCCATTTTTAAAATCATGCCATTTTACGGTCCCGAGCTGGTTATCGTGAAGGAACTTCGGTCTTTGGTCCCTATCTTTTTATAAAGTTGCCATTATTAATGGTTCATTGTAAATTTAGTACAATTACTTTACTACACACCAAATGTTCCATCTACTGAGATATAGATTCGCTTATCCATCTGTCTAATGTCATACAAAGTTTCTAAAATTTGTTTTATTGTTATGTTTTTTTTTATAAAAAATGGGATAGATAAAAGTTTACCTACCCGAAGAACCATTTCCTCACTCCGAGATGACCGAACGCGGCTCTTTGCACCTTCTTACTTGCATTTCCCAACTCAATTTTCGATCTCCTTGTGTAGTTCTCGCTGGACATTCATCGCTCTCCCGTGGGCCCGCTGCCAGCTTGCTTCGTGCTTGGCGCGGTGATCCTTCCAACACACTCATCATAGTAGATCCCACATTCATTCCTACCCTCCCTTCTTCAGTAATTTAATTAAGAAAATCTTTAAAATATGTTGATTTAAATTTTTAGTCTCAGTGTAATAAAGAGTGGGATGAACAAATTTCGGGTAGAATAAACGAACAAAAAAAAATAAATATGTTCTTTGAAACGTTTTTTTGTTTATTACCACTATAATCCTTATGGTAAATATAATCTACCAATATTTTTTTTGGCAGCATCATTTTAAAACTCTCACATTTTAATGAAAAATTTGTGTTAAATACTTTATTTTACATAATTCAAAGTCTATTTTTTTTGTTCTGTCTTTTCCCACAACCATTTTAATAAATAAAAAATTTTATAAGTAACAACTAATGTCTCACTAGCCTTTACAATCTCAGGGGCAAAAATGATTTTTTTGAAAATGACCATTTTTTAAAGGTATTTTTTTAAAAAAATTCAAATTTTTCAGGGGACTTGAGCATCTGTGCTCTTCTTCCCCCCTCCTAGTGACGCTACTGAGTATAACATTATAGTTAACTGAAATTACTTTTTAGACAAACTGAAAAAATGATTGAAATGCAAGCAGAGGCGTAATACAAAAATCCCCTCGCAAAAAAATAAATAAAATTCTTCAGGGCTCCCACTCATAATTTGTGCCCTCTTGATTTCTCAGCATCTATAAAATTTTGCCTTGCTACGGAGTTTGGTGGGGTATCCATTACGCGCCTGATTACATATGTTATATTAATTAACTTTATTATTTTATTTATTTTTTTTAAAGAAAATTAAATTTTTGACGTGAAAAAGCATGTATTTTTTAGTTCTAATTTTTTTCCCCCGTTTTTTTTTAACATTTACTTTAAATGATATTAATTATTATCCTCAAAAATTAAAAAAATAAACAAAATTAAGCATCAAAATGCATCTAAAACCTTAGCATCCTCTCCAAATTTACTTAACCTCGATTTCGCCATCCTCGAGAATACACTTTTAGCTCCTTTCGCTCCTCTAAGGCTTCAAGTGGCTTATTGCCCTATAGACACGGGCCTAGTCCCAGCCCACGTCGAGAAACTACTCAGGGAGTGCGAGCCCACGCGAGTAATATGTTCACCTATCGTTGGAGAAGCCCTGCGCCTCAAGGATGGTGGTGATCCGGAAGCCTCGAAGCCTTTGTACCACTTAGATTGCCTGGGGTATCATAATTTTAAAGCGCTCGTCAATGGATGGGGTACTATTAATGATGATGGTGTTGATGAGGATTCGTCGGAGATCATCATCCATAAGACGGAGAGGTCGAATGGGAGTCTTAGGAAGGTGGAAATACTTAGTTCTTCGGGAGGGAAATCCCGTAAAATGGAAAATTCTCGCAAAGTGGTAGATCATATTATCTTGAAACGAGACGGTTTAGACAAATCTACTATCAGCTATACTCTTAAGTCAGAAGAGACACGTTCTAGCAAACAACCTAGCTCAGAGAAATTTCGTAACGGTTCCACTCTGGGTGCGCCTAAGAATCTAAAGCCCTCGGAATGTTCTCAGAAAAACGCGACGGAAGAAAAAAAATCCATATCGGGCGATAGGTTGTCTGTCAACGAATCTGCTAAGAAAGGTGATTCTCAAAAGCATCCAGGTAGTTCTAACAACCGCTCAAACCTTAAACTCCAAACCACGAAAGATAGCTCCAAACGAGTCACCATTGAGAGTGGTCTAGTCGACGACAATTATAGCAAAGAAATCTCGCAACAAAAACGGGAAGATAATTCCACCACGAGCCTTAAATCCGAAACCAAGAAATTTGTATCTAAGAGATCTTCCATAGACGAACGAATAAATTCTCCAAATTTTGTTGACATGAAAAGCGCCAAAATGAGGCGGGTAGGAGAAGAGGACGTTTACCTTGGACCGCACTTTAGCGGGGTGCTCTCTGTGAGAAACAATCGATTTGGCCTGACAATATCTAGTTTGGAGTCTTATGACGACGAAAAGGATGTTGAGCGGCAACTGAACCACGCCCATCTCAACGAAGCGGTAAACAATCATATAAGGTCGATACCTAATACAATAAGTTGCAACGCAAATGAAAACATTACAGCTGATGACTCAGAAAAGAGTACATCTTGCATAGAAGAGTTACTCTTGCCAGAACATGTAGCTACCATTTTGATTAAAAAAGGTTTTAATGTGGAGCACGTGATAGATGAACACAAATGTGACGCTATATTGAACGATTTGGATGCTGAAGGTGAACCAAATCTCTTGCTAAACATTAATCACGGGCTCTTTCACTTAGCGCTTCAGACTGGCAAAGATGGCTTATTGAAATCACATTTAATAACTAATCAAAGCTCGTTATCTATAGATGAAGTTATGTCAGTTCGGAGAGACATCATGAACACTATTTTCGAATGTCAAAAATAATACCATGCTCAAAGTAAATTGGAATTCCAGTTTTTTTTTTAGTTTGAATTATTTATATTCGCGTAAAACAAACGATTACAATATATATATATATGTATATAGTATTTTATACCTCATAAAGTATCATTTAAAACGTACTCGTAGAATTATTTAGTTTTATAATGGCTTGCTTTAAAAATTTGATATAAATGATTATTAATATTTTATTAAAATTAATTTTAAAATGATTGAAACTAACAAAACATTTTTAAAAAAAAATGAAGATAGCGATTAACTTTAAAAGGTAACAGCTAATTATTTTTTTTTAAAAAAATATACCTATTAGTGTTGTTAAACGGCTCGTTTTGAGCCGATTTTTAAAATGGCTAATTCGATATTTCATCTAGAATATTATTACGCAAGCCTGAAGATTTTGTTTGTATAAGGAACAAAGGTTAGGATATCTATTAGCGAAATCTCTAGGCTTAGGCCATATTTTTCTGGCTAGAATATTGAGTTTGCCGTTTTTAAAAATCGCTCAAAACGAGCCTTTTAACAACACTAATCCCAATTAAATTTGTCGGTAAATATTATAAACAACGATATTTCAAAGGCACCTTTGACAAATTTTGCTTCTCGAAAAGCGCCATTTTGAAACTACCCAATTCAGTTATATTTTTTATTTCCATAACAATGCTCTATATTTATCAGAACCTGTGGGCTCGGCCAGGGTACATGGGTCGAGCCGTATTTATTTAAATTTGGACCGGGCCTAAAAATATTATTTTAAAAAATGACCCAGACTTGGCCTAAAAAAAATTTCTTTTTAAATGGCCTGGCTATTAAATCGCCATTATCTATAAAAAATAAAAAATATTTAAAAATTGTGTAACATAGAGCAATATATCATAATTCATTCACTTATCATATTTCCTATCTCCATTTTCAGTCCTTAGAAAATATTTCTTGTAAAATATTGTTCAATTAATCATTATTTTAGGTGATGTTCAATCAAATTAAAAACAACAAATATAAACTCAATAATCAAAATATAATACACTTTTTTAAGGGGCGTTTTTTTAAGATAAATATAATTTATCTCTCTATTTCTCTGTCCCAAATTCAGGCAAATTACGTATGTTGCCAGGCCAATTTGTGACATTATTTTTTAAAAAATATTATATAAATAAAGAATTTATTCATATTCTTAAAAAGAAATCGATTTTATTTATATCATATATTTTGATAATAGTCTAAGTAGCCACCCACCTCCCGCCAAATTTTTAAGAAATGATTCAAATCCCTCTCATCTATATCACTTTTCAAAACAGTTTCATTATTTTCGATCAGATAATGCAAAATAAAGGGATATATATATATAAAACATATTTCATTTCAAATATAATTATGGCATAAAGCATAAAATTACTTCTAATAAAAAAAAGAATGATTAGCTGACCCTGACTAAAATCACGAAAAAAAATGAACAGCGCAAAGCCAAAGTTACAAAAAAGAGAGTATCATACTATGGCTTAAGTTACAATAAAAAAAAAGTTAGGCTACTTTAAAAACACTCATATTAATTGTTTACATATGGTTCAAATGATTGTGATATAAGAAAACCTCCCTTTTTTTTCAAATTTTTTTTTATTTATTTAATAAAATATACAACTCATTTAAGATTTGGTTATTACATAAAGCATTCCTTTTTAAAATATGCATTATATATGAGAAGAAGAAAATATTTTAAGTTGTACTCTTGTCAGAAATATATATGTTTTCGTATTCTGGTTCAATCTTAGCGTCCATTATTTTGGACATTTCTTTGGTCGTTAACGCCGAATTACTTTCCTTTGCCAAGATTTCGTCCGCAGGCGCGTTAATTTTTTTGTCCATTTTATTTGGGCTCGGAGTTTTGGTTTCAGGAATCGCATACGGATAAGTCGGTTGGTAATCCACGTATTCCGATATTATCTTTTTGGCTATCTTGTTGGCGTACCAATACTTGTAATAGAAGAAAAATGCTATAAAACTTATTATTATGATGCTTATGACAAAGGCTCCTATCAAAGAAGACGATGACGGTGGTGTAGCTTTAATTTTCTCTACATGGTTGTATCCAGTTATATTAATTAATTTTATCGGAACAACCGGAACAGTTGTTTTATTTTTGAAATCTGATTGGTTGAGCCATGCTTCAAGGTTAATAGAATCGTTGCCGCTGTCATTCTGTAGATCGAAGGAGCGGCTATTACCGCAAGAAATATTGTTTGAATATTCTACGAATATGATATTTTTCCGGAAATTTTGGCATTCAAATTTGCAAGTGATTCTGGTTATCGAATCTTTAGTAATATTTTTGGTTGAAGCTGTTTGCCAAACATCTTCAATCGAATTGCTAATCAAATCCTTGAGGTAAAACTTAAACCGTAAATTTATATCAATGTCCTTAGCACACTTTAACGGGTTGTTCATAAAGAATACAAATCTGATGGTTAGGACTTTGTAAGACAAGGCTGTTAACTTATTGTCGTTGCAGTATAGTACGTATAGGTTTGCTGGTATAATTAAGGAGTTTATGTCTTTCAAATAATTATGTTGTAAATTAAGGTACATAAGGGATGCCAAGTTTTGGAAAACTCTATTTTCTATAAAACTAATAAGATTGAAAGATAAATCTATGTCCACCAATTCACTTGTTTGCTTGAAAGCGTCATTTTTGATTTCGCTCAAGAGGTTGTGACTAAGGGATAATTCAACCAACATCGTGTTTTTACTCGGGTATTCCCCCGATGTGATATTTGCCAATTTGTTATAATCTAGTTTTAGAGATTTCAAATTGGTGAAAGATTTTAAGAAATTATGGTTCATGGTGGTTAAATTACTTCCAGTCAAAATCATTAGAGTATAGTTAGTAGTAACATCGAAGGTCGTATTAGTATCAAGATATATATTGGACATCTTTAGCGCGGAGTAGTATATCTGCATGCCTTGGCTTTCTGCCACAATTTCTGACACCACAACCTGCAGGGACGAGTTAGCACATTCGATAATTGGCGTTTTAAATCGACACTTGCTATGATTGGAAGAATTTGCACGAGTGGTATCGATAGTAGTTGATTTAGAAAGCGTAGAACATATTTGCTTTTCGCTAATTTCAGAAAAAAATTTCCCTTTTAACGCTTGAGGCTTAAAACAGACTATATTTTGGCCATTTTTGTTTTTTATCCCTTTGGGCGAAATTATATATATATATTTAACGTAGAAGTTAATTACAGGAAGTAAATTACAATCGCAATTAAAGGGCAAATCATTTATCAAGATTGATTTAAGGTTTCCTGTGAAAGTAGGGAAATTTGATATGCCTGAAAATTTATTTGAACCTAGATATAAGTAATAAATATCGGGATTTATATTTCTCAAATCCAGAACTTCGATAGAATTGTTAGAAATATCTAAGTGCTGAATTTGTTTCCAGGAATCTTCGTTTAGAAGTTTAGAATCAAACTTTCGAATGGAATTATCGCTTATTATGAGTACCCTTAAATTTGTTAAATTTTTTAAAAGATTTGTTGGTATGGTAGTAATGAGATTTAAATCGACACGTATACTACTTAATTTGATCGTTCCGGTGAATATGTCCGAAGGGAGCTGTCGGATTAAATTATTAGACAACACGAGATATTTTAATCTAGTCATGTTGAAAAATGACAGGGACTCAATCACTTCTATTTTATTGCTCGTTAAGTTGAGAATTTCGATGTTGCTATTAGCGAAGTACGTATTTTCGACAATAATCAAGGGACCATTTGCCATTTTGAAAGACATTAAGAAATTCAACTTCTCAGCCTGGTTACCATCGATTCTTTCATAATTGTGATCTAGTATGATGATATTATTGATAGTGGAATTTCCGGGTTCATCACACACCAGAGGATCAAAAGAAAAAGTGGTCCCTGCTAAATGAATTAAGGTTAGGCTCTTTAAATACCCGCATATGATATGCATTCTATTATAAAATTTCGGAAGTCCTTCCAAGATAAATTGATGATTTCCTGCGTAATTCGCTAAAAATTGAGTAAAACTGGTAACATCGCTTAACGTATCACTATCCGCGACGCAACGTATCGTCATCTCTTCATCCGATATTATGCAATTGTGATCAGGTAGCCCTCCACTTGCCAATACAAACAACAATTTAAGATAAATATTAAGGAGGATAACTTGTAACATGCATCAGTAGGGGATTTTTTTTAAAGTAGAAATTCCTTATGATATGCCACCTTTCCCCTGAATGTGCTAAATACCGCTCTTTGAAATAATAATCAATAATTAGGTTAGTTAACACGAAAAGAAGGCATAATAAAATCAATCGTTAAAGAGAAATATATACATATTTTTTGTATAAAAAACGCATTACATTCAAAATAACGTCATATAAATAATCGAATTGATAAAAAATTATATGATAATTTGGTAAGCTTTTTTTAACACATAATAACCTCATTAAGCGTATACATAAGCGGGGGGGGGATGCGGGGTAGAAGTAGTTTATTTTCAAATATTTTGAAGGAGGTATAATAAATTTATTGGAGGGAGGATGGGGGGGGGGTGTTACGAATTAAATTTTTAGAAGAGATAGGGTAAAATATATTGCTATAAAAATTTATGACATGTTTGCTAAACATATACGAATCCATTATTGCTCACAACACTATCATATACAAAAAAAACTTATTTCTGTATAATTTTGGGCTATATTTTACAATGTAATTTAAAAGAGGTTAATCTATCAGCAAACTAAAATTCATGTCAAGCCATACGAGGAATCACACCTTCTGAAATGGGCTTTTTCTTGTAAATATCATTTTAAGCTAATAAAAATTTCCTCCTTAGACCCCCCCCCCCTACCATCAGCCCAAAATTTATATAACATATCCAATATACTGGAAGAAAATTAGTGAGTGTTAATTATTTCTGCAAAATAACGACGATTGAATATATATATTTAAAAAAAAACAATTTTATAGACCTAACAGACGTTCAATAAAATCTAAGGGGGAAATCCCCATCCAATACTGCCCACCCCCTAGCAAAATCTAGGTTTGGGCTTGTATGCTAAGCAAAACTATGATAGAAGGTTTTCAGTTTAATTCATATTTTTTTACTCTTAAAATTCACAATTTTTTGATAGTTTATAGTAGAGTATCGATAATTTAACATACTATTTATAAATTTAAAAAGAATTCATAATTAATTGGCGGGAATATCGCCGCCGAAGTATTAGAAATGGTGTGGGGGGCATCCAATAAATTTCCTGCTGTTATGTTAAAGCTGGCCTCCTCTCGTCACTGAATTAGGTTTAATTGCTCTATACGGTTTCCTAAAAATTTTATGATATACTATTGTTAATATGGTATTTGTTATTAATTTGAATAGAATATGAACTGAACACCAATAAAAAAAAATTTGAAATCTTGATTGAGATGTTTTTTCTAAATAGTTTTAATTAGGACTCGGAGAGTCCCCATATCAAGCGGGATTCATAGCGGGATGCTATTCTAAACTAATTAACAGCTGAGCGATTTTAAGAGTCTTATAGTGATATCAATTTTTTTTTATCTTTATTTAAATCATTAATTCTTAGATCATTATCATTATAATATAAATAAAGATAAAAATTCATATTAATGAAAGAAAAATTGATCCAAACAGATTTTAAAAAATCGATCAGCTGCTATATCATGTGTCGAAATCGGTTCTCACTGTGAATCAGGCCTAAAGTGCCATATTTAAGGAGTAACTAAAGGGCACGGTAAAATAATTTTTTCTAAGTAAAAAACATACGAATTTGGAAGAAATAATAATTAAAAAAAACTATTATTAAAACATTTTTTTAAAAAAAAAATAAACAAATAAAATTTTGGGAGTAGCGAATAGAAAAGAAAATGTGTTGAAATGATAAGTGAAACTTCTAAAAATTATCAATAATATTCTTTACGGAGCTTCCAGTTCCAGTCCGGGTTACCCTGCATTCATATTAGCGAGAATTGGCGACCAAATAAATATATTTCATTTTTGTATATTTCGTCGCCAATTCGCGGTAACTTTGAATGTAGGATTATATACATTTATTTATTTTTTAACGGGACTGGAACGGAATGAATTACTATCAATATATAACTTCTTTTTTTTAAAAAAATAATGCAATATTTGTCTCACATAAGATACCCATTTATGTGATCCTCAGAAATTTTGTAAGGGGTTAGGTTATTAGCAGATATCCAAAACCGGAATATCAGTTCAGGGTTAGGTTCAGATAAAAATAATCGTTCCGGGTCGGTTTGTGAAATAATAATATTATCGGTTCGGATTGTAAAAGAAAAAAATATTTTATAGAATTTTATGACTATTCTCAAAAAAAACTCTTCTGTCAAATGATATAATATAACTGAGAACGCTTCTATATTCTAACTTGGTTAGCTGTCACCGTCAAATAGAAACATACAGAAAATACCTAAAAAATAATTACTGATAATTGTCTAATAAAAACTGGATTATTAATTATCTTTAAAAGGGGTAAAATATCAAAAGGTTTAACCAGGTTCACAAGCATTATTTGGAGGCTCGGTTCAGAGTTGGGTGGCAAATTTTTTAACGGTTCAGATTAGGTTTGGTTTAACGGATTGATTCAGGTTCAGTTTTGGTTATGAGAACTAAACAGGATTTGATCGGTAACAATGCTATGCAACTAAGCCACAGTTTACCTAAATAATAGCAGTATTATTCATGCTGAATAAATTTTAGATTGCGAATTTGTTCAAATACCAATAAATATTTTTATTTTTTTAACTTTCCATAAGAGGAATATTTTGTTTTACCAGGCGTCGTGAATCTATGGTTAATGATAGTCATCACCTTAAGGTATTACCTCAAATTTGTATTTCGTTATTTTCATTTGGATAGGCGCTATCAAAATTTATTTATAATATATATTTGAAAAATCGTCATTTTTTGAAAACCTCTGTGGCCTATTTTGCAAGAGCGTCGCTTACCAATCCGATGGTTATGGGTTCGAATCCCAGCAATGATCATGTTTTTTTTAATAATCTAACTTGGTGGTTCCATCCTTGGGGGGATGATATATAGGAGGCCGGACTCGACCACATGATTCCCATATAATAGATGTTCAATAATAAGGGACTTATTACAGTTTAATAAAATTTTGGTCGGTATTTAGCCAACTTAGAAAATTGCTATACGTTGACTTGGTAGTGACTATCATTAACCAGCATCTGTCGCATTGTGTCACCCCTGGGGAACCATAAATTTCTATATTCACTATTATTTCCACCTTTTTCCTCCTATATTATGGCAAAATAAAATAACTATCTTTAAAGGTAGACATTCAGTGAAAGCTATTTAATCACCAGGTGGAAGGTAAGATGTTCATTTTCAAAGATTAAGTTATTTTATATTATTTTTTTCTCAAAAAATAAATAAATAGAGGAATAAATTACTCCATTCGATACAAAAAAAAAATTAAATAAAGTATTATGATGCCTGCCTATTGTCACAAAAAAAATTTTTTTTTTAAAAAATGAAAATAAAAGTTCCTTATTTTTCCGGTTATAAACAAGTCGGCAAAATCGCTAAATTCAACTTGAAAGGGGATAATGGGGAGGGGGGGGCTATGTTTTTTATTTTTAGGCGGCTTAGATTTACACGCCTCGTTTTAATTTACATGTCTTCCTGAACCACGTTACTGGTTAAACTTTTTTCCCTTGCGTGTCGGACATGATATCCAAGTTGGAAACTTGGGTACGTTACCACCCCTTGGAAAAATTAAATAAAATTTCATAACTAAATTGTAATAGCGAGGTAGGGGGGGGGGTCTAAAATTTTTGAGTGAATAATACTATCAACCCCCCCCCCCCCTCCCTCTTTAAATCTTTTCATGTGGGACTTTTTCTCTTGATTTGGATCTCTTTTGAGAATTTTAATAGATTTCTCCCCATTTAATGGGAAACCATGTAATTTGTTAACTATATAGATAGGTACTAAAGTTTATTTGAAAAAATTTTGTCCGGTCCAGCGATTCCGAATATTTTTTTTATTTTTCACCAAAAATCCCGACCCGAAATCCCGGATACGAATCGGGCCGGGCTTTGCCGATCTTAATTTACTAGTATGTTTTTTTTAAAATATCTATCTTATTATTAATATTCAATATAAATACTTATAATGACTTAAATATTTTATTTAAAAAATATACATAATTAATTATTTATTGCTTAGCGTCTGAAATTCGGAATATTTATTTTTTATATTTTATATCAGGTAAAATTTTTAAATGAAATAAAAACGGGGGGAAAACAAAAAAAAATCTTTAAAATAAAAAGAAAATTTAAATTTTATTTATAAAAACTCATTTAGTCAATTTGAATCTTTCTTTTTTTTTTGCATGAATTAGTATAGACAGAAATTCATTAATTATTTAGTTTCCATCCATCCAAACTAAGATACACAAGATTTGAATTTATAGGAATTAGTAAATCGCACAATTTTATTTAAAAATTCTTTTTTTTAAGGAAGGAATTCGTTAAAAAAATAATTTGAATATCAATCAATATCCAATTGAAATTTAAGGAGTTAATTTATTTTCTTCTGTTGTTGTTTGCAGGCAATGTAAGTTGTATTTGTAAAAAAAAATTTATATATACATCATTAATTATTTAGTTCTATAGAAACAAATTAAAAATAGAATTTAATTTGTAAGAATTATTAGAACCTACATACATTCTCACGTTTATGATTACAGTGGAAAATGTTATTTAAATATCATAAATTATTCAATTGAAAAAAAAATCTCCATTTTTTTAATGTTTATAACCAACTTCCATGAGGCAACTGATAATATTTTTTTTTTACGATGAATGTTAAAAATATGTATATTACAGATAAACATACAGATTTTATAGAATTTAGGTATCATTAATTATTTAGTTCTATAGAAGCAAAATAAAATAAATTAGAAAATCGCACATTTTTTTTTTAGAGGGGGCCAGGAAGGCGGTAATTTTTATAGTTTTTAATAATTTTACCTATATATTATTCAATTTGTTTGAGGTAAATTATGATAGATATTATTATACGAATTCGTTAATTTGTATTATATTGGGTTGACTAAAATTGAGATTTTTAAAACAATTTTCGAAAATCCTATTTAATTTACAATGTTTTACAGCCCACTTTCCCTCTCCCTTTTAAATTAAAAAATTTTTGTTCAAATATAAGTATTAGTATATTACCTTCCCTAATATCTATCAATATTAAAGAGATTTTTGAGAATTATAAGACACAATCCAGGAAAATAGTTGGTATGGACAGAGTATAAAACTGTTAGATAAAATAGGAATTGCCCGGCAAAGATAAAGCACATATGCTAACAACAGAAATAAAAAAAACTCAAGAAAATTTTTAGAACAAGTATATATGACCCTTACTACCACGTGCTAAGTCTATTAAATAGTTAAAATAAGATTTTAAAAGTCTTATATTAGCTAAAAAAAAACTAGTGTTTTCAAATGCCCCCCCCCTCAATTAGTGAGCCTGGAGATTTTGCTAATAGATAACAGGAAATTGTGGACCTCTGTTTGCCAAATCACGTTGTTTACAAATAATATTATTTTGGTTAAAATCGTAATCAGGTGTCGCCTTTAAGAATTAACCTAAATCGGGCCGTTATAACAACACTAACAAAAAATATATTTTATTAAATAGCTAAAATATGGTTAACTAATATAAAATTAATTTTTAAATATTAAAAATAACGTTTTGCATAAACGGACCATAATAAATGGCCTCAGTAAAAAATAAAATTCAGGATTTATAATATAGAGAGTGTGTGGATACTCCAATGGCTTACCATAAACTCTCCTTTTAACTAGTATAGGTTCACAGAGTCACTCTTTTTCTGGGTAACAAGTTTTTTTTTGGTTAAAAAAAACCCCGGCATAATCTTACGAGCTCAATTTTTAAAGATTTATTTGTTTTACCGATTTAATTTAGATCAACTTTGGTTGTAGCTTTGATCTTTAAGCAAAATAAATTTAAGAAACGAGGGCTGTGACGAGTGTTGAAAAACGGCTAACTCAATATTTTAGCCAGAAAAAATATTGCCTAAGCCTAGATATTTCGATAATGTATGTCTAGACCTTTGTTCCTTCTATGAGCAAAATATTCAGATTTGCATAATATTTTATCTGGACGAAATATTAGGTTATCCGCTTTTAGAACTCGGCTCAAAACGAGCCGTTTAACAATACTAGTGATGCGATATAATTGCCCAAAAAATAAAATTGTAGCAATTTCATTTGATAGTTTTTATTTCTTTTTATATAATATATAATACCGTTATCTGTCAAAATGATTTAAAAAAAAATAATTGAATATATACTAATGGCAAGATATAATGTTCCCACTTAACTATTAATAATATCGAAATAAAAATATAACTATTTATAGGGAAACCCAATTTAAAATAAAATAAAATATGTTAATCTTAATTTTGTTCCAACAAAATTACGTAAATATCACTTCTATGATATATTTCGATTGTCGTCATTTGTTTAATTTAATTTTAAGAACATAGAGCCTATAAACAGATCCTTACTTACATCCTTTATTCACCTTTTATCATAATAATTAATTAAAACAAATATATATACACTTTAAATTAACCATAGGAGGGTGAATTTATTTTTTCCAAAAAAAAAAAATTAATTGATTTTCCTAGAAAATTACGCAAGCCGCTAATATTTTGAATGGGATGGTATATTTAATAATTATATATATATATTTTTTTTGAAATATAGTTTTAAAAAATATCTTGTTATAGGTATAAATTCGCTTTAAAAGGAACAACATTAGGTATGCATGCATATACAAAATGGATTGATGAAATTAATCTGAACTGAGTGAAATTCTAGTTTCCATTCAATATTCTATTCCCCCCCCTCTCCTCTCCTTTCTTAAATTATTCCAAATAGAAATATATAATAACTCATACAGATATTATTTTTTTTTATATATTACATATTTCGGAATATATAAAATTCATTATTATATTATATAAATATATAATTATGGGACATTCATAAATAATTAATTAAACAAAGTATCATGAATTATTTTTTAAATTATCATATAATATTGTTCCAGTTAAAACTAAAATAAAAAATAATACGTAGGTATTTTTAGAAAACACCTTAATTTAAAAACAAAACAAAAAAAATATGCGAAATAATCTAATGACTATTATCTAACCTACCAAAATGAAATAATAATTTATTTTTTTTCTTCTTTCTTATAAATAGCTGGGGTGCTGATTCCGCTGAGAAGACTATATAAAGCCATTAGGTAATCATTATAAACTCGTAATATCTTTTTTCCTTTCTAAAAAAAATTTTTTTTTGTCATAACAAAATATATACAAAATAAAAATTATTATAACAATTTTTCCCCTTAAAATAAAGATTTTCATTTTCTAACTTTTAAGACTTAAATATTTTTTTCAAGAAAATATTATATATATTATTCTTTTGATCTTATAAAAAAAAATTTACGCAAAACAAAAAAAAATTTAAAACGCGAAACGATTAGGAATATAGATCATTAAGGAAAAATCTATTTGGAGATGATCAACAAAGGTAAAACGATAAAAATTTTTTTAAAAAAACTCATTGATATTCATAAATTAGGGAGTTGTTGTTAAGAACTTAATTTGTTATGAAACTAGGAAATTAGTTCTTAAACTAAGGAATCGCAGATATTTTGGTCTCCTCATAACCCCATTTACTTCATTATACTCTCTTCTCTTTTATACTATATATATATAAGAATAACTATATAGGAATTTAAGTCTTTTCCTAATTTGGTTATAGTACTGTTCCTTCTATACCACATCTGACAACGTTAAATCATAGGCCTAAAATTCCTGATCCTATAAGAGTATCTTAAAACATTTTCACAATTCTTCTTAAACATTTATTACTTGTTATTAAATATAGTTTTGCCATTTGCTGTATTATCGATTGTGCGAAATGGGTTGGATATAAGATGTTAGTGGATTTCATTTCGGGGTTGCTTAGAATATGTATTTCCTAGATAATCCAGGACAGATTAGCTATGGGGGCCACTCCGGTATGGCATGATTATATCTAAGAGGAGATATGCTAATAGATTTACCACATTAAATTAAAAGTGTGCTTACACAGGAGTCAACTGTAGAACCATTTTTCTGGTTTGCACATCTACTAATATTTTACTAATCAATATCATTTCGTCGGCGTTCAAGCCACAAAATGACGTTTCAACTGACTCCTGTGTATTAACACTTTTAAATACATTTAATGAATGAATTCCCAATCTTGTAGTATATATATAATACATCTGGTATTCATTTTATATTTGACTAATTTTATACTTTGATCATCGGAGGGGCCATAGAGTCGCTTGTTTCGATGATCTAAGAGACTCGGGAGCAGAGGCGTAATTAGCCTATTTTCTTAAAAAATATTTAAGAGTGATTAAAAAAATACCGTTTATTTAATTGTAGTGCGTTCATAAAAATACTTTTTTTTTAAAAAAAAAATTCTAAATGGGCATTTTTTGTTTTAATTATAATAAATGCCAATAAGAGTTGTTTTTAAATAACCTTAAATTATCTAATACCTTCAAAAAATAAATTGGAGGGGGTGTGTAAGTACACAAAACAAAATATTTTAAGGGGGTAAGGAGAAGGTGCTTATTTTTATTTGATTCTCTTACCCACTTATCATTATATCGGAGACCTGCAGGCGTAACAAAATTTGAGTTTTGAGTTTTCTAGCTCCGGATTAATTTATAGAAAAAAAATTTCTGGCCTCGGGTATTCGTAATATCGGGCTTGAAACCCGCTCGGATTTTTATTTTATTTTTGATCATTGAGAACCTCCTAGATCGGTATTTGTTTTTTTTAAAATTCTCGTTATTTCGAATATATTTTTCCTCTCCGTATTTATTATAAATTGTTTCGCAAGGTAAAATTGAAAATATGAGTTTTTAAATAAAAAAAATTAAAAGCTCCGTTATGGGATTTTTTTTTCTCCAACCGATTATAATAAGATAATAATCTTAAATGGATTTTTTATTTTAAATTTGCCTGATTTGGTTTTTTTTTTAAATTTCTTTACTAGGTTCGGATTAAAACCATAAATATTCTTGCTGCTCTCCAAGCAAGGTTGCCAGATCTCCCGCCCCCCCCCCATTATTTTTCCTCAATATAACACATACCTACCTCCCTTTTTCGGAAAACTCCCGTAAAAAAATTCCCTTCAATTTTAATGTTTTTAATTGATAAATAATTATTTTTAGAAATAATAATAAGTTAAATCTATACTTATCCGATAAACATGTCAAGTTTGCTTTAAAAAAAAAAGATTAAAAGAGCAAATCATTTCCTGCACTCTTATAAAGAAATTTAAGAACTTTCCTTATTCCAAAAAAGCTATTTCTAGTTGCGTAAATGTAACCTTATTTGATGGGTGTTTATTTTTAACGAAGCAGATACATATTAAAATTATTTTACGATAATTACAATTAAAATATGATTTTACTAATACGATTTATAAATGCATTGACCATTATGACTAGTGTTGTTAAACGGCTCGATTTGAGCCGTTAAAAAAAGCTAACTTTATATTTTAGCCAGAAAAATAGAGATCCGGCTAATCGATCTCCAAATCATTGGGACCTATGAGAAAAATCTCTAGTTGTGTAATATTTTTCTGGATAAAATATATTGAGTTATAGAACGCTTCAACAACAACACTAATTATGACGCTGACACAAAACCCATCAATTAATGAATTACGTCATTTAATAAATATATACGGATAGATATAGATATCTTGTTTTTAGGAGATTTTTATACTCTCCATTTATGATTCGCCGGAATACTTAAAAAATCTTTCTTTCTTTTGATCTTGAAGCAAATCGTAAAAACGATAAATGCCCATGCTTGGAAATAACGAGCGATTTCTTTACCCCATTCTAATGCTTTATCAGATCGCATATTTTTTAGGCCCGATGATGACTGCTGGGAGAAAGGAGAGAAATAGGCTTTGCTCTGACAACATTTAGAAGCCTATGCTTATAATTATAACAAAATTATGATTATGTCCTGTAAATATTTCTTAATGATGACGGAAAATATTTAATTTCCAAAATTTAAACAAAATAAAATATGGTCAATATTATTATAAATACAAACATATTTTATTTTAAAAAAATTTTTGTTAAACGTTAATTATACTTATTCGCATAAAATTATCTAATTTTTTACATTGGAAAGCAAAGATAGTTTATTTTTTGTATAAAATTAAATTAATATAATATATTTTTTAATATATTTAATAGATAAAAATCTTTATTTTATAAAATGATCTCGTTTATAAAATCAAAAAATTTTTACTTTTTTTTAACATAAATAAAGATAAAACAAATCCACTATAAAGAAGTAATTATAAATTAAATTGAGAAAATAATATATTACCGATTTTGAAAAATATAATAATAAACCGATTAGTGTTGTTATCCTGAGAATTATACAAAACACGCTGTACTTTTCTATTCTCCGTCGCGAATTCGCGCTAATTGTGAATGAGGATTCCTAGTTAACTCTAATTTTTGGCGAAGTATACGTGGTATTTTTGCGTATTTTTTTTATATACTTTGCCGCGAATTCACGCTAACTCTGAATGCAGGGTTAAACAGCTCTCTTTTAAAAAACGGTTAACTCGATATCTTAAAATATTGCACAAGCCTGGAGATTCTGCTCACAGATGGCTGACAGATTTGAATATAAGTCTCCAGGTTTAAAATTGGCCAAATCAAGGGGAGACTGATTTATAGGTTTTCAAATACCATAAAGTAACTTAAAGAGTTGGGGGGGGGGGCGTCAAATCCTCCTACATTAAAGATTTTGACCTAATTTCTCCCGCAATTTTAAAATTTTGACCGGATTAACCCTGGCCCCTGACCGGGCTTGCAGTTTTTAAATGCCTCCTTGTTTAGGAAGATGGAATCTGTTCAACCCTAATATACACTAGCAAATTGTAAAGAATTTTCTATGTATATATTATACAAACTCCTAGTCTCGTAATTTTAATTCTAATATTTTCCTTTTAGCATTACCTATTTTCAAGTTTCGAGTAAATTTCTATCTGCTTGTGTCAATAACTGCAATCCACCCCCGCCTCCTCTCTATATAAAAAATAGTTTTGGAATTGAATCCTTATATATAACGATCACAGAGATATATTTAATGTCCAGTACTAATTTTCAGAAATTTGTTTGATTTTACAATAATTTTTTTCATAACTTAGGAACATTCCTCGCCTTGGTACTCCTAGATTCCATGCTAATTATGCTCGTAACTTCAGCTCAAGGAATGTATCATTATCCTTACTTGTTAGACCCTGATGACTTCGATCAAAATAATATCGATGAAGTAAGCAAAATCAATAAAATAAGGCAGGATTTTAACAATCCAACTTTCCCTTTGTTGTATCCCAAATATGATGTTAATGTAAAGAATACGATGAAAAGAAATTGGAACGATTTGGAGATGAAGAAAATGGCGCTTGGAAAGCACCCTGATAAAATAACAACTAAGCGTAAAGTGACGTGTGTAGAAAATTTTGATTTAGGAGCTTTGAACGACATGAAGAAAGTAGAAATCAGAAAGGAATTGATAGAATCCAGTAAGTTGAGATTCGTGAAAATGGCTAAAACAGCATCTGCATTGTACAAGAACATGGTAAAATGAATATTTATACATTTTAATAGTAAAATAAATACTAAATATAATATATATTAAATATTAATATAAAAGAATTATATTATAAGCGATTATAAATATAATGCATTACGTAACTAATAATTATGGTCTAGATAAAGTATCATTTGAATAAACATCTAAAAAAATTTATAAAGGTATTGTAAATTTTGTAAATTCATCATATTTTCTGCCTAAAAGAACTTCTCCGCTGTAGATCTTTTCCTCAGATTTTGCCTCTAATTGCAAGATGTATTTTCTTTTGATACCTGCAGTTAGAATAGTAATTTCTGCAGAAAAGAACTCTCCGTTGTAGATCTTTTCCTCAGATTTTGCCTCTAGTTGCAAGATGTATTTTCTTTTGATACCTGCATAGTAGTTTTTCCCTCGAAAATATTTGATATAATCATGGATAGGAGAAGCAAAAGCATCTGTGAAGTGTTAGTTTTGATTATTCTTAAAGAAATAAGAAATTTTCTAAAATAAATATCAAGATTCAAGATAGAACTAAAAATGTAGAAGCACTAATTTTAATATATAAAACAATAATTAAATACACGAAATATGTTTTAAATAAAATCAATACCTATCATTATTTATAAAAAAAATATCAAACTTTTTAGTGTATCTAAAAATTGAGAAGACTCGGTATCCCTGGCTGTAACTTTAATACTTTTATGATTCAGTCGCAGTAGCATATAGACTTGAAGCTGGTGTTGTTAAACGGCTCGTTTTGAGCCGATTTTTAAAAACGGTTAATTCAATATTCTAGCCAGAAAAATATGGCCTAATCCTAGAGATTTCGCTAATAGATGTCCAAACCTTTGTTCCTTCTACAAACAAAATCTTCAGGCTTGCCTAATAATATTCTAGATGAAATATCGAGTTAGCCGTTTAACGACACTACTTGTAGAATCTATGGGATACTAAAATAAGATAGATTGGTTATGGTCAAATTGATAACAATTTGCATTATTTTTTGGCCTCTCAAACGCTAAGGTTAGGGGATTGTTTAGTAAAAGTAATATACTAGTTTGCATTTATACTTGGAAATAGAAAAGGTCAAACTTTGATCACATATAAGAATCATAGCGTCTTTGGGAAGCGTTCCAATTTTCAATTTCAAATGTGCCGATAGCATTGTGTATTCGGAGATTTTTCCAAAGCGTTTTTTTAAATAGAAGAAGATATTTTCTGGGGGAATTTTAAAGAAATAGAAAATTAAGGAGGGTTTTTTAAAAAAAAAATTAAAGCAAATTTTCATCTAAGATTATCAATATAAAAGTATTATGAAAGTACGAAATTTTATCTAATCATAATTCCCATTAGGGTGACATCTTGCCGACGCCACTGCTATAAATAAAATTGATAAAAAAATGAGTCAAATAGTTTAATGGAAAAAGTTAAATATTTATAATATATAGGAATGTGTCTATAATATAATTTAGAGCCTTGCATATGGACTTCGACCTATCTAATCCGACATTCTTTTTTCCGAAGATTTAATTAAATTTCTATAATACTACTAATTTTGTATATTAATCTTGTAAATAATTTTTCATAAAAAAATATGAGGGAAAGAGTTCCACTTAATCCAAAATAAATTTTAAAATCGAGGTACGGATGCAAAGGGAATGCCTGTTCCAGGTCTGACAGATCCAAGTTTAGTCGTAGCGATCATAGTCAGATAAATAATTTATAATGGGTAAAAAAAAAAAGTGAAAACTTTAGAAGAAGAAAAAAATAATATGTATATTTATTAAATCAATAAATTGGCTATTAATTAAATTTTATAAACGAAAAAGATCGAAATACTATCAATAGAGGATTCGATGTTAGACCTCCTCAACTTCAATGACCTAGATCTTGTGATCAGAAAACCAATGATATCTATCTTCAACGATAAAAACACGGTAAATATATCATATTCACGTAAGGTGTATACCTTCAGAATTAAATATAATTCTAGCGTTGTTATAAGGGCTCGATTTGAGCCGATTTTTAAAAGCGGTTAACACAATATTTTAGCCAGAAAAATATTGACTTATACCTTAAGATTTCGCTAATAGATGGTCCAAACCTTTGTGCCATCTATGAGCAAAATATTCAGGCCTGCTAATAATTTTCTGGCGGGAAAAGGTTGGGAGATCATATAATGGGGCATTTAATATTCATTTACTGCTCTTATATTCTTACGACAATGTTACGATATAGACCAATTATAATATTTTCTTCTTTATTTTTAATTTTCAAAAAATAAAAATAATAAATACCAAAGAAAACAAATCACCTAAATGAGATGATTGAAAAGTTATCCGTGTATTCTCACTTGTTCGAATTCATTATCAACGAAAAACTCGAGGTCGAGCCGGTTATCCAGCAATTCCACAAACTGAATTTCAACCTCAGGCACGTAATTTGCAACTTAAAAATTCTATTGTTGGCGGAAAAGGAGCCAGTCAACGAGGAAGATATCAACGTGGTCAAACTGAATGAATTGAAGGATGATAGTCAAAAATACATGAGAAATATCTTGATCTTGCGGCACTTTAATAATTTCTTGGCCAAAAATGGTCGGATGGAGATTTACAACTAATCGAGTTGAAGGAGAAGCGTCATTTGATATTTTTCAAATATAATATATAATTTTTTAATTTTTTATTTAAAAAAAAAATAAATATAAATTATAAATTATATTTTCTATAGTTATAAAAAAATAATAATTAAATTCACAGGGTTTTTCATTCATTAGATATGTTTAATCACTACCACTCTCCTTCTCCCAATAAAGTTTCCAAACATTTCTTACGAGAGTTTTTCTTTTTAAATCCTTACAAATTGGGGTATCATGACTGCGAATCATTTAATCATGTTTATTTAAATTTATATTAAAAATGTGTAATAAATCATTTTGCTTATCACGTATAGTATAGTATAATAGTGTAAAATATAAAATTTTTATAAACATCGTAAAGGCTACAAAGACCTGACCGTTTCGACCCTTAAAAAATTTTGCACAAGTTGTCCGCTAAGGCCCGAGTAGATTTTTGCCAGGCCCGGCCTGTCATAATTATTTTTAATTTGTTCAGCCAAGGTCCATAACAATTTTAAGGAAAATTAGACCAGTAATGATAAAATTTTACTGAAGGTCCGCCCGACTTGTTTAATTTTGTTTGCAAAAATTTATTTCCGGTCATCATATTATTAATCTATTATATGCAAATTTTTCCAAATCTCAATTTAAAGTAAGTATGGTTCTTAACTTTTTCACCTATTGCTATGCTATCTAATTTTACACCAAACGCTTTAGAAATCAATTATGTTTGCTGTAATGAGCATTTGTAATTGTATCATTATCATATAATAAATAAATTGTGTAATTTTTTTGTGTATTCAAAATATTATTTGAAGGTTTAGTATTTTAGATAGACATAATTAAGAAAAAATAAGCAAATTATAATTTCAAATAGTATAATCAAAATATTATCTTGAAATTCAAAAAAATATATATACATTTTCAATGCCCGGGTTAGCCCATTATTACCTTAAAATCAGAGATTTGCGCCCTGCAAAATAACGATTATGACAAATGTCACTTTTCGATGGTACATACATCTTTATTTAAATTTTAATTCTACATGTTTACAATATATGTTTTTATCCATTTATGTCAAAAAAAGATTAAAAAAATAACTATTATGACAATTGTCACTTTTTTATGGGATTTCTTTTTTGAAATTTTAATTTAACACGTTTACAATATATATTTTTGCCCTTTTGCATCAAAAATTTTAAAAAAAATTAAATAATAACGATTATAATTGTCACTTTTCTATGGTACATCTTTTCTAAAATTTTAATTAAATTTTATAATAAATACTTTTACCCTATTACATCAAAAAATTTTTAAAAAGTTAAATAATAATGATTATGACAATCGTCACTTTTCTATGGTATATCTTTATTGATATTTTTAATTGTAATATAAATTTTAACACATTTGCGTCAAAAAAATTCAAAAAGTTAAAAAAAAATAAGGATTATGACAATCACTTTTTTATGTTACTACTTTAATTTTTTATTTTAATTTAACATGCTTACAAACTCATTTGATTCAAAATTATGAAAATAATAATTTACTATAACATCTTATAAAAAATATTTTTAAACGAAAAATCTTCAAAGATTAAAATCTTTCAAAATATTTGATCCACCTTTTTTTTTTAAATAAATGATCAAGAAATTTTAGGATCTGCGCAAAATTTTTTTTAAAAAAATAAAAGATTTTAAAATCTTACGATCTTCAAAGATCTGAGCATTTAATATTGATTTACTTTTCACTCAATTTCACTTTGAAACAATTTGCAAATCGAACCAAAATTATTATGAGTATCGAAATTTCAAAAATTGAACGAGCCACAAAATTAACCAAAAAATATAGGACAGTCAAGTAATCTTGGGCATGGTCAGATTTGGACAGTACCGCGAATATTTGTATCTAAGATACAAGATCCTTTTGTATCTTGTACTCAATATCTATTTGACATTTAAGATACTAGTGTCTGTATCTAAGATCCTTTATTCTGAAAAGAATCTTGTATCATTTTCATTTTCTTGACAAAAGATACAGATACAGCTTCTTTTTAATATTCATGTTTAAAATTATTATCTTCAGAATCTTGCATTAATTTCCTTTTTTTCAGCCATATTTTAAATATGATGACAATAAAAATTAGCTGGAAAGTTTACAACTCATATTACAGTAGATAGATAAAAAATAGGAAATACAAAACGAAATAAGTTAAGATTATATTTTTTATATAAATGTTACTAGATAGAAAATCATTACCAATTTTATGTAATATTTTTTAATTTGTAGGATGATTAACACTCATGTAGTGAAGAAGAAGGTTGTGAAATTTAATTTATGTAAATAATTTCCCGTGAATCAAATTCCAATCTTAACATTTTATATGGAAATTATTTAAAAATAAAAGTTAAAAAAGACAATGAACGTGCTAGATGTAAAACCTTTATATACAAATATACAAAAAATAATAAAGGTTTAAACACAAATTTTGTTGAACAAGTATATTATTTATATGTGGTTAAAAGGGGCTAGTTTATCTAATAAGTTCGAGTTTACAATATTATTCGACCTTTATTAAAAGCTGCCCAAGATAGTATGGGCAAAAAATTTTAAGAAAATATTTTCCTATGATTTAAATATAATGAGGCTTTTTTGACATTAATATCACATCCATATTTTAAGAACTTATCGGTTGAGTCAGATGATAAAAAAAAATCCTTTCAAAATATATTAATAAAAGAAGCGTACCAGGTATATAATCAAGCTTAAACAATAACACCAATAGATTTAACATCTAATAAAGAAAATGGTGAAACAAATGTTGCAGAGTTCAATAATACAAATAACAGTGAACTGGAGATTTAAATTAAATTAAAGTAAGTCGAAATACATTATAAATGCTAAATTATTATCTTTCCATTAAGGGATTTTTTTTATAAATATAATAATGCAATACCTATTCAGCAATTGAAAGGTCAGGCGCGTAACCAATGGGGGGGAAAGGGGGAAATTTAAAAATTTTACCCTCCACCCCCCCCCCTAATCAAAATTTTACAAATATTTGAATAACATTTTTCCAACATAAATCTTATTTTTTATAAATATATTTTATTAAAATTTCCTTTCCTTGTGAGTACATTAACATTATTCAAAAATATTAATATAATGGAAAAATTTTAAGTCAAAGAGATTGAAATCAAATGGTAATTTAGTTTATTATTATATATAATTATTTTATTAAATTCAAAATTATTAGTAAGTTAGAATTAATAAGTATTTTTAATATTAATTATTAATAAATATCTATAATTTTTTAAATATTTTATTTTTATTTCGATTTTCTAGAACAGAAGAAATAGAAATACAAAAGTTAAATAAGGCTGAGCATGAAAAAAAGTAATGTGTCGTCAGAAGCGATATCATATTGAATTCAATTGATCAATCAGAGTTTATCATTGCTGCTAGTTGCATCAATAAATTATTTTCCTATAGCTCACTACTTTGTAGAAATTTACAAAAACCAAATTTAGATTTGGTTCAGGTTATTGATTTGGGGGAAAATATATATGAACAGGTTGATACAATAAGAATGAATGTAGATGAATATTTTCATAATATTTATATAGACGTTGAATCGAAGGCTAAATTTTATGATATAACACTAATTAAACCTCGTCTAGCACCTGGGCAATTATTGAGATGTAAAATAAATATTGGCTCAACTGAAGAATATTAAAAAATATCTACTTTCATCCCATTCTTAGATACTTTTTGCAAATAAAAGTACGGTTTTTAGATAAAAAACAAGTCTTTAGCAATCTTCAAGTTTTAATACCCAAAGATCCATTTTGGTTTTCTAATGCCACTATTGGTAAAATTAAATATTTAGCAAAATTTTATTCCTATGATATTGATACTGAAATAAATTTAATTAGTGAATTCGAATTGTGGTATAAATATTTACTACGTTTAGCTATTTTACCTGAGCATGCTATAGAGGCGCTCAATCGGTGTAGAGAAACCTTGGCTCAAATTCCTAATATTTTGAAGTTGTTTTATATTCTACCATGTTTGCCTCTTATAACAGGTACGAATGTAAGGACTTTCCAACTTAAGAAGGTTGAAAACATATTTATGAAGTACTACTTCCGAGTCTCGGCTAAATTGGTTAGCTCTGTTAAATATCCACAGAGATTTGGTTCCAACGACAAACTCTTGATGAATTTTGGCAACATTCTCACGAAAATTAAAAATCACATTATAATTATAGTATTTAATAGAAAACTTTGTATAATACTGTATTTGATAAGAAGTTTAAAAAAACTTGTTTTTTAAATTATTTTCTAGTCAATATTTTATAGTTTTGTTAAACGCCTCGTTTTGAACCGATTTTTAAAAACGGCTAACTCAATTATTTATCCAGGAAAATATTATGCAAGCCTGAAAATTTTGCTCATAGAAGAAGCAAAGGTCTAGATATATAGTATCGAAATTTCGAGGCTTAGTTAATATTTTTCTGACGAAAATATTGAGTTAGCCGTTTTTAAAAATCGGCTCAAAACGAGCCGTTTAACAACATCAATATTTTATACACACTACTATTAATATTTTCAATAAAAAAATTATATTATACTAATATTGTATGAGAATTTAAGTTCAGGGTAGCTTTAAAGCAAATTTTATAAAAAAAATGACATTAAAATTTATTTCAACTTTACATTTAAAATACTTTATTAAATATAATATACCTAACTAAAAATAATAAAAAAATAGGCTTGTAATATCCATTAGCACGAATTAGTAAATAATAGTTACAAATATAAATATAATTATTATTAATTTATGAATAATTTAATGGAATAGCTAAAACATAAGACCCGGCCGAAGGCCGGGGGAAAGTTGGCCGAAGGCCAGATAAGGGGGGTTTGGGGGCGAAGCCCCCAAAAAAAATTTTCCCACCCCATAAGAAAATCCTGGATACGCCACTGTGAAAGGTTATTTAGTTTTGACACAATATTAAGTACGCCGAAACGGCAAAGGACTAATGATAAATTATTTAACTATTTTAAATACTCTTTTGCAAATTAATATTTCAACTCCCCTTAAAAATACTAGTCTCCCTCCCTTCCCTATCTATGCTAAGAGCTATTGTATTAAAATGTAATAATTAAATTATCATTAAATATCTTATTAATTATTGTAAATATTCATTCTTATTATATACGTATGTGTTCTTCACAAATAAATAATAAAACTGTATTTAAACTATTCTAATTTATTTGGTAATGATAATTTAAAAGTATTTTGTATTTAAGTACTCTAATTAGGCAAAAGATACAAGTATCTTTTTATCTTGTATCTTTTTGATATTTTGAAAAAGATTCTAGTATCTGTATCTAATATTCATTTTTTCACAAAGAATCTGTATCTAGATTCTATTTCCGGAGGACCATCCCAATTCTGGACATGGTTATAAATCTTTATTTTGAAGTTATAGACGGGCCTAAAATTCACCTCTGCATAACCCTGTTTTATGAATTATATTTCTAGTCAAATAAATTGCAAATAAATATCAGTTGACAATATAATATAAAGATTTATAATAATAACTAACAGTGATAATATGATTCGCGTAGAATATTTCAAAGGATGTATAATTTGCTAATACGACCTTTTAGCTTTGTCAAATTAATGTATATTATTAAAAGTATATAATGTTGTTTCTTTAAATTATTAGATGAATGCCTAATTTTAGAATATATAAATTTGATTAGACCTTTAGTATATGCGTTTATTTAAATTTGGAAGAAAAAAATATAATAAAAATATATACAATAGTTCACAATTGATGTGCGCTATTTATCGACGGGTTGGGGAAATTTTACTTCAATTCTTAAACATCTGATTGAACAATAATAAAATACCAACGTTAGATAAGATAAGATAATACATGCTTTAAAAATTAATAATGAACAACGTTAAATCAATTTTTAACGAAGCTTTAGCCAATCTAGATTTGCTTGATGAACATAATTTGCCAGATGATCAACCTCATATTGAAGGCAAAGATAGTTTATTATCATTTAATGTTTCCCTAGACAATGATTTTTGTGATATATTGATGTATTCAAATATCACTAATAAATATTGTGAAGAATGTTCATATATGAATGATCTCATTCAGATTATAAATGAAGGTAAGGAATTTTGTGTTATGCTGTATACCTGGAGATGCTGTTCTAGGGCTATACCACAGGTTCAAAAATAATAAATAAATTTATCATTTAAAATAAATCACTGTAGCCAAAATCAAATGAACAGCCCAACAGGGTAGAAATTTACGAAAAAACTGTTGAAGTATTAGCACCAGAGGTCAATAAGTTGCTAAAATTTATGTATTTTTGTGTAAGCTCTAAAAAATTAATATGACACATTATACTTAATACATTAACAGAGAAAAGCAATAGAAAGTTTTGTTAATGAAATTAGAAGAGTGTGTTCATGTGAAAAGCGTAGACCCTTCTTAAATGATTCCTACCTTTTAACATTAGGAAAAATACTTGAGATGTTTATGAATCTTGATGAATTAAAGAATATGAAATCCAGTATAAAAAATGACTATTCAGCATATCGAAGGTTAATTTAATTATTTTACATGTTTTATATATAATTTTTAAAAACATATGAAAACAGAGCTGCACAATTTTTAAAAGTAATGCATAACTCAGAGGCTTTACAAGAATCACAAAATTTATCCATGTTTTTAGCCAATCAAAATAAAATAAGGATGACTTTAAAAGCTAACTTAGAAAGTGTTGACTATTTTGAAGATATTTTTTATGAAATTATAAAATCATGCTTAAATGCTTATGAAAAAGGCTTCTTTGTCACCCCAGCTGAAAAGCATCTTTTGATCAAAGTAAACAATTTTGAATCTTTTACAATATTATAGCCCAGGAATCAGAGTTGTTAAGGTCCAATACATTTTTAATATTCGTGATGATAATTTTAATATTCATCTTGAATGTATGAGTATTGAAGAATTCAATAACTTTTTGTATCGGTATCTATCCACCCATTTTGAATTTATATTAGTATCTTCCAGAGACCATCATGGACCTTAATTGATCAAGCCCCACCCAGGCCTAGGCCCATAGTAAATAAATATTTAGGCCCAGGCTCAACCCAGCCCATATTTAATATTTATAAAAAATTCCAAGCCCATAATAAGTTTTAAAAAATTTTTCCCAAGCCCATAATAAGTTTTAAAAAATATTTCCCAAGTCCATATCTAAAAATTTAATTTATTGTATTTAATGAAAATAAACAATATTTAAGTGTTTTTAGGCCATCATTTTGTTTTCATACACACAGGCCTGCTAGATAATATAATATTAGGCCAATACCCAGCCTGGTCCATAAAAGCTTCTGGTATTGGCTTAAATGCACTCCCTTTATAAAATATGGTACAAATCCAAAAACGCAGATGACAAGACAAGATACAAAAAATTCAAGAGATTAGCTACAAAAGCGGTTGCTAGAGCCAAATCTATAGCATACGATGACATGTACGAAGATCTACATACCAAAGAAGTGCAAAATAAAATATACAGATTAGCCAAACAGCGAGAAAAGAACTCTAGGGATATAAACGGAGCTTCGAAAGTAATCAAAAATAAAGATGGGAAATTGATAATAAAGAAAAGAAATAATGAATAGATGGAAAGAATATTTTCAGGAGCTTCTCAACTTTAATCCTCACATACTGCATCTAGACGAACACTCCCCTTGTCAAAACCTTGTACAACCTATAACACAACAAGAAATAATCACATGCCTCAAGCATATGAAAAACAACAAAGCTAGGGGTCCAGACGATATTCCAATAGAAAGCCTTAAAGCACTAGGAGATGATGGAATACATCTCCTCACAAATCTATACAATAAGATACTTGGAAATGAAGAGGTTTCCCAAAAATGGAGGTAGAGCTATCTAGTTCCTATCTTCAAAAATAAAGTGGATCCACATAATTGTCAAAATTACAGGGGCATAAAACTAATGTCACACTGTCTAAAACTATACGAAAAAATAATAGAAAAAAGATTAAGAGATATAATCGAAATAGGAGAGACTCAATTTGGCTTTATGCCTGGAAGATCAACAACCGATGCTATCCACGCAATTAGGCAAATGAGTGAAAAATACAGGGAAAAGAACAAAAAGCTACACATGGTCTTTCTCGATCTAGAAAAGGCCTTTGATAGAATCCCAAGAAAACTTATCTGGTGGGCGCTACGCCACAAAATCCTGAAAAATATATAAGAATAATACAGGATATGTATATGGGCCATACAACAATGGTCCGTAGCACAACAGGTACTTCAGCAGGCTTCACAATAGCCGAAGGAGTTCATCAAGGGTCGGCTCTCAGCCCACTTCTCTTCATTACAGTAATAGATGTATTAGCACACTCTATACCTCAAACAGTCCCGTGGAATATGATATTTGCAGATGATATTGTGATACTTGCCGAACCTAAGGATGAAATGAAAGAAAGACTAGTGAGTTGGATAAATATCCTAGAAACGCACGGATTAAAAGTAAATAGAGAAAAGACGGAGTATATGGTGATAGGAGGAGATGAAACAGAGAGTATTGATATAAATGAATGGCAGATATCGGCAATTGAAAGCTGCAAATATTTGGGCTCCACTATACAAACAAACGATAGAAAAAGAGATAAAGAGTAAGATTAATCAAGGGTGGCTAAAGTGGAGATCCTTATCTGGAGTGCTATTTGATAAAAGAATCCCACACAAATTAAAGGGAAAAATTTACAGTTTCATAATACAACTAACTATTCTTTATAGTTCGGAAACATGGCCAACCAAAGAATCAGACGAGAGAAGTCTACAAACCATGGAGATGAGAATGCTGAGGATGATTGCTGGGGTAACAAGAAAGGATAAGGTGCGCAGTACAAGAATACTAAGTAGTTTAAAGGTAGTGCCCATTAAGACTAAGTTAATGGTAAACAGACTTAGGTGGTATGGGCACACAATGAGAAGGCCTATGAACTACATAGGAAATAAAGTTAAGAGTTTGGAAGTAATGGGCAAACGTAAAAGAGGAAGGCCAAAACTTCAATGGGGCCATAAAGTGAGCCAATATAAAGAAGTATAAATTAGATAAAAGAGATTGTATTAATAACATAAAGTGGAGAGAGATGTTGAAGGAGCTTACCACCAGAAAAGGTGAAAGCTAAAGAGAAAAAAAAAGTATCGTTAATAAGTCTACCAATGATAAACATTTTAGAGCATATTATTGGAATAATTAAAAACAAGAATCACCATATTTAACTTTAAAGAATTTTTGTTACAAGAATTTTAATCTTTGGTTTTAATTTGAATAATTCAAGAAATAAGGATTTTATTTTTTATGTATTTTTTGACTCCATTATTGATTAATAAATATTTAAGTTTTAAAATACAACCCTACCCTGGATTTAATATCCTCTAAAAATATAATCTATTTGATTTCATATCCCAACCCTATAACATATCAAATATCTTCTCATAATCTATTGAAATAAAATTCTTATATTTTTTTTACAAGGTTATATCATTTTCCATAAACCTGTTAGACAGTGATCGTCACAACATTTATAATCCCAAGCATTCGGCTCATTCCAATAATCGTTTGGGTCACCTGAATCTAAACTCCCTTGACCTCTCCATTTCGAGCACTCTAAAATCTTCGAAAATGTTGAGCGGATCGCAGGCGCATACCACCAAATCTCGTAATGGCTCATCAACCCTCAACAGTCTCAGCCTGATAGACACCAGGTCGGGACCTGGTAAAAAGAAGAATGGTTATTAATTAATTTATTAACAAAAAATTTTTTTATCCCGATTCTCATTCATTTATATTATTTTTAATCAACATCAAACAAGTATCCTCTAGGAATCTAACCGTTTCTCTAACAAAGAATTCGAATCGTCCCTGATTACCTCTTTTATAAACCCCCCTTCCCTCCCCCACTCAAAAATGGAAAAATATATATCATTCAATTTTTTTAATTTGTGCCAACCATGATAGATCTGAAATCTTACAACTCTTCTTTCAGCGGAGGCTCGGCCCCGGCTCACCTAGCCCCTTTACCCTTCACCAAACTCGATAAAATACTGGGTTACGGACCGAAGTTCATGCCTATATACATAGCTGGTCAAGATGTTGGTAGTTTGCTCGTATCTGCCAAGTATATAACGCTAATATTTATATTCCCTAAATTAAAATTTGATTAAGCACAAAATTGATTAATTTTACATCAATTATCATTCATATCATGTTCATATGGCGGGGGGTGAGCTCGATTAGCTTATTAATACATTTCTTCTTTTAGGCCTTTTTGATTTACGAAGATATTTATAGGATTAAGGTAATAAACTTTATTGTGGTTCTTTAAATAATACGCGCCAACTTACTAGGTCTAAACGGTTTTTAGCAAAAAAAAGATAAAATTTCACAGATTAGTATAGCACTCTTTACCTTGTATATGAACTATACCTATTTCCTCATTCAAAGATTATGATAGCGGTCATTTTAATTGGTATAAAAATTAATGAGACTTTCTTTAAAAAAAAAGCTTTGTTATTAAAATAGCGATAGCGCTCTATTTTTTTTTGTTGTATTTCTTTAGTGATAGCGCGCCAATTTACTTCGCCTTACTTTTTAAATTAAATATGATAAGTATTTTTAAATTGAATAATTATTTATAATTACACTAGCTGCTAAACCGTTAAGAATGACGGGTGAATCAGACATTTTTTTTCTTCGTTTGATGATGGATAAATCCGAAATTTAATATTTCGTTCAAAATTTAGCTCACAAAGTTAAATCAAGACCATTCCTTAGAAAAAAACATACTAATTTAAATTTAACTATTGTTCCTTTTAAGATCCAATTATGATTTTCATAAAAAATTTTATATTATTTTTTGTTTTTACATTTTTTATAGATATTATATATAATAGCTTTAATAAATAAATTTGACTCCTCTAAAAAAAAAAGAATAATATAAGACCACGTCACAAAATATGACAAAAAATGCCATAAAAAACACACCTTTTAATATATAAGAGATATATTATTTTATAATTACATTTGTTAAGAAAATTACGACATTTAAAATTATCCTCTTAAGGATTTTTCATATTTGCAGATAATGTAGATGTTTTCTTAGGGGAAATATGACCGGAATATGATAATACTGTAGTCTCACTAAGATGATGACTTCTATAAATGATTTCTTTAAGAGGGATCATAGGAATATGAAATGAAATGAATCAGGTGTTGTTTTTATTGCCTAAAATATAATGATGTGACCTTTTCCTATTTTATAAAATTGAAATAATCACTACCTATATTTAATTGATCACTGCTCAAGAGACGTATGGATAAAAATATAGAAATGATTTTGAACTATTATTTTAAGCAAGTCGCTATTCATAATGAAAGAAAAAAATTAAAATATTTTACATCACAATATATATTATTTTTAAAAAAAAGTTATATCCGTTTTGCCACCGACATGCAAATATGTCCATTCACTTCCTACATCACCAAAACGCCCAACTACGATAGTTCAAAATGGCCTGTATCATCTTGTCCTACTCCGCAAGGGCCCACCTCGAGGTCGCCCATAGGAAGTCAGCCTAAGAATGATGGGATTGGGAGAAATCAAGAGCTCTTAGGGACAGTAGATATCGATAAGTAAATTTAAATATTTCCTTATTTTATACTTAATGATTGTAGCAAGAGGGAAGGGGGAAAATCAGGACTAAAGATATGTTTATTGTTAATACTAGTGATTCAGCGTACATTATACTAAATGATTCGTATTCCACATAAACGATGAAAGTATTACTGTATTTTTTTTCTTCAAAAAAAATGAAATCGCTTATATCCAGCACTACAGAACCTTCTCATCAATGCGAAACTTCTATGGGCCTCGCAAACGTGCATTGCGACATGGGGACCTCGATGGATAACACCTTGATGGATGGCAACAAGAGGAGTCGCAAAATCTCGAGACATCCACTCCTTTCTCAAATTCCTCAAAATTTGGCTTTGTTTAAAACATTATTATTATATACTAAAGTCTTGGCACGAATATTGAGTTGCCGGAAGTCTGGTCCGTTTACCCCGGACTTGTTTTTTTAAATATAAATTTGCCTACTGAACCGAACGGACCTCTTCATGTTAATTTTCGGAGCGGGCCAGACTTTATATATTTTTTAAAACTATTTGAACATTTAAAATTTTACTATTTTTATTTTCGGATGTTATCTCCTTATTTGAAATACAAGAACCTTTTTGTTTTTTTTAAAAAATAGTTTCCTTAAAATTTTTAGGAAAAATATGTAAAACACTATAATACTCAGTCGACGAAATACATTTCACCACAAGGAAAATTAAAATTTTTCTTCACAATTTAAAATTGCCAAAACACCTTATTGATTATTAATAAGCATTAACATATATTATGATATTTTTTTTTAGTATATAAAGGTTTTGAAAATAAAAATCATGCTTTAATAACAGAAATAATGCCACGAACGAAGCCTTGTCGGGAAGTGGTAACATCAGCAAAAAATGCGAAAATATAAGCGTGGGAAGCTTATTCAACGCTCTCAACTCTTTTTTTGTCTCGTCCAATCACAGCACTCACCGACAATTCTGCAAAACGCTTTTGACCGAATTGACCCTGGCCAGGGAAATGTATACTTCCTACGCTTACCAATTGTCCATCCACATCAACGAGGTTTGTCATTAATTTTTTTTTGTAAAAAAATCAATTTTATTTGTTGTAAGTTGTTAACTTAGTCTAGTGAAAAAATCTTAGTTCGTCTTATCAATCTTAACTGCCTATACCATTTGTATTCATCTAGTGTTGTTAAACGGTTCGATTTTTAAAAACGGCTAGCTGAATATTTTAATCAAAAAATATTATGCAAGTCTCGAGATTTCGTTAATAGATGTTCAAACCTTTCTTCTATATATGAACAAAATCTTCATACTTGCATAATATTTTTGCCTAATATTGGGTTAGCCGTTTTTAAAAATCAAGCCGTTTAACACTACTATTCATATCACTCTTTAAGAAAGAAAGAAAGCTAGATAGAGAGAAAACGAAGTTAGTCTTAAAATGATATTTTTAATTTTTAAAAGGAAAAAATATAAATATGAAATTTTAATTAAATATAAATTAGGCTTCGCTTTGTCAAAATCAAAGAAATTTGACCGATGCTCAAAACAAGGAAATCAAGGATTTAGCTTTGAAGGGTTTGCTTCTTTTGGCTCATTGGAACTGCGTTATCAGCGAAACGGTAAGCTAAATGCCCGAGTTATTTTATTATGAGTTAATTTAACCAATCTCTTTTTATGATAATTATGTTGATTTTATTTTAAAAAAATATTAAATTTCCTAATCTCTATAATTTGAATATCATTTTATTAAAAGGTAAAATATGAACCGAAATATTATTTAAAAAGTTACTTAGATTATACTATCAATTTTTTAACTGTCACTCAGTGATCGTGTTAGATCTTGTCTATCTAGCACAATTGACTACTTTTTATATCATAATATCTACACTTAGTGCCTCCAATATCATCTCTAACTCTACATAAATATGGCTACAACTTGTTATTAACTGGGCAAATTAAACGTAACCCTTGTAATTATTTCTATTTAAAGAAAAGCGTCTTTGATTGATTTACTTATATATATATATATATAATTACGATTTGGGCTAAAATGATTTGGTATATGAAATCTAATATACTTTAGTAAACGTGCTTAGAAAAAATAGGAATACTTTTTTTTAAAAATAATTAATTTTGTACATTTAAAAAAAAAATTGTATTCTATTTTATGCATTCAAGGAGTTGCGCTTTGATATTTTCAGGCCCGGCCCGTATTTTAAAAAAAAATATATTAAATTTATTTTTAATTTTTATAGTTAATAATGGCGATTTGAAATTTTTGATTGGCCTGGCCCGGGTATAATTTAAAAAAATAATTAAAATACGACCCGTGTACCCGAACCGCTCTTGCTGGTCTCTGAATAATATATTTGATGATTAACTATATCATTTTTTTTAAAAAAATACCGTTTTGTTGTACGTAAATCAAATCATCAAGTATTTTCCTTATCTCATTTGTTTATAAATAAAAGCCTATTGCGAAAAGAAGATTGCAATTATAGTTAGACATTATTTTTAGGTAGATAGAATAATTTGATATCATATGGTTCATTTTTAGTATGCTTGATCATGTGACCTTTTTAGGATTGACCACCGCCCTCACATAAATTGACGTTTTTTAGTCGTCATCTTTAATTTAAATATAATATAATTTTGATCAGTATAAATATTTTCTACATTTGTGTGTATTTCTCCATCTTGGTCCAATTCCGATAATGTGTAACTTTTTTAAAAAAAAAAATGGGTAGGAATTGAATATAGTGAATTGTTAAACGGCTGGATTTCGCCTATTTATTTTAGCCAAAAATAATATTACGCGAGTTACGAGATCTCGAAACCTTTCTGTCATCTGCGAGCAAAATCTCCAGACTTTGCGTAATATCCTTTTTAGGGCTAAGATATTATTGTACCAGTATTTGTAAACTTTACATTATTTTTTGTTATACCCGTCAATCAATAAGATTGCTTATTGTTGATTGGTCGGAGGAAAAATAATATTAAAACAGAGGGAAAAATTGTTTTTAATAAATTATTCGATTTTGTGAGATTTTGATTTTTTTTAAAAAAATATATATATATTTAGGATTTTGATATTTATTTATTGTGTGATATTTTATTTAAAAATTAAAAGAAATGTTAGAATTTAGAATATTTTTTTTTTTTAAGAATTGGAGTAAAAAGTGAGGACTAATAAAATTGGTCTAGCCCTTTTTTTTAAAATCGAAGCCGTTTAACAACACTAAACAGGGCACACCATAATTACATAATGTTTATATACTTCATGTTATTATTATTTTATTTTTTTTTCCTCAAAGCATTCATCCAAGTTGATGAACCCTACCGATTCCAATAAGAATAAGGACTGCCCGCCCAATGCCGAAGATTACGAAAGAGCGATAAAGTTCAATTACAGTTCAGACGAGAAATCCGCTTTGATTGAGGCGCGTTTTTGTTTTTGTTTATTTTTTTCTCTTTTAATAAGAATCAATACCAGTTCAGGATCTTTGGTAAGTGGTAGAGTAAAGTAAATGGAAAAGGACACTATCAAAATGGCGGCTCTCATACTAATATAACCCTAGCCTTCTCGAGACTGGCCCTATTCTTACTCCCCCCCCCGCACCACCTCAACCCCTTACCGTATTATTACAAACCTTAGTCAACATCAGGCGCCTGATAAATATAATTATAATCACGGTCCCCTTTCATCTTGTAAATATTTTATAAAAAAAATTTGTGGAGTGATTTAAGAAAAAAAAAATCCTGTAGGAAAGTGGGAAGTGAAAACGAAAAAAAAAATATGTACTAGAAACTGATGAAGAAAAAAAAGGAGAATAATGTTGTAAAATAGGGATGAGTTTCAAATGAATTGTAGCACATTAACATTTTTTTAAATAGAGAGGTGGCAACTTTGAATTCTGGAATTGAACCGAAAGTGCCTGGCGTTTTGCTGAAAATTATTTGAAAACCGATTACGTAGAATTAGAGTAACAAAGAATAAAAAATGTATAAAGTCTAGAACGGTAAGAAACTTTTTTTTTGATTCTCCAATTGGGAAAGACTTTAAGTTCTTCATTGTTTTACTGATTAACAAGATTCAAAGTTTGTAAACGTTAATAGAGAAAATGTGGCAGTTTGAAAAGTGGGAACCTTTACCTTAGAAATAATTTTATTTTCCAAATTTAGAAAAAAAATTTAATAATGACCCTAAATTATGTAATTAGATGATCACATTGGTCAAAAGTTTGCAATCATTGCTCTCCAAGGCGAATCCCCTCTTCCGAGAGAGCATAATGAGGAACGTGTACGCCGAGTTGCAAGACCTGGTTCAGCTTAACGTGCGGGAAGCTCTGAGGAAAGCGATCAAAAACAAGAAAGAGTCCATAAAAAAGTTTGTTTAGAATAATTTTCCTTCTTTTACATTTCTAAACTGTCCTTATTATTTAAAATTAGGGCCTGTCTCCAATTAACAATCCGATATTGAAAATATTTCCGAAAAGAAAAACTTAATTATAAAATTGAGGTTGGGTCGAGTGGTATACTATTTTTAACAATATAGCCGGATAACGGAATTAATAGACAGAAAGCGCGGAAGATTTTATGTTGGAATCAGATGTTCCTAAGGATGGTATTGGCGCCAAATTATTTTTTATTGAGATCTATAGCAAATACAACGGGCACCAATTCCAAGATCAAATTCTTGCCTATTCCCTTTCTTCCCAATTTATTATCATCATTTTCATTAATTATTCTTTTTTTTTCGGGGCGAAAAAGTATATTGTTAGCCGTGAGGGAGACCTGTATGGAAGTTCCGCTGAATTATGATTTTTCCGATGATCCCATGTATAAAGGTAAGAAAGATAATCATCAGGACTCGAATTTTGAAGTGACCGTACCCAGAAAAGCAATACCACCATCCCATACCCAGGTTTTTTTTAAAAAAAAACTTAGAAAATATTAAAATTGTTAAGCGGTAAACATTTGTAATCTCTTTCTAACTAATTTCTTATTTATAAGGAGAGGGTTTTAGCAAGCAAATAGTAAGCATAGAAAGCAAGTATCAAGAAAAGAAGGAAGGAAAGAAAGAAATAAATAAGGATAAAGTATTAGGATTGAAACAATACCTCTAATACGCCCAAACAAGTTTTTCACTGTATATACTTTTTTTTTCTTCTTTTTACAAATTTTATTGCTTTTCTTTTAAAAAAAATTTATTGTATTTTTTCTTCTTCTTTGTATTGATTATTTATTTCGTACCTTCATTTTAAAAAAAAAATATTAAAATTTATAATTTAAAAAAAATAATAAATAATAGCTGTACATAGTTCGCGCTCTTTTCGAGATGTTAGTCTCCGATAATTATCCACCCGGTACGAAGAAGTCACTCAAAAAGGATTTGGATTCCAACACGGTTAGCGCCGTTGAAAACTTCCTCAAAAATTCTTACTTCTGGGGACACCTCTTGAATTTTAACGGTAAATACGTTTAGATTTACACTTTTTGACTTGAAACGAAAGAAAAGAAAGAAAGAACTAGAAATACAAAATACGATTTCTTTTTTTTTTATTATATCATTTCATAATTATTCCCTCCCTGCCTAAATCTTTGAAACATTTACGATTTTATCGACCTCCAGACGTAATGGCGCAATGCTCTGACCTGGCCTATTTTTGGTATCGCGAATTCTACTTAGAAATGACGATGGGAAAACGCGTCCAGTTTCCCATTGATATGTCTGGCCCTTGGATATTGATCAACTGCATCTTGCGTTCCAAAAAGCCAGCTTCAATAGAGTTTTGTTTTTTTTTTCAATTTTTTATTTATTTTGTTTTTTAAAATGCCGAAACATTTTTGAATTCATTAATTTATTTTATAACATCATATTTGACATTGATCACCTTTACCACTTCCCCATGAAAAGTATCGTCAAGTTAGTTGGGAACTTTTTTTTACATTATCATATTTTAAAGTGCCAATTTTAGCTGATTATCACCAAAAATTTAGAGCGAATCTTCATTTTTTAAATATTATAATCATATAAGTTTTTTAAAGTATATATTGACTCGATTTGAACTGTTTTTTAACGGCATAACCCTCCCCCCTCCCTTCCAGTAATGCCATTATCAAATTGGACTTCTATTTTATCCGGAAAAATTTTAAGCAACCTGAAGATTTTGCTCATAGATGGCAAAAAGTCTTAGACATCTATTAGTGAAATCTCAAGATTTTTCTGGCTAAGTTTTTAAAAAATTGACTCAAATCGAACCGTTACACTATCATATCTTACATTTCTCTTTTTTTTAAAATATGAAATTCGGGTGAAAAATTTTCTTACAAAAAATCATTATTTTATAAAAATTAAATCTGAAATCAGATCTCTCTTTTACGTATTGGACTTGTATAATGATAGCGCCCAATTTAGCTTGGAACATCTGAAAAAACGCCATTTGTACGACGAGATTGAGGCGGAGGTAAAATAAGCGTCATTAAATAATACGCCTCCTAGCATTATAGCGATTGTGCCCGCTGCTTAATCATATTTTCAAAATTATCTAATATATTATTTATAGATAGATAATAAGACTTTAGTAATATATTAGACCAGATTTAAGCCTTAAAAACTTTTAAAGATATTATAAAGAGGAGTACCACAAATCTTGCCCCCTCCCCTTCCAAAAAAATCCTGTAGATCCCGGCCCCATTTTACAAACCTTCTTAGCCTCCCATGGCATGGAATCTGCCTGAGTGTCTGTATGCTAAATATTATATAATAAGTATAAGTGATAATAAATATAGAGATTAGCATGGTGATATCTTTTACAGATCCATTAAAGAGTCTTACATAATTATTTTTGAAATTGATTCAATAACTTATACTATATTTCTTTTTTGAATATCATTTTATAAACCCAGGTTAATCTTTGTTTCGATCAATTGGTTTATCAACTAAGCGAGCAAATATTTTCTTACCACAAGCAATTGGCCTCATGGTACGTTATTTTTTATTTAAGATTTTTAGAAACGGATAAATTTTCGATCAGTTTTAATTTGTTTTTGAATTAGAATATGGATTTCTGGCACATTTAAATATAATTGAACGCATATTTTAAAGAACAGTTTTAAATAGTTTCATATGAAATCTAATAGTGCTAGAGGCTGTTGTAACGAGCTATTTACCATAGCGCAAAAGGCGCTAGAGGACGCAGAGGCCACGCCGGGCTATCTTACAAACTTTATTAAGTTCTAAAACATACATAACAATCATATATAATAATACTGCGCGGATTGATATAACACTACACAGGATATATAATCTAAATGTAGATATACATATAAAGCGCGATCGATACCCGGTTATCACCGATATTCAAATAGAATAAGCGGGGGGGGGCAATTATTATATATGATTACAATATTTGGTTATTACCAGGGTGTTTGGCCAGGTATCCCCTCGGTGCGCAAAAGGCGTTCCATGTAGCTTATGCGCTAAGGAGGGACTTTTGCCTAGTCATCTGTATCAACCTAACCCTATCGGTGTCAAGTGTTAACCTCTCTAAGCTGCTAGGTTATCACCTGCTACTCATATTGGGCTGAGCCGTTAATGGGAAAAAATTTACAATAGTCTAGGTTATTCATATACGATTTATAAACAAATTAATTTTCGAAAAGATAATTGTTTTACATTGTGTACGCCTATATATAGACAAAGGACCTTATTTCTAACCGTGCTATCACAAATTTTTCCCTTATTTATCCCACCCCCGGCTCAGGACTAGACAAGAAACATTTATTGCAGGAAGCGAATATAATGGTTTATTAATATAAAAAGGCGCTATACAATAATGTGTAAATATATGCTGAAATAATGAGATTGATATAATGTTTGTCTGAAGTTCATGGGGCAGAATGTTCCTCGGGGCCAGGCTCCATTTGTTGTTCCATTGGGGGAGCCACCGGTTCGTTTGCATCATCACCGTTAATTATGAGGTCAAACATCACGTCCTATCGAAAAGACTGGGGCCAAATTGCTCCTCCATTTTCTCGAGTCCCTCGGTGGTAAGGCTCTCCACTTAGTCAGCGAGGCGAATGGGGGTTGAGGCTCTTATCCAGGAGATTGCGTCCTCGATTCTCGGTAGCTCATTCATATCGATGTTATGCAGTACGTTGTGGGCGACTTCTTCCCCCATCCATAAATGGCTGGGGGCATCTGCTAAGTTCTCTTCAGATGCTATCCAGGTGATGATCCTTGCCAGATGTACTAAGTCATGGAACCCAATAGTGAGCATGATTCGTGTCACCAGATGTTTGCAGGCTGGCGATCGCGTTTTAATTATTGTGTGGGCTACATGACTGTCCGTCACTATAGCTGGGATAGATTTATACTTGTTCATCCCATATTTACAGCCGGTGCAACGTATTATTTTTACTCCGTATTAAAATTACTCATTTATTTAGTGATATTGACATTTACGATTGGCGTGCATAAATTTAATAATATATTTTTAGTGATATTGACATTTTTGACTGACTTGTAAAAATTAAATATAATAAATTTAGTGACATTTTTGACTGACATGTTTTACTCCTTATAAAAATTACTCATTTAGTTAAGGAAATTGACATTTTTAACTGACATATTTTTCTCCTTATAACAATTACTCACTTATTTAATGATATTGACATTTTAAACTGACATGTTTTACTCCTTATAAAAATTACTCACTTAGTTAAGGAAATTGACATTTTTGACTACTTGTAAAGATTAAATATAATAAATATAGTGATATTGACATCATTATGAAAATTTCTCACTTATTTGACATTTATGACAATTTTTTATTCTCCTTAAAAGGTCAAAACTTATTAAAAAAAATATCCTGATATAAATAAGATATGCGATATAAATAAGATACGGGATTTAAATAAGATACGCGATATAATTAAGATACGCGATATAATTAAGATATATGATGTAAATAAGATAAAGGATATAAATAAGATACGCGATATAATTAAGATATATGTTGTAAATAAGATACGCGATATGAATACATATATATGATGTGAATAAAATACGCGATATAAATAAGATTAAATAAAATTTATTATGCGGTCAAAATGCTCGCTATAATTTCTTAAATATATAGTTACATTAAATTTTTTGATATTATGTAATATTTTAATTGGGGTATAATAAGCCCATTTATAAATAGTATGAATAATAATATTTGTCTGAAGCATAGTTGCCATTGCAACTATCTCCACCTCTGTTCCATAATTTGCATTTAGGGCCATGCCCGTTCTCTCCAAATATACATCAATGGGTTCTCCCAAAAACTCCTCCATCTGTTCAACAATATCCTTGCTTCTCATAAAGAGACAGCATTGCTGTCTCAGAAAATCATAATGGCATTCGCCATCACAAACTTCTTTGCTTATACATCTATAATAATGATAAACAATAATTTATTGTAAATAAAAACCTGAAGAGACAATTTCCATCACCAATAATCCGTTCGGTATAAAAATCATTTCCAATCACCCTTTATCATATTTTGGATATCTTTTCTTGATCGCAAAATGGAAGCGTTCAGAATGATAAATTTTTTCATTTCTGTTGGTGGGAAGAAAAAGATTTGCATCATCTTTCTTGGAAATTACAGTCTCTAATATAATTTCACCATCTAAAAAATATGTATTAATCTACTAATTATACAAATTTTTACCTTTCTTATTTTGCATGCCCACTTCGCAATCTACAATCTTCAAATTGTGAGGCGGGGCAACTATTAAATTAAAAAATTAATTTTATCAATTCTTAAAAATGTTACTATAAGGTCGATGGTCATCTGGCTATGCTTAACTGATTGTTTTAACTCCATCAGTTAAAAAATATGTATATTAAATTTTTTTTTATTATACCTTTTTGGTTTTGACAATTATAATCCTCTCCAACTATCGTATTTAGTAAATTCAAAACTAGACATTTTAAAAAAGATTTAATATTAAATATATGAAAATATTACCCTTCATATGATTTTCTTCCGTATTAAGCTTTACATTTTTAATTGCTAGTTCTTGAAAATTTTCTTCATCATCTAAAAAAAGGAATATTATTTAATAATTAAATCAACTGTAGTATACCTTTAATGGTAGAAGAATGAAACTTTTTACTTGGTAACCTGGGAACTGTTTAAAAGTTATTTAATAAATTTTTAAAAGTTTTAACCTTTTTTCTGTCCTGCTTTAATTGTGTCATCTTGATAAATATACAAATAAAAAATTAATTTATTTTTAAATTATACCTTTTCTTGTAAAATTATGTTTTATGTTACAAATATTTGCTCGGGTTTTTATCTGTTTCCCACAGGCACTCATTAGCTCTACATTGTTTAAATATTATAAATATTTTGTTGTTAAAATCATTATTTATACTTTTGTCAAACTCTTGTAAAAGAACCCAGCCAAGGCCGTGTCATTTTTCCACCCTTCCTATCAGCTCGACGGCTGTTTCAGATAAGCACCTTATCATTGATCTTATAGGGAGTATTTTTCCCAGTATTGCGGGTTCTATAATCCCTCTGCTGCTTGAGCTGGGCAAAATTAATATTGCGCAATATTATGTATGTCATGCATCTTGCAAACAATACTTTGAAAATGTTTTTCCCTAACTTTCTCCTCAACATTGTCGGGATCTATATCATAATCATCATCATCCTTAAATATAATTAAGTATAAAATATATAGTATATGATTTATAATAGGTTTATTATATCCCATAAGCTTGTATTTCTTTTCTACCATACATCAGCTCAAAGGGCGTGAATTTCGAAGATTCATGATTAGATGTGTTATAGGAAAATAATATGGCAGGCAAGGCATCTCTCGAAGCCAATTGATCATCTTTAATACACTTTAGAAGTGCATTTTGGATTATTCTATTCACCCTTTCAACCATGCCATTTGCTTGAGGGTGATAAGCACTTGTCACCCTCTGCATGGTCCCCACGAGTTTGTGATAATTTGTGCTAACTTCATTCACAAACTCCCGTCCTTGATCATAATTTGAATCTTAAAACTAAAATTAATATTTTATTATCAAATAAATCATACTTTTGCCCTGCCATATGTGCATAGTAATGAATAAAGGAATTTCGATACTGATTTAGCTGTTTTATCCTTTAAAGGCATGGCTACAACATATTTGCTTAAGTAATCAACAGCTACTGCAATATATTTATAGCCATCCTCACTTTCTGACAAAGTACACAAATCAACTCCTATTTGTGACCATACCTGTTATAAAAAAAACTTATTGTTATACTGGTTCTCCTTGTCTACAGCTGCCGTTTTTGCTGCAAAGTCAATGTCTATCCTAAGTACATGATTTTGTCCGTTGGGATAATAACTGATTTTGTATCATGCTATCAAGCCCCACGCTGAGACCATGTCTAGAAAAGCGATGGTATCTTGAAATAAGATATTCCTATTGACATGAAAAATGGTATACGGAATAATTCGCTTTCTTAACGGATTTCGCGCATAGATCTAATACAATGTTCTGCAGGATGAGGGCTGCACCCATCGGTAAAATTTTGTATCTAAATTTTGCCGATGATGTTGCAAACCCAAAAAATCTCTTTCTACTCTATGCCAGGAAAATAGAATAAAACGCTGACTTTAAGTCGATTTTAGTAGCCTTCGAGGCTGTGGCTAGTAATGGCACTATTCAACCTAAAGGGCTAATAAATGAATTTCCTTGATTCGTTAGAAAAATCGGATATAACTCGGGAGGTACCATCTTGTTTGGGTATTAGGAACAGTGGCGAACAGAACGTCGTGTCCGTCCTCTCGATAACGCTTCCATCCACTAGCTGGAATATGATTGGCATATATTTGACTGCTACCCTCACAAACCGGTTACGAAAGAAATCTCCGTTGTCGTTGATAGCTTGGCTATCGAATTTCAGGCAGAAACTCCTCAGCGCTATCCTCCTGGTGAATGGCGACTGGTCCGAGTGGGGTTTCAGCATCGAAGCCGCTAATCCTAAGGTAACCCTTAAGTTGACCTGCACGCTATCCTTGTGTCCACTCCCATGAGCCTTAGCAATCTATGGAAACATTCGATCGAGTTGTTGTCCACCGTCGGCGCAGACGGAGGCAAAATAGCAGCTGCGTGAGGCGTGATCCGATCTGCGAATATATTGCTCATGATGATCGGTTCCCCATTAAGATCGAACTATTCCGTTACTGGGAGGTCCGGGATAGTGTCATCGCTGGCTACCTTCGCCAGCACTTTTGGCGCCTCACATCTTTAACCCAGTAGAGAATCTCTGCTTGGCCCAGGTTATCGATGCAATTGTCCGCCCAAGGTGCCAGCGCCTTAGCTATTCCCAGATCTATAGTCGACGGAGGGAGGGATCTGAGAAAATCATGGATTGTTTGTGGGTTTCCTCCCTCTCCTGAGGAAACCATGTTTGATGACTCCATCACTAGTGGAGGGTTGGCTATGGTCATCGTCTCTAGTAGGAGATCTATTGCAGGAGGCTGCGTTCCCTGCCTTCCTTCCCGCGTGGTAAACCGGGGGGGGGGGTCGAAAGGGCTCCTGTTGCATGGGTGGGGTCCTCCTAAAAACTTATACATCTTAGTTTGGGCTTCCCAACTTATCTGATCCTAACCCCATGCTACAGATTTTGCGGAGACTTAAATTTACAGTAAAATACACCATTCTTTGTGATCATATCCTTAGAGGAAGATAAATAAAAACAAAAAATTACTATTTTTTTGCACTATTATTAAACAAAGATAAAGGCTTATTTTATTTTTCTATAGGACAACAATTTAAGATTTATCTTCATTTTAAGCAAATTACTGAAATCGAAGAGGTAAAAGAAGGCGATGAAAATTTATGACTAATTCTTTCTAAATGAACCAAACATCATCCCCATCCCTTTATTTAGTGATATATGTAATTTTAATAATCTAAGAATAGTTGTATATCGTATCCTCTTATAAAATTATAGGCTATTACTTAAAAATCAACGAAACCGCCTCGTGCTCAGATCGCCAATTTATAGTTTTAGTTTTAACTGGTGCTCTTTAGCTTATTTTATTTAGTTTAAAACTGATTTTATTTTTAAAAAAGAATTGTCCTTTAAACTATATTTTCACTTCCGATCTATCGGGTAGCTGCATATATATGTAAAAGTATTTTAATTCAAGTCGTGCTATAAAATTATATTATAATATATAAGGTAAAATAAAATTGAATGATTAAATCATACAATTTGATCCTGACGAACAATTATTAGTATGGATTTTTTTAAATATGTTTTAGCAACACTCAAGCTAATTATCCTATTATATCCTTATTTAGTATAGTACATGGTTTATTATTGTAAATTATTATTATTAACATGGATTTCCTTACATCTTATTTCTCTTATTATTATGAATTTTTCTTTGTCCTAGTCTAATAATTTATATCAGAGACCTGCAGAGGTACCATTTGTACTGATCGGCCCAGATTTTTTTAGAATAAAATGTTTCAGCCCTGCTCGAATTATACTGCCGGGCAGCCCGGGCCTGCAGGTATCTGATTTATATTTAAATAATTTATTTTACTATTGATATATCAAATTATTCATTTATACTTTATATATATAATTAAATTTAATTATTATACAAACCAAGATTGATAAACAACATATTATTTAAATTAGATAAAATATACACCAAAACTAGATACGGGCCAAGCTTTGGAGATTTTGAATTTGGAATATAAATTGGGAAGAATTTTAGAAATATCTACGGGGGAAGGATGTACTCTATCATGGGGTACAAAATTTTCTAATCACCCCTCACCCCCCCCCCCCTGTTGTAAGAACCCATACAACTAATTATTCGCCACGCCTTTATAAGACGAAACATTACTACACACTATATTCAGATTAATGACATATGCTACCTACCTAGTCTGACAATTCATTCATTAAATTACATTTTCAGTTGTTGAACGTAAATCAAATGTTGACCATTTTGGATTTCCATATGTTAATTTTTAAAAAAATGACCGAAGTTTATAAGATTTTAATATAAATAATTTACACGGGAATCAAAAATGGCGTGTCACCAGTTGATTTGTATTAATAAACATTTAAATGAATCATCAGTCAAGTAACGTGTAAAGAGTTGATTATTGATAGACATTTAAATGAATTATCAGTCAAGTGAGGTGTCGAGAGTTGATTTGTATTGGACTATTCTGGAAAAATAGCAAAATTTTTATTTATTCATCTCTTTTGTGAAAAGGAGGGACAACAATTTCTTCTCGAAATTATTATTTATTATTTCAATCGATAAACTTTCAACCGACCGTTATTATTTTCTTTTTATAGTTCTTATTTTAATTTATTTGAACAAAACAAAAAAAATAAATAATATAAATAGCATATTATTGGATAAGCGATTCAACGAAGAATTTTCCGCTTACGGAAACAGAATCACCTTTCCGCCCTCTCATAGATACCACGTTTTATTGAAGCAAAGGCATATACAGGTAATTTTTTTTTATTTCTTGAAATTTACACAAATTGTCCCTGTTCCCGATCGCTAAAAACACAGAAAAAATTGGGAATATTTCGCTTATATCTCCTAGAAAAAGAAAGAAAGGAAAGATAGGATTAATTTGAAATTAATATTAATAAAGGGCACGGAAGTAAACACTTGTATTTAAATTGTTTTTATTTCCCATTGTCCCCGCGTGTAAATTTTTTTTGATTTCAGAAATTATAGAGCTGGTCTATTTCCTAGGAATTCCATTCTTATAATATTTCATATTTTTTTAAAAAATATATTTCCCTGTATAATGCTATATAAATATGACGAATATTTTTTAAGCTGCTGGGAAGATGGGTAGACTTGAACAGGCTTCTGAATCAGAGGATTTACTTGTGCTTCAAGAAATCCCTAAGAATCGCAATCTCGACTCTAGAATCGAACGACATAACCGGCATTATCGTAAAATAATAAATGAATTATATTAAAAAAAAGATATTATTCGAGTTGTAATTTGAGGCTGTTCCAATTTGAGCTATTTCTGATTTTCTAAGGGTAAAAAAAGAACCCCCCTCTACCTCCTTAATAAAAACTTGCACCAATTAAATTGGCTTTAAACCTTTTTTCCATTTTTCTTGCCTTGGGGCGCATTCACAGTAGAGAGCGACAGCGACACTACAAATACGACACGACATTAAACGACAGAGCAGCTGATGTGTCGTAAGCGACATAGCATTCATAGAAGTTGCGACAAGCATATTTTTATTTAAAAAAAAAACAAGATATCTATACAACTTAAAATTATTCCTATTATATCCTTATATGAATAGGAGAAAAAATTATCTGAATGTTAAAAAGAGAGGAAGGAGAGTTCTCAGTACTATTCCCAAAACTTATAAACAATCCTGAAAAATTTTACAATTATATGAGATTAACCAAATAATATATTTCATTGTAAAATATAAATTGAAATTTTGTATTTAGAAAACCTTTTATTATATTTTAACTCATATTAAATCAAAACTAATGGTAAATAAAACAAATTTTATTAAAAATTCAACATCAGTAGAAGAAAACTTGATGATCACACTAAGTTTTATATATATTTTATTTTATATAATCAAAATTGCTTAGATATTTGGGAACATGATGTAACTATCCAAGTTTAGCCTATTCATATAAAATGGGAATATCGACAATTCAAAAAATAATTATAACAACATGTACTGGCAAGTACATTGAGATTAAAAATCCTTCTAAATCTGCGAGCATATATTACAATTATAAACAATTTTTCTCCATGATATTACAAGCATTAGTAGATGGTAAAGGTAGATTTATGGTAATTACTGTAGGCAGTTATGACAGTGAATCAGATGGAGGTGTGTACTCAAATTCTTTATTATCAAAAATGATTGAGAATGGAGACTTAGATATTCCACCACCTAAAAACTTACCAAATAGAAATAAATTATCATGGACATTATAACATAATTTAGTAAATTTTAAAAATATTATTCTATTTTTTTATATTGATTTGTAATTATTTAATAAAAAGAAAGTTTATAAAAGCCCTCCAATGAAATAATAACAATGCAAAATAATATTTTTTATTATTCTTGATCACTGTCAAAATTGAAGAGTATATCAAAAATATTTTTAATAAGATTTTTCTTTCCCCTTTCTGATCTTTTTGCAAGGGTTTGCTCAAGCATGACATTGATCCAAGAATTTGTATATAATCTTCTTTCTTTCATTTTTTCTATTTCAAGTATTTGCTCAAATAGATCTAGTTTAAAATAATAAAATTATTTACAAATGCAAATTACCTTGATCAATATCCTTCTTTTTAATTAATTTTTTGCAAGATAAATTTGATCCTATACTAGTTGATGGTGATGCTAAATATATATAATATTATTTATATAAAATATGAATACAATCATTCCTTAAAATTGTAGCTTCACTACTTGTCTCTATGCAGGGAATTTCAATGGCTATGTATTAATAAAATCTTAACAAAAATTAGTATATTTACCATCTTCATATTGATAATCTTCATCATCTGCTCAAACATTGCTCTAGCAATATTTGCTTATCAATTTTAGATATAACAGGATTTGTTTTTTTCAAATTGATATATTGAATCCCTAGCTCTATAGTTTATATGTTCCCTCATAAAGCAATCTCTTAGATTTTTTCATTCGGATTTGGCCATCTCTACTGTAAAAGAAAAATATTTCAAATTAATATACTCCTTAATTACCTGTCTCAATATTGTTTTCAACTGATGGTATCTGATGAAGTTGATCAAATCTTTTTTATTGATTTTCTATAAAAATTATTAACATAATATTTATTTATATTCTAATATATATATATATAACATTTATTATTTTAATAACATTTCAAAAATTTACTTGCAAATTTTCTTTTTCGCCCATATTGTAGTTATGTCACTTTGAAAATAAACAAAATGTTTTGTAAGGGTGCATTCACAGTAGAGAGCGACAGCGACACGACAAAATACAAATATATGTAATTACCAATGACTATTCATATGCGACGCGACACGACATTCCCGCCACATTTGTCGTATTAAACATAGAAATCAAGTTACAAAACATTTTGTTTTTTTTCAAAGCGACATAACTATAATATGGCTGAAAAAGAAAATTTGCAAGTAAATTTTTGAAATGCTATTAAATTAATAAATGTTATATATATATATATTAGTATTAGAATATAAATAAATATTATGTTAATAATTTTTTATAGAAGATCAATTAAGAAGATTTGATCAACTTCATCAGATACCATCAGCTGAAAACAATATTGAGACAGGTAATTAAAGAGTATATTAATTTGAAATATTTTTCTTTTGCAGTAGAGATGGCCAAATCAGCATGGAAAAATCTAAGAGATTGCTTTATAAGGGAACATAAAAACTATAGAGCCAAGATTCAGTATATCAATTTGAAAAACAAATCCTGTTATATCTAAAATTGATGAAGCAGATATTGCTAGAGCAATGTATGAGCAAATGATGAAAATTATCAATATGAAGATGGTAAATATACTAATTTTTGTTAAGATTTTATTAATACATGGCCATTGAAATTCCCTGCATAGAGACAAGTAGTGAAGCTACAATTTTAAGGAATGATTGTAATCTTCTTCTTCTTCTCCGTTTTATGGCGATTTCCAGGTTTACCCGGGTAGGCCAGTTTTCCCTCTGATTTTTCTTTTCCATTTTTGACGGTCCTGAGCATCAATACTTGTAAGATTCAAGCTTCTCATATCCGCCGCTATCACATTTGTCCACGTCATCTTGGGTCTTCCTCTAGGTCTTGATCCTCCTACTTCCATCATTGTGCATCTCTTTACCCAGTCATCTCTTGTCATACGTTCCACATGCCCAAACCATCTTAGTCTATTTCGTCGCATTACCATACCAATCATTTCTATACCTAATCTTGCTCGCAATTCCTTGCTAGTTTTTCTCTCTCTCAGAGATACCCCACACATCATCTAACCATCCTCATCTCTGTTCTTTCTAATTTGGCTTCGTGAATTGCTTTCATTGCCCATGTTTCACCGCCATAAACTAAACAACTCCTCACGCAGCTTACGTAAACTTTCCTCTTTAACTTCAGAGAAACTTTTTTATTTGTAAGAATAGATGACATCTCTCTGATCTTCTTCCAAGCTTGTCTGATCCTTGCAACAACAGCAGAATCTACACCACCATCTGCGTTTAGCATATCACCTAAATAACAAAACTTATCCACTTTTTCTAGGGTTAACCCATTGCCAATATCCAGACCACCATTTTTTAGGTTATCATTATTATGTATCCCTTTCATGCATGTTTTACAAATAAAGGTCATTCTTTCTAACATCAAACTGCCTTTTTTCCCACTACATCTTTTATGTACCCATTTCTGGCATCTGGTGCATTGGATAGTATTTCTAGCAACTCCTTTCCCACATACACCACAAGGCCACTTACCTGATTCTTCTATCTTTAGATTTTCCCCACCAATCATCACCTTTGTTTTTGATGCATTCATTTTCAGGCCCTTTGCTTCCATAGTCATCTTCCATTTACTAACTTTATCCCTCAATTCTCCCTCACTGTTTGCCATTAATACAAGGTCATCTGCATATAATATCTCCCAGGGAAGTTCTTCACGCATTTCTCTAGCCACCACATCCATTACTAAGATAAATAATAATGGACTCAGCACGGATCCTTGATGAAGTCCTACCTTCACCTCAAAGCTGTCACTATCACCATGATCCGTCCGTACTGCTGTTTGTGCTCCAACATACATTGCCATCACTGCGGTAACTAACCATTCCTCCACACCGGATTTTCTCAAGGCCCATCTTGTAATCTCACGCGGCACCCTATCAAATGCTTTCTCCAAATCAACAAACGCATAATAGAGTTTCTTTTCCTTCGCAAGATACTTCTCCTGAATTTGTCTCACCATAAAAATTGCATCTGTCGTGCCTTTTCCCGATGTAAAACCAAACTGCATTTCATCAATTTTGATTTGTTCCCTTATCCGCTTTTCTAACACTCTCTCAAATACTTTCATTGCATGTTCCAAGAGTTTAATAGCTCTGTAAGACCCACAATCTAAAGGATCACCTTTCCCCTTGTATACTGGGATAATTATACTTCTTCGCCAGTCCTCGGGAATAGTACCTTCTGTGACAATCTGATTTGCTAAATTCATTAACCATTCAATCCCTAAATCATCAGAACCTTTAAACATCTCTGATACCACCATCGTTAAACCCGATGCCTTCCCTTTCTTCATCTTTTTCACTGCTCTCCTTATCTCGTCCTTGCCAAATTTACACCCTGGACCTTCTACCTTTGCACAACTAATATTATTATTCCATTCATTTTCTTCATTCAAAAGTCCTTTCATGTAAATCTTCCAGGTGTTCTTAATACCACTACTATCAATCGTCATTTTTCCTTCCATATTTTTCAAACACTTTACACCTATCACATCCTGCCTCTTTTTTGACATCTGTATTCCATCAGCGCATTTCATTTCTTTAGCAAACTCGTGTCTTTTTTCTTCTTGAGCCTTCGCTATTAATTTCTTAGCATTTCTTTTAGCCATCTTGTAAATATCATTATCACTATTTTCTTTGCTATTATACCATACTTTGAAACACCTCCGTTTCTCATCCACGGCTTTCGCTACCTCTGGGCTCCACCACCAAGTCTCCTTATGTCTAGGCGGCCCTTTTGTCCATCCACATACCTCCTCAGTTGTCATTACCCAAGCTTTCTTCATGGCTTCCCACTTGTCATTCACCCCAGATGCTTGTGCCACCTCCGCCTCCCTAATCGCCAATGCCATATTGAATTGACGTCTAGCATTCTCCTCCTTCAATTTCCAAACCTTCAGCCTTGGGACAAACTTTCTTTTAGTGACCCTGGCACCTTTAAGAGTGAGATCTCCTACAATTAGTCGATGCTGATTTATACATTCCTCTCCCGGTATCACTTTCACATTTTTTATTATACATCGATCACATCTCCTTAATAACAAGTAATCCACAACACTTTTGGTACTACCCGACTTATAAGTCACCAGCTTCTCTGATTCTTTCTTAAACATTGTATTACAAACAATCATATCCATAGCATCACTAAATTCTAAAATCCTCTCTCCTTCCAAATTTCTCATGCCGTAACTGAACCCTCCATGTACTCCTTCATAACCCTCACTACTCGCTCCCACATGTCCATTCAGATCGCCAGCCAGGATAATCCCCTCTTCATTTGCCAGTCTCAATGTCACCCCCAATAGACTGTCCCAAAATACATCTTTCTCTTCTTCACTTCTTCCAACCTGAGGAACATATGCCGAGATCATATTATATAGCTTTCTACCAATAATCATCTTGATAACCATTATCTGGTTGTCTAGCCTTCTCACTTCGACTACTTTGTCTACCAATTTCTCCGCAACCAATACCCCAACTCCAGCCTTACCATCATTACCTCCTTGCTAAAAGAATTTATACTTTTCGCTAGTCTTGCCAATCATTCTGGTCCCATTTCCTTTCCATCTAGTCTCCTGTATGCAGCACACATCTATATGTCTTCTGTGCAATACATCGACGACTTCTCCCGCTCTTCCCGTCATACTCCCAACATTCCATGTCGCGACCCTAACTCGATCACCCGTAAACTGGTTTCTCCACTTTTTATTAGGTCGTTTATGGCCGTCATAGGTTTCATTTTCATGAATAGTGGTTCCACCAGGTTTCCCATCCTTCTTTTTGTCGTAGGCGGATGAGGAGGCCCACGGGGTACTTTGGGCTGTACCCCGCCCATGCTTTGTTGTAACCATAGGGAAATTTTTGTAGCATGGTTTTTACAATCGGATGCCCTTCCTGACATCAACCTCTTTAAGTGGTTTTTACACCCCGTCGAGGAGACGGTGATCCTATTCTAGACCCAGATCACAGGGAACCTTTTAGACCTCCATTTGCCGCCAAAAGACGTTGCCACTCCCCCGCCACGATGAGGCTGAAGGTAGGATTTTGGGAGAGTAAGGAATGATTGTAATCATATTTTATATATTTAGCATCACCATCAACTAGTATAGGATCAAATATATCTTGCAAAAAATTAAATAAAAAGAGGGATATTGATCAAGGTAATTTGCATTTGTAAATATTTTTATTATTTTAAACTAGATCTATTTGAGCAAATACTTGAAATAGAAAAAATGAAAGAAAGAAGATTATATACAAATTCTTGGATCAATGTCATGCTTGAACATACCCTTGCAAAAAGATCAGAAAGGGAAAAGAAAAAGCTTATTAAAATTATTTTTGATATACTCTTCAATTTTTACAGTGATCAAGAATAATAAAAAATATTATACTGCATTGTTATTATTTCATTATAGGGCTTTTATATTATTTTATTCATATTTTAGACACATATAATAAATAAATTTTCTTTTTATTAAATAATTACAAATCAATATAAAAAATAGAGTAATATTTTTAAAATTTACTAAATTATAGTTATAATGGTCATGATAATTTATTTCTATTTGGTAAGTTTTTTAGGTGGTGGAATATCTAAATCTCCATTCTCAATCATTTTTGATAACAAAGAATTTTAGTACACATCTCCATCTGATTCATTGCTATAACTGCCTACAGTAGTTACCATAAATCTACCTTTACCATCTACTAATGCTTGTAATATCATGGAGAAAAATTGTTTATAATTGTAATATATGCTCGCAGATTTAGAAGGATTTTTAATCTCAATATACTTGCCAGTACATGTTGTTATAATTATTTTTTGAATTGTCGATATTCCCATTTTATATGAATAGGCTAAACTTGGATAGTTACATCATGTTCCCAAATATCTAAGCAATTTTGATTATATAAAATAAAATATATATAAAACTTAGTGTGATCATCAAGTTTTCTTCTACTGATGTTGGATTTTTAATAAAATTTGTTTTATTTACCATTAATTTTGATTTAATATGAGTTAAAATATAATAAAAGGTTTTCTAAATACAAAATTTCAATTTATATTATACAATGAAATATATTATTTGGTTAATCTCATATAATTGTAAAACTTTTCAGGATTGTTTATAAGTTTTGGGAATAGTATTAAGAACTCTCCTTCCTCTCTTTTCTAACATTCAGATAATTTTTTCTCCTTTTCATATAAGGATATAATAGGAATAATTTTAAAGTTGTATAGATATGTTGTTTTTTAAAAAATAAAAATATGCTTTTCGCAACTACTATGAATGCTATGTCGACGACACATCAGCTGCTCTGTCGTTTAATGTCGTGTGGTATTTGTAGTGTCGCTGTCACTCTTTACTGTGAATGCACCCTAACTTGATTTTAATGTTTAATGAGACAAATCTGGCGGGAATGTCGTGTAGCGTCGCAAAAGCTCACTATGAATAGTCATTGGTAATTACATATATTTGTATATTGTCGTGTCGCTGTCGCTCTTTACTGTGAATGAACCCTTACACTAGCCTGGCTCATTGTGTAAATAAATTCTTCTGTATAATATAAATTTAGTTAAAATACAATGGTTAAAATCGTAAATGATCTCTTGGACAATATAAAATTGAAACCCAATTCATTTAGGAATTTTTTGGAAATTATGCAGCGTAAAATTTTTAATCCAAAAAATGATTTAATAGTGCGAACAAATTGAGCTTTTAAACTAATGCCTTTCAAATGTCCTCGTTGCTAAGGGGTAAAATTATCGTTTGGCGTTAGCAACCATTTAAAAAATCGCAAACATGTTTGCTTTTTCAATACTTTTTTTATTTATCGTTAATATTATATAAAATGTAATAAATAACTTACTTATATCCTAAAAGGAATATTTAGAAATTAAAGAAATAAGAACGCAGACGATAATATAATTTTTAAAGACAAATCCTTTTTTTTAGAACTTATTCAAATTTGAATCGACGGATATTAATAAAAAGACAACCTCAATTTAAACAAGGACGCGTTACTTTTTTTTTAATTTAAAAATTACGGCAAAACGTAAACGCTCAATTTGTGAGCACTATAAGTGTAAACATTTAGCATCAATAATGGCGAATCAAAAAAAAATTAGCCTTATCACGTGAGAAATTAGAAAAATACAAATGACCAAAACCAAAACATTTATTTTCCATTCATTTACTTTCCAAAACAAAAAAGGAATTCGATACTTTGATCGAGATAAACAAGTTGGCCTACAATTCCCTTTCTCGTTACCTGATTTTGCCCGATTTCGATGACATCCTTTCGGAAGTCAACCGACAAAATACCGATACAAATTATACTAACTTCGAGGGCATCGAAGCTGACATCGTAACGAATCACGTGCTTTGTGAGCTCTTCAACGATTTCTTGGTCAATTATTGTTACAACTCCACTACCAATAGGTGCTTCTTCCCCGCTTAAACCTTTTAAAAAATATATATTTCCCTTCCCCAAATATGAAAAAACCGTTAAAACGCGACTGGTAAAAAGGGGTTTATTTAGCTCCCATTTTTTAAACTAGGTTTTTGACCCCCCCCCCCCATTTTAAACTGAACTGTTGACTCCCTTTTTCATGCCACAATGGTTAATATTAGAGATGTGCCGATATATAAGTCCCACACTCGCAGTAACGGTATCCGCAGATACTTTCAATTATACAAACGACACTTAGAAGCCTCGCTTTATGGTAAGCGCGAAATATTGCTCAAACTTTGGCATAGTTTATATAATTTAAAATTGCCTTATTTTGTAAAATCGCTGTACTTCACACTTATTATAAAATGAATGAGGACTAACTGTTATAAAAAAACAATATTTAATAAAAATAATAAATAAGTCTTGATCTGACAAATTCTCTAAACCTAGAGAAAAAGGGAAAATTTTCTTTGAATGCGAATCAGCTAGGAACTGCTGATTGGTATTGATGCACGTTTAAATGAATCACCAGTTTAAGTATTTATTATTATATATCATTGGGATTTAATTCACCAAAAATGATAGGACCTAATGTAACTGTTATAAAAGATAATTTTTATATAATTTTAAGTTATAAATTTCGAACGACATTGAAAGAACAAATAATAATAATATAAAAAAAATATATGAGTGAAAAGGATTACCATGGCGGATAAGATGAAAGTTTCACTGACGTGAAGAAGAAAAAATTCGTATAAAAAGGAAAGGAGTGAAAGGAAGAATCGAATTTCTACATTCGCTAAATAAAAAAATTTTTTAAATATATTTTTCCAAACTTCGACATTTTATACCTTATATCTTTGTTTTTTATTAAAAATTTTTAAAGATTCGTGAAAACGAAAGAAATCAATTTTTCGCCTTGTAATTTCGCCAGGAAAAAGCCTAGCCAGATACCCTCCCAAGCTTATCTTTGGGGATCGAAGGTTGATTATCCTTTTCTTCTTTTTTTAAAAAAGAAAAAAATTATTAATGGTAAGCGCGAAATATCGCAATAAGTAAGGGCGCATTAATAGTCGGGTCCGATCTGACACGATTTAACAGCTGATTGATTTTTAAAATCTGTTTATGTGATCATTTTATTTTTTTTATTAATATTAATTTTATCCTTAATTCTATTCATGATTAATTATATAAGAAATATTGATTTTGATAAAGGAAAAATTGGTCCCATAAAAATTTTTAAAAAAATCAATCAGCTGTTAAATCGTGTCGGATCAGGTGCCACTATGAATGCGGCCTAATTCATCGCTAAACGATATCATAGTTGTATAGCTGAACATTATGTAATTTGTAAATCATGGCATTGCTTTAGTGACACTGCGGTATTTCGCGCTTACTAAAAACATAAACGAGGCTTTTTTGGAATAATAAAAACTTGGAAGAAATGTTTTTTTAAATGATGTAACGTAGAAAAAAAATGGACGACTAAGTTTTTATTTTGCTTTTTACATAAAATCTTGCCTATATATTGTTTGGAATTTTTAAATCCCCTATCTCATTTAACAAACGTTATAAAAGCAATTATTTATCGTACCTTTTATTTTTAATCGTGGAGTTAAACGACAATGAAAAACCTTTCAAAGGTGATCATCCATCGCTATGCCCCTTCTCTTCTTGTATTGGTCTATTGACTATCACGATTCAACTTATGATTTGACCTTGCTTATGAGAATTGTAGAATAACATGAATATGTGCCGGTGAATAATAAATATGTTATATTAACTTTATTAAATAAAAAATATATTTTATTAACTAACTTCTTTTTCTCCACCGGTTTTAATAAGTCCCATTTAATTCTAATATCTCGATTAAACATTCTCTGTGATGGTGTAACTCCTGTAGTATCATTACGCGTATTTCTGTAATTAAGTAAAAATTTGCTAAGTGCGATATCTGGGTCTATTTTAATATTCCTTTTCATGTGTGTTTTGAACGTTCTAACCATGCGTTCAACCTGGCCATTGGATTGCTGGTGATAAGCAGATGTAAGCACATGTTTAATACCAAAATTGTTGCAAAATTTTTCAAAATCATTACTCGTAAAGTTAGTACCGTTATCAGTAACTATAGTTTCAGGTATTCCGTATAGCGAAATAGTTTTAAAGATTTCTTTTAAAGTAACATTAGTCGTAATATTTTTAACAGGAATAATAATTGGAAATTTGCTGTAGGCATCGACTATTATCAACCAATTTTTTGTGAAAAACGGACCCGCATAATCTATATGAATCCTTTCAAACGGTTTAGTTGCCGAAACCCATGGTTTTTGTATCTTTATAGGATTATCGTGATATATATTACAATCATCACAACTTTTCACTTCCATAACAATATCATTATTTATGCCAGGCCACCACATGTAATCTTTGGCTAAGGATTTGATTTTTCCTGCTCCCAAGTGACCTTCATGTAATGACTGTAGTATAGTTTTTCTAATATTAGACGGAATTATGATTTTATTGCTTTTGTAAAGACAATCTTTAATTATACTTAATTCCAATTCAATGTTTTTATAAATATTATTCATTATAGGTCTGTTGTTATTAATATCATTTATGACTTGTTTTAATTCCGTATCTTTCAAAGTTTCATCACGAATTTGATCAAAGTTAATAGGTAAATCCTCATATTCATTTATAATGGTTACATTTTCAATAGTTTCATCACGACATTCTTGTGGTAATCTTGAAAGGCAATCAGGAACAACATATATTTACCGGCTTTATACTTTATATTAAAATCATATCCTCCTAATGTAATATTCCACTTCTGGAGTCTTAACGACATGGTGCTATTATCCTTAAGACCCTTGGTGAAGATGTGAACTAGAGGCTTATGGTCAGTAATAATTGTAAATTTTGTGCCGATTAAATATTCCTGAAATCTCTTTATGGCGAACATTATAGCGAGAGCCTCACGCTCAATATTGGTATAGTTCATTTCAGATTTTAATAAAGTTCTCGACGCGAAAGCTATAGGTTTTTCTTTACCATCTTTTTCAATATGAAATAGTACAGCTCCTCACATTTTGATGCGTCAGTGGCTATCCCTATAGGTAATTCAGGGTTAAAATATGTCAAAGCAGGTGGAAGACTAATTAACTTCTTTAGATCATTAAAACTTTTAGAGTGTTCTAGGTTCCAAGCCCATTTTTCTTTGTTGACAATCTTATAAAGAGGATCGGCAATTTCCGCAAAATTGTTCAAAAATTTTCTATAGTAGCCAGCCATTCCCAGAAATGTTGATAATTCAGCAGCTGATTTTGGTTCTGGCATATTAATTATTGCTTCAATTTTGTCGTGATTAGCATGAATCCCCTTAGCGTCAATATCATGACCCAGGAACCTCACTTTGTTTTTAAAGAACACACTTTTATTAAAGTTAGGTATTAGCCCATACGATGATATCCTATCAAATACTTTTTTTATGTTGTTTAGGTGGGCTTCATCGTTTTTTCCAGTTATAAGTAAATCATCAATATAAAATATAACGTCATCCATGTCACCGAAGATTTGATCCATGATCTGTTGAAAAATTGCAGATGAGGTCTTAAGCCCAAAAGGAAGTCTAGTAAATTGGTAATATCCCTTATGCGTAGATATGGTTAAAATATTTCTGCAACTTTTATCAATTGGAATCTGTAAGAAAGCATTTTTAAAGTCAATTTTCGTAAATTTCTTTCCTTCCGAAAGTTTAGCAATTAGATCATTAATTCGTGGTAGAGGGTATCTAAAGTCTTCTAGAGCTGGGTTTACAGTATCCTTAAAATCAGCGCAAAGCCTAATGCTCCCATCATCTTTGTAGACAGCGGTAACAGGACTTGCCCATCGGACATCATTCACCGGCTCAATAATTTTATCATGTATCCATTTTTTAAGTTCATTACTAACAAGATTAATTTTTGAATAAGGAATACGTCTAGGCGGTATAATTTTAGGTTGGGCATCACTTCTTAAATGTAACTTGACACTTGCTTTGTTGATTGGCCCATTAGTTAATTTCGATTCACACTCTTTAATCAATTTTTTTATTTCATCTTCGTAATTAGTGTCAATATTTGCTATAAATTTATTTAAAATATTTTTGAAAGCATTGATCCACATACGTCCCAACAAAGCATTTTTACTTGATTCAACCACTACCGCTTGTAAATATTTGGAAATACCATCATAAGTCACTTTAACTTGAGTAGTTCCTATGATTTTGATTAAATTCCCGTCATAAGCAGTGAGTTGTAGCTCAGATTTCTTAAGATCTCTAATACCAATTTTTTTAGCCAGACCATGAGGTATAATAGTGTATTTGGATCCAGTGTCCACTTGCATACAAGTAACAACGTCGTTCACTTTTAAAGTAGTCATAAATGCGTTATCTTTGTCATTAATCACTTCACCAGATAAATTGTTGACATTAAAATCATTATCATCTTTGTTCTTTGTAGAATCAACTTTCTCTTCAATAATTTCTTCAATATTCATGTTGTAATCATTATTGTATTGTATTTGCTTTCTGTTATTTTCGTCGCCACTTCTATAATTATTTGAGTTGTTGTTATATTGTATTTGCTTTCTCTGATTATTATCATTACCTCTATAATTATTTGAGTTGTTGTTATATTGTATTTGCTTTCTCTGATACTTATCATTACCTCTATAATTATCTGAGTTATTGTAATAAGATTGGTAATTGTTACGATTTCCGTCACCGTATTGGATTTGTTTTCTTTGATAATTATCATACCATGTATTATTTCTACCATAATTCGATTGATTATTATTATTATAGCGACAATTGTTATAGTTATAATTGTTATAATTATCGTGGTATCGCGAATTATTATTACCATAATTGTATCTAAAATTATTATTGTAATTCCCATTTCTATATCTATTATCATAATTATTTCTAAAATTATTTCGAAAATTATTATCATTTCTACTGCAAAAATTTTTATCTTTATCGGATTTTTTATCATTATTTATATAACTTATATCATTATCCTCAGACTTAATATTACTAGAGTCCAGTTTCACCCCTAATTCCACCATCTGATTCAATGTAAGGTCCAAATTTTTGGAGAATTTGTATTTAATTTTATCGTTTAAAGTAGATGTCCGTAATTTCTCTTTTAATCTACTATCGTCTAAAAAATTACATTTCTTATGAAGTTTCGATACTCTAATGTACCACAGCATAAAACTCTCTGATGAGTTTTGTTGAAGAAGATTAAATTTATTAATTAAAGTATTTAAATTTAGCGCTGGTAAAAGATAGGTTAACTTTTTAATCACAATTTTAAGATCTAAAATATCGGTATCAGAACAAATTGCCTTAATGTCGTCAAAAACTTCGTCTGATAAATTATTAAGCAAAGTATTAATTTTAATAGAGTCCGATAATGTACTGGTCGAAAAGTAATTTAATATTCTGTCTAAATAAATTTCAGTAAGAGGACCCACTAACTTAGGGATCTTATGTGTAAATTCTTGTTTAATTTCCATATTTAATTAATAAGACACATAAATAAGCAATTATAACATTTATTATTTTATCAATTCAAATTTTTGGTATAGCTATTCATGTTTTGGTAAATATACAGATTAATTCAATGAAATCATTGTCACCATAAATGTAATGTTTCCCATTTAACAATTCGAAACAATTAATCATATCTCTTAAGTTCATAAATTCAAACAACACGTCCTCCGTACCGTCTATCCTATAAAAGTTGACATCGGAATTATAGGTTAACTCAAACAAAATATCGTAGATGGAGATTTGATGGGGTACATTTAGTAGTTTGAAGGCGAACATAATTGATGAAAATAATTTTGAAATGACTTACCCTTTTTTTATCCATCTTATATAGAATTGTTTGTACCATTTTATAATTTTTTTTATTAACCATATTTACAAAGGGAA